TCAGATTTGCCGTCAGATTATAAGAGCTATTCTCAAATAGAAGAGCTATAGTTACCACATCTTCCACCTCAACCTACCCCTATTCAGCCTTTAGTTGAAGCAGTTGATGTATCGATTAATCTACCTCAACATCTAAGGGTAGTACTACTACTGACATCGTCAAAGCTCTTCACAAAGGGCTTATATCGTTAGGAATTACTTGATACTCAGCCTCTGACCATAAAAATAATATACCTACAACTAGGCTGTGAATATTAACTACCGCCATAAGGACTAAAGCAATCATTAACAGGTAATCTATAGAGGCATTATTCCTTAAAGCATCTAACAGTATCATACGCCCTTAAAAATGAGAAGAGACAGCCGTCTAGTATGTCAAGCAGTACATCGTCGTTCTTCAACCCACGCCCATCAGCTCTACTAAAGCAACCTGGTAATCCTTCAAAGTATAAGGAGTTATTACTACAGTTCATTGTGTTGAATAATCTATCGATACGCCTTGTTGAAAGCTATTCATTCCGTGAATTAGTTCAATTCTTAAGCCCAACAACTATGGCAATATCAGCTCATACGCTACACCGAGAACTACAGCGTCAGTTCTCATATCACCAAGGCCAGCTACAACTTGAGCTCCATTCTCATATTAAGAGAGGAGGCCGGATATCAATAACGACAGATGCATGGTCTGCATGAAATTATACAGACTATGCTGCGATTACTGCACACTGGATCAACGATAAATGGCAACAGAAATCTCAAGTACTTGAATATCTAGCTCAACAATTAGCAATTGTAACGGGCGATATGGGTATTACAGGAGCTGTCTTTACCTATACAAGGGATAATGCCTCAGCTAATACTGTTATGCTTGCGGAATATGAGAAAATAGCTAGAGACCAGGAAGTTACAACACAACAGCCGTAGAAGTTTAGAGTCAAGGAAGGAGATGTACGATGCATAGCCCATATTATCAATATTGCTGTTCAAGATGCTCTTAGACTTTAAAAGCAGCCCCTGCTGAGCAGGTTGAGAGTTATCAGTGTGAGCAGGGAGCTGCGCGGATTCCAGTAAGCTTCGATAGTAATATTGAAGTTAAGAATACTCTTGGTAAGCTACGAAGACATATCTATGTATTTAAAAATTGAAGGCAATGGAAAGATGCTCTTCAAAAGCAGACTATTGCAGCTGGTCTTAAGAAGCTACAACTATCACTTGATATGCTAGTCCGGTAGAACTCAATGTACGAAATGGTTTCAACGGTCATTAAGCTACAGACGCCAATTACAGCGATCTGTGCTACTCAGAAAATGGATCTAAGTATGAGAGAAATCGCTCTTATACCAGAGGATTGGATAACACTCCATGTGTCATGGGTAGGTAGGAAGTAAGAAGGGTCAGTCGCGGGTCCGTGTTAGGGGTGCCCCGCTAGAGCACCCTAGGCTGCTATTAGGCTGCAAGACTGCAAGACGGCGCCCGTGCCCGACTTGCAACTGAGACGGTTGGGCCCAACCCCGAAGGAGTAGATAAAGTAGCTGAGCCCCCGATTAGTAGGGGCTCAGAGATTAGTCTGTTGAATACTATACATTTTGCTCCAACCTACAGTCTTAGCACACTGCCTACCTAAACCCTTACACCATGCTCTTTAGAATTTCTTCTTTATATTTGTTAAGCCGTCGCAAAAGCTACAAGCAAGCTTATATCTAACACTCAACTTCGCAAATCCTTAGTATCTAAAGATGATAAAGAAGCTTGAGGCTTTATAGAAGGAAGTTGGTATATCATTAATGATCGGCCTAGCTTGTATCGCTGCTGATAAGAAGCTTAACGAGTACTATACGCTTGCTACGAATCAACAATGGAGTCATTTAGAGGTAGCTACAATTTGCGATCCACGTATGAATCTTAACGTATTTAACAGTCTTTAGCCAAGCAGTACTAAAGAAGTCAAACGGAATAGGATTTAGCAGCAGTTCCATGACGTTTTTATTCAATATAGAGACCACCAATACTATCTTAAAGAAGAGAAAAGGGAAGATGAGGCTGATTTACCACAATTACCTACAGAACTTAACTCTGATGACGATTTATACATTTCTTATAGTATTTACTAAGAACCAGAATGGAAGCGCTAGCTTGTTAAGCCCCGGCTAGGTCTAGCAACAGATATCCTCAAATATTAGGCGGCAAAGCAATATCAGTATCTAATTATAGCAGTAATTGCTCGACACCATTTGGCAATTCCTGCAACATCAGCTCCATCAGAATGGGTCTTTAGTAATGGAGCTGACAATCTCCCAAATGCGAAGGGTAGCTTGGTGTTCTGGGTCCCTAAGTAGTGTTTCTCTTCTGTTGTAGGTGTGGCTTTCCAAGGGGTCTTTGTGGCTTGTAGTAGACTGGGTTTCTTGCCCTTGATCTTGACTCCGGTCATGGATGATGCATCCTTGTGCATCGCATGCCATTGTAGCAGGCTTCACTTCTTGTCCTTGGAGTTGTTGAGGTCAGGATTTTCTTCTGACTTGCTGGAATCAGGAATCAGACACGTATATGGTGAGGGCCCTATTGCACAGGTGTCGGCCGTACGAGCCACTCGAGAGAGCGCACTTCCATCACGGTTGAGGGAGCATCACGGAAAGGTCTGATTCTGCTGATATATTCGGTGTTTGAGTATAGTGCTTCTTCGAGATCTCAGGTTGTTCTGGGTTCTGGGTTTCTGGGTTCTGGGTTTCTGGGCTCTGGGTTTTTTGTTTCTTTTCTGGTTTCTGGGGTTTCCAAAGAAGGGAATTCGAATTTCAGTATCAAGGTTCGCGCTCAGAGAGCAAAAGAAAGGTGAGATTCAATCTTATGTTACGATGGTCACGGAGGTCATGATACCAGTCCGGGTAAAGTAAGCTAGATTGAATCTAAAGAGAGAAGAAGAAGAAAAGTAGGAAGGTGAGGCTATCCCTCATGATATACAGCTGTTCGCTTAGCGATCCCTTGTAACCTTGGTGGCTACTATAGCTGCCTGTTCCCATAGTTGCTAGCAGCTGTGAGCTGCGATCGTAACATCATTAGCCAACTAACAGATATATTAAGCAGTAGGCGTATTTAGGATTGTACGCATCTCTAAAGGTTGTAAGGATGCCTCCGCCCTTAGTGACAGAAGGGATCAGAGTCAGACAGGTTACGGTCACATGGGGAGAGTTAGGGCCGGTTAGCCGAGTCGGACCCGTTTCGGGTACTTAAGGAGATTGACCCAACGGGGGTTCCTCTCTTCATCTTTTTTGTATCCTTCATAGTAGACCTATAGGATAGCATCCGTTTAGCCTCTGACTCGCACTCTCATATGCTATTACTGTGAGCTGGGTGCCCTGTGTCCTTACAAAGCTGCAACTAAGACAGTATTTGCTTTGCGTAGTGTATAACAGTTAGGCAAACTGCTCTTCTAAAAGATAGTGTTAAAAATATCATACTTAGTTGGTGTTTTTAGTCACTCATCTGTTACATCTATCTATAGAAGCGTCACTATCTAGATCACCTGTTAAGGTTAGAAAGGTCATAGGCTAGCGCCTCTCTACATAGATGTAATATTATGAGTAGATAGTGCACTCGCTCTTGCTTTAATGTACATAGATAACCATTCTGCTTTCTATATACACGTGAGTTGCTCTTCGTTTAAGTGCAAGAGCGTAGTTGCGAGGTGTTTTTTCAATGGTCTAAAGACTATGACATCAAGTGGTTGCAACATATGCAAAGTATACAGTATGACCACAAGGATAGAAATTCGATTTTGTATACATATAAGTAAAGTTGTTGTTGCCCTCTACTAGCTGTCGCTGTTGTTTTTGCGCATGTCGTAGGTTTAAACACGCGTTTTAACCACTTAATGCCATGTTAATTGCTTGTCTAGCCCTTTAAATTATCAGAAAAGTGCCATCTACCAATAACCTCTAGAGGGACCTAGCTTTATAAGATGTTCTGCCCCTTGAAGATAATAAGAGGGTTGATGGTTGTTCTGTCTATGCAGGTGCATCCAACAGCAGACACCCACTCCTGCTAGCCCTAGTGTGCCTAGTGATGCGTATAGAGCATGGAATTATCGACGATCCGATTACACTCTATAGTGCTAATCGGAAATCCAACATTATGTTCTTGTATTTTAAGACGTGTTACAAGGTCCTTATACGCATCAAACCCGGTAACACATCTTTTGTAACCCCATTTATTCTTTGCGCTTTGACTCGTCTGCCTAGTTGGATTGTAAATGCGGATGTCGTTTTATAAAGCGAAGAACCCACTCTTGTCTAAGGGGAAAGTTAGGGATCTGTTCGTGTTGCGGAGGTTGAGAGCTAAGGTACGATGGTTTGAAAACGCAGCATCAGTAACACAGATTTCATCCGCAATATCCCGTAATATACGATGGCTAGGTGCATATCCACTATTTGTTAGCACTTTAATCCACTTTAAAAGCGTCTGTCCTTGCGTAGGTGATAACAATTGCTGTTGTTGTCGGGCTTGTCGCCGTGATGGTTGTCCTTTAACGCGTTAAAGGACTGTGTCTAGCAGGAGTTGTAAAGATTTTGCAGCACCATACGAAGATTTGTACAAGCTAGATTTAACTCCGGCAACAGCTTCCGCTAATAAGACTTCGAGTTCCTGAGCTTTCACGTTATTTTTTAGCACCATGTTGGGTTGGTGTTGGTTTGGTGATACTGTGGATGCATGGCAATCCCCCACTATCCCATAACGCCATTATCCCGTTTACGCCATGACTTCCGTTATTTATATTCACCTTCTGTTGTTTGGACACCATTCGCTTGTTTCCGTGGAGACTGTTATGCCGATTGTCCTGACACCGCCCAAATGCGATTCTAGCCGCATAATCCTATGCCCTGGAAACAAGGCCATGATGGTGTTCCCAGTGTATCCTCCACGCCCATACCCACGCTGGCGTTGTGCCAACAATGGACCTTCTTGAGTATGAATAATGACACAGTAAAGTGCGCCTGGAAGACAATAGAGATGGATAATAAGAGCTTCTAGACTAATACATATACTTAATTCGCTGCTTCTACAAAGTGACCCAACGCCACATAAACGCGCAACAACACACCTCTCCATACCTCTCTATTCCTACAGCACAAGCCCCTCTCCCTCAACAGTCCTAAAAAAACATCATCGCCGTGTCTACAGGCGCCGCACCCCCCGCCCCATCACCGCCCCGAATCGGGCTCCCCGACTTAAAGAACAAAAACTTAATCGCCACCGCTAGTGCAAAATGCAGGACAACCACCAACACCAACAGCGCCTTGCCGACCTTGCGCTCCGTCGCGCCAAGCACGGGGTACAGGTTGCGCAGCAGGAAGGCGACGCTGAGCCCGAAGCCGACGCCGACGAAGACCCAGTTGAGGATGCTGATGCGCGACCATGAGATCAGGGCTACGGGAATCCAGATTAGGTTCGAGTAGCCGTAGAGGGCGACGCACTCGAGGAGCTGGGCGGTATCGGCGCCGAAGTAGTGGAGGGCGCCCCAGAGGATGACGGGGATGACGGCCGTGTAGCCGTAGATGAGTCCCGCGGCACCTGGAGGGTGTTAGTCATGGCCCCGTTTTGTCTTTTTGGTGGAATGAATGGGTGGGTGGATGGAGGGGGGGTGTTGGTTGGTAGAGGGGTAGTACGGAAAGGGGCACATACCACTCAGCAGCCTGAAATCATAACGGAACCCATCGGTGCTCTTCCCCGTATCCGCAAGATACTGACTCACAGTCCCGCCCACAAACAAAATAAACACAACCGTCGTAGCGATCCAGAACGGGCCGTACAGGTCTGGGTTCCCATCGAGCACGTCCAGGAAGTTGGCGCGCGGGTATAGAGCTGCGCCGCAGCGGCTCAGCACGGAGGAGGTATCGACATCGAAAAACTGTGAGTAGAAGCCGAGGGAGAGGACGTGCTTGGTCGGGGAGGAGGAGGTGGCGGGCGGGGGGAGGCCAGCGGAGGGCTTATTGCTGTTGTTGGGGGAGGTGAAGGTGGAGTTGTGGAAGGAGAGGTCTTCTTGGAGGTCTGTGTGGCCGAGATCGCCCTGAGAGATGAAGTTAGCACATGTGGGATGTGAGTTGGCGATGAGGCCGAGGAGGTAGGATGCGCAAGGGGGAGGAAGCTCACCTCGTCGTCCACATCGACGACAACGTCGTATCCCGCGTTGTTGCTGCTCGACATTTTATGTATCGTTCTTCCGTCCTCACCGCGCGTTCTTAAATCCAAATCACAGCCCGACTTATTTCTTTCCTTGCCTAGCCGTATGCGTTGCGTGTTCAATATCGCGATATCAGATTCACATCGATAGACTCGACGAACCGTTGGGCCAGCTTTTCCCTGGCGCTCAGGGCCGCGAATAAAGTGGTCCGTGCACCACAAGCTCCATTGGACATCACGAGGCTGAAAGGCTGTGGCTGAAATGTGGCTGACGTAATCCGAGGTCCACATATCAGCACGAACGCCGTCATTAACCGCAACGAGAACATTCTCCTAATTCAAACACGACATCAGGATCTCCCTCACAGAAATTAGAAGCTATGAATACAACAACCCCTCGCATCTCTGCCGCGCTCGCGCGTGCCTCCCGCTCTGCCGCTGCAAAGCAATCCCCTCACCAGCTTCGCCCTCTCGGTTCCCGCATCCAGAGCATCCGCACACCTACATCAATCCCGCAGTCGCGCCTCTTCAGCATCGCAGCAGTACGCCAGGATAACTGGAAAACTGCACCAGCTCCCATCGCAGCTTCCAGTCCAACTCCCTCAAAAGCACCAAGCAAAATCTACAGCTTCGAAGAAGTAAGCCCCCCCACCACTCCATCCAACCACCCCAACACCCAAGCTAACCCCCTCCCAAGGTCCGCACCCACGCCCAAAACCCAACCCCCACCTCCCCCATCCTAATCGATGTCCGCGAACCCGGCGAGCTTCACACCACAGGCCGCATCCCCACCTCCGTCAACCTCCCCCTCTCCTCGTGCCCCGACGCCTTCTTCCTCCCCGCCGACGAGTTCGAGGAGCGATTTGGCTTCGAGAAGCCGAGAGAGGGGAGGGCGGTTGTGTTTTATTGTAAGGCTGGCGTGAGGAGTAGGGCCGCGGCGGCGTTGGCGAGGGAGGGGGGCTGGGGGCTGGTGGGGGAGTTTCCGGGGAGTTGGATGGAGTGGGAGGGGAGGGGTGGGTACGTTGAGAGGTAGGTGTATTAGGTGGCGAGCCTGGCATCGATTGGAAATAGTTGGAGGAGAAAGTTGGATCAAGCTACATAGACCACAAGTACATACATAATCTTCACCACCCTGTCCTCAACAGCAAACTTAACATCCTACGAAAGTCAAAGATAGCATCGTTTACTCCAGCTTAAATTACCCAGTGTACGTATACATAACACCTCCGTCGCCATTCCCATCACATAACCCCGACCCATTCTACTCGCCCAACCTTCCTGACCACCCCCTCCCGTCTACAGCACCCTACTCGTCGAACACCTCCTCCACCCGCGGCGTAAAGTTTCGATTTACAGGTGTCGCCGTCGACATCTGCGGTGCGGACGACGAGGTGGTTGTTGCGGAAGCTGCGGGAGGTTGGCCGGGGACTTGTAGTGGTCTTGCCGAGATGCCAGAGGAGGTGGCGGCTTTGCTGGACTTCTTCTTGGACTTCTTCTTCTCCTATACACCGTGTTAGTATTGTCATCTCATGTGAGCAAGGGGATTAGGGAGACGAACCTCTTGCCATCCCCACACGGGCCTGAAGCTGTCACAGAATCCAACATCCTCGAAGAGGTTAGGGTACAGCCAGAGTCCCGGCGGCACCACAAAGTACGTAAGACCGAAGAGAATAAGACGGAAGATGCTCATAGCGAAGAAAAGACCAATCAACCCAAGCATACCCATACTGAGATACCACACCCCCAAGCGCATCTTCATGGGCCAAAGCGGGAACATGACGATGGCAAACACAATCGCCAGCGCACCAGCAGCATACAGCTTCGTCATGACCTGCGACCCCTCGTACAGCCACACAAAGTGCAGCTCCTCACGACACTCCTGCTGCTGCTCGATCTTCACCGTCCACAGCCCCTTGACGCGCTTGCCCTTGGCAACTGGGCCATGGTCGTGACCCTCATGCGGGTCGATCTTGGTGACGCGCAGAGCGAGGAGAGAGAGTGGGAGAAGCTTGAATACGTTTTCGAGGGAGGGACGGTCGGTGATGGGAGGTAGGAGGGCGTTCTTGGCGCGGGCCTTCTCGTAGACCGGGCTTTGGAGGGCGCGAAGGGCGCGCTTGACTTGGGTGGTGTTAGTGGTGGTTAGGGGGTTGGAGTGGGTGAATGAACGGCTTACCCTTGAACATATCCTTGCGCTGGCCATTCAGAATACACGTCCGCGGTTTCAAGTCCTGGCTCCTGAGGAAATTGGCGACGGCGATAGCAGCTGGGTTAGGCGGGCCAGGAGTAATCGGCTGTGGTTGCCCTTGGGGGGGAAGTTGGCCTCCGCCTCCGCCCTGCTGCTGCTGCATCTGCTGCTGCTGCTGCATCTGCTGTGCCCTCTCTTGCTGCTGCTTCTTGAGCATCTCTATGAATTCGGGGACAGAGACGCCCTGCTTCGCGGCGTCGGCGGCGAGCTGGCGCTGCATCATCTGGATCTGCTCTGGGGTTGGTTGTTGCCCCGGCTGCATGGGGGGAGGGCCGCCTGGACTCGCCATTTTGGATGTGCGGGGTTGTCGTGGAGCTATAGGAGAGAGAAGGATACGAAGGTATCTGTATGTACCTGTGGTGATGTTGTTATCCAGTGGTGTTGTCGTGAGCGTTTGGCTGGTTGTGAGCTGGGATCGCGCTTTGGGGAATCATCATATCTGTCACTAATCGTGACTGGCGGGACATGCCGCAAGCGCAAGGCTGACAAGCCTCGCCGTGCGACCATGCGAGAGTTAGAGCGAGCGTATGTCATCAGTCCCCATCTCGGCCAGCCCGGCATCAATTGATCAAGTGGCATCAACACATCAATCGTTGGCGATTTATACAATGAGCTTCTTCTACTTCTAGTTGTTATATATTTCAAATACCTAATTTTGCTCCAAATCTGATGTCTCGTTCCCTTCTCTTTTCAGGTTTGGGGTTGAGCGCGAACTATCCTAATGTCGTCTGACGACTATGCGCCTGGAAACGATGCGGTCCTTTCTGTCGACGAGGCGCGCGTACAACTCTCTCAACGAGATCTCTCTCTTTCAATTCCTATTAATTTTATGACCGTTCCGGGGGTCTCTCTCACCGCAGCATGTTTGGGGAATCGAGTGATTGGTGAGGGCGAGTTGGCACGATGTTTCTCAAATCTCCTGTCGGTGGGATTCCGTCGCTTTGAGCTTGACCTGTAAGTTTCCAATTGTTGCAGATAAGGGTCTTCACTAATTGTGATTTAGATACTGGGATGCTGGACGGAGTTTGTGGAGTTTCTGTCCTGTCGAAATGAAGCAAATGCCTGGAGACGACAACGGCAGCTCTTCCTTGTCGCAAAGTGGCACGCCGCCTGCAACCACAACGAATCAAGGCAGCCTATCATTTCCAGCCGCTGTGGCAACTTCGATTCAAGAAAAAGGTACCAATGACGCTTTGCCAGTCTCAGGAACATCAGAACGTATATCCGTGTCCCCGGCGCCAACGCCATCAAGTGAGCCGATGCACGCGGAAGGACACTACAAATGCTCGCCCGCGGCGACTCTGGAGATGTTTGGACACCAATTGCACAGCTATCTTGTAGATACACAGAACACATTGGAGGCACAACTCTCATATTATGTATTTAACATCCACGCCGCGGCATCACGCACATCACCCTATTCACCGGCGCAGGCTCCTACTAATCTTCCTGTTGGCGGGGAACTCATCGGGCGTATGCTGAGCAGCAATCTCTCATCGTACATATACACTCCCATCCACCTCTCCAACAACCGAGCCAACCTGAACTCGTCGTGGTACACTGTCCCCGAACGTTACCGGCCAGTCACGGACTATTATTCCGTCGAAATAGACGACAACGGCGTTTGGTCCACCGACGATGGTTGGCCCTCGGAGTCCTTCATCGAGTTCTCCAGCCTAAAACGCGTCCTCTTCCAATTCGGCACCATCGACCCCCAAATGCAAGGCGCCGACTATACTGCCGACGCCTCCATCCTCTTCCCCTCCGGTTATATCACCCAACCCCAACCCTCCGCCTCCCTCAACTCCACCTCCCACCTCACCAGCGACTGCTACCTGCACCCCTTCCCCGCTGTGCCCTCCAACACCAACTCCTCCTGGGCAACCTACGCCCTCACCACCCCCCCCACAAACACAACCCTCACCTCCCTAACAACCTGCGGCATCTCCCCCCACCTCAACACCACCCTCACCGCCCCCGCCTTCACCTCCCCCCTCCCCTACCGCTCCTTCGCCCTCTCAACCCACTGGCCATGGGCCCCCTCCGAACCAACAAACTACTCCTCCACCCTCTCCGCCGCCAACGCCGCCCTCATGCGCTGCGCCATCGCCTCCCCGTCCGGCGCCTGGTCCGTAACCTCCTGCGCCGATAGACACTACGTCGCCTGCCGCTCTACCCCCTTCAGCTGGTCCATTTCCGACCACGCGGTTGCTTTCCCCTACGCCCCCTCCGCGTGTCCCCACGGCACCACTTTCGTGGCCCCGGCGTCCGCGCTTGAGAACGCGTACCTGGCGCAGGCGCAACGGGATACCCAGCGCGATTACGACAACCAGGGGGTATTCGTCGCGTTCAACAGCGCGCAAGTGGATGGGTGCTGGGTTATTGGTGGGGCGGATGCGGTGTGTCCGTATGATCGCGTGACGCTGCTTTCGTTCGCGAGGGCGAGGGAGATTGTGGTGCCGACTGTGGCGGCGGTTATTATTCTGGTGATCAGTGCGTTGACGGTGTTTAGTAAGGTGGCGGGGAATCGGAGGGGGGGGAGGGGGAGGAGGGGGAGGGAGAGGGAGAAGGGAGGGAGAGCGGCGAATGGGTTTGTTTATGAGGGGGTGCCTTTGTAGGTAGGGGTTGGAGGGGGAAAAGGGGGAAGGGGGTGTTTTTGTTTTTTTAAGGAGTATTTTTGTTTTAAGAGGGTATGGGGAAGGCGTTCAGGTGCTGGAAGGGGGTATGGTCTTTGCATTTTACGGCTGGGATGGGTCTTTTGATGGCAGCTGAGGGAGAAATGTGGAGGGAGCAGGGAGCAGGGAGGAGCAGGGAAAGGGGTGAACAGTGGTTCACAGTAATACAGTACAACAATGCGACTTTCGTATTCGGATCCCCAGTGTGAGGTGGTGATTGATTGGCGGCGGCCCCTTGCATGGCTTATTTTGCATCTCACGAGCATGAGAAATGCTGCTTACATAAGCCATTTCTCCAATTGTAACTTAACGTACTTGATAAGTAAGCGGTCCATACAAGTAGGCGGTCCACACCCCACCAAAACCACCACTTTACAGACCAATCTATAACATATTACATTATAGCGAACCCCTGCAGCTTTCATCTTAACTATATGACATTATATACGCGAGGCCCGAATGATTGGCTGTCAATTGGCGTAATTCGGGATTGGCTGCTATATTTCCATAGTGCTACTTGGTTTAAGGGTCTAATGAGTTCGTCACCTGCTATTCGGTGTGTGCACTGCCGTTTATACCAGGACCCGTCGCTCTTCGTACTAATCGGCTAGGTCGCCGCTATACTACTTGCACTTTATGCTCTACCCGCCGGTCCTCTCGGTCTACGCTCCGCACCCAGGAGAGGGCTACTGCTGAGGCTACTGCCATACAACCTCTTACGGACACTGATCTATCTGAAAGGCGCCGCCGCGGTCATCCGCCACGGCAGTTACCTACCCCTATCCCCCTAGTACCTCGCCCTATCGAACCTCTTACCATTACTGAACCTCTTACAGTCTCCCCTAAGCCGCCTGCGTTCCTCTCACGCTTCGTCCTTAGCCCTTCGCACAACCTTGGCCGGCTCGACTATGAATGTGAATACTGTGCTACGCTACACTGGGTTGAGGAGGCTACTCAGAGCGGGCAGTATGAGAGCTGCTGGTGATGTTGACCTTCCGCCTTTACGGAGACCTCCAGTATATTTACGGAAGCTGTTTACGGACCAAAACCCATTAGGGAGGGCCTTCCGTAAAGAGATACGGGAGTATAACAACACCCTGGCTTTTACTTCTGTAGCTATACTCGCGACTCATGCATCCAGCAGAAGGTTGGAATACAGAGCTTTCAAATTCATGGCGAGCTATTTCATTACCAGGGCCCGTTACAGCCTACTACCCAGGAAACGCCTGCCTTTGCTCAGCTCTTCTTTTACGACCCCTCTTATGCTACGGAGGCACGGCGACTGCAGCATCCGCAGCTTGATGGTATTATTCTTATGCAGTTATTACAGCTACTTACAGACCATAATCCGTTCATTGCTATCTATAAGACTGCGCAGGAGCAGCTTACGGCTACTACAGATAGTAACAGCCCCTTCCGTGTTATCCTCAACCCGCAAATGCGCCAAATAGTAGAGAGTGGCGCTGATAAGCATCGAGAGAACCTGCCTACGAGTGATGAGATTGCAGCTATTATTCCGGATGAGCTTGGCACTTCTGGGCCGCGGGACTTAGTTCTCGCCTTCCATAACCCAAGTCCTGGTAGGCGCTATCTATCAAAGGTTCATGTAACGCACGCGTCATATATGCCACTTCATTACGTGCTTCTATTTGTCTTTGGGGAGTATGGGTGGCATTGGGGTCTTACTTTACGGGATAACAATGTGTCATACTGACATTCGTTGCACTCAGTTTGCTATCAAACTCAAGAGCAAACTTGAAAATCTCCTCCTCAAACCTACAAGTCACTATACATATTTTGTCTTATCACACCAACAACAAGAGCAATACTACTCAACGATTGCTACAACCATCTATGATTCATTACACGTCATCGCTCCTTAGTTACTGAGCCTATATTACCACATAGCATATCTCTACAACCCTCTATGATTCATTACATGACATCACTCATACTACCACATGACATATCTCTACCAACTAGAGGCCTAGGAGCATGAACGATAGCTCTAAAAGCTCCTACGAATGATTCATTACATGTCATCGCTCTTTAGTTACCCACAAGATTGGTTAAGTTATGACATAATTTGTCTATGACATAATTTGTCTATGACATAATTTGTCTATAGGGGTACTCTGACCTTGGACCTCCTTTTACTTCCTATAGGCTACGAACCTAAGAGATGGTTCTATGGGATTCTCTTACGTCGACTACAGTTACCAAGCCTGGTAAGTCATGGAAACTCTTGGAAAATGAGAGAACTACACTCCTTTAGCATAAATAGGATTGCCCTTTCCTTAAGAAAGGGCAAGCAGACAATACAGTAAATCGACTATCACATACTTCCACTGTAAGGACACAGGGAATACGGCTCTCCGTAGGTGCATATGGGAGTGCGAGTCGGAGGTGATGCTGTATTCTATCCTATAGGTCTACTACGAAGGATACAAAAAAGATGAAAGGGGAGCTTATAGCTTCCTACCCCTTATGTACCTAAATGGGGTCCGACTCGGCTAGGCCTTAGCGTACCGGTAGATCCACTCCCGTCTGCCGCCCGAATCGACCCCGACCCTAGAACATCTATGCTGCTATACTACTATGTCGCCTATTCCGCGTTGTCTTACGGGTCCGAGGGTACCCCGTGTAAGGAGGCATCCTTACATCCACGTCTTTTCCAAGCTTCCAAGCATTCATCTTGTTTGTTACTCCTTGTTTCTGAAAAGTCAGTGAGGTGTTAACCTCTGACTTACCCCTGAGTTCCCAGACTCAACATTTGTTGCAACTTGTCTGAACCACTTCACTACATCACACACCTGATTGCTGCGTTGTGGAATAGTCTAAGCTACGACCCTTTGGCTCTGTTTTCTAAGACAGTGTGTTGTCTTAGTAAATTCATCCCTTCCTTGGGTGGCTAGATTCTCACATCTGGTGCACCCACCATTACACATCCGACTCGGTTCCGACTCGGTTAGGCCACCCAAATGATCACACGTGACCCCGCGGCTACCCGTAGCCTACTCCCTAGAATGAGAGACGAGAAGGCATCCTTACAAAGACGTGGAAGTGTGTGATAGTCGATTTACTGTATTGTCTGCTTGCCCTTTCTTAAGGAAAGGGCAATCCTATTTATGCTAAAGGAGTGTAGTTCTCTCATTTTCCAAGACTTTCCATGACTAACCAGGCTTGGTAACTGTAGTCGATGTAAGAGAATCCCATAGAACCATCTCTTAGGTTCGTAGCCTATAGGAAGTAAAAGGAGGTCCAAGGTCAGAGTACCCCTATAGACAAATTATGTCATAACTTAACCAATCTTGTAGGTAACTAAGGAGCGATGACGTGTAATGAATCATAGACAGTTGTAGAAGCTTTTGGAGCTATCGTTCATGTTCCTAGGCCTCTAGTTGATAGAGATATGTCATGTGTAGTAGCCCAGTAACTAAGGAGTGATGTCATGTAATGAATCATAGAGGGTTGTAGAGATATGCTATGTGGTCATATCGGCCCAGTGTAATGGTGGGTGCACCAGATATGAGAATCTAGCCACCCAAGGAAGGGATGAATTTACTAAGACAACACACTGTCTTAGGAAACAGAGCCAAAGGGTTGTAGCTTAGACTATTCCACAACGCAGCAATCAGGTGTATGATGTGGTGAAGTGGTTTAGACAAGTTGCAACAAATGTTGAGTCTGAGAACTCAGGGGTAAGTCAGAGGTTAGCACCTCACTGACTTTTCAAAAACAGAGAATAACAAGATCAATGCTTGGAAGCTTGGAAAAGACGTGGAAGTATGTGCTAGTCGATTTACTGTATTGCCTGCTTGCCCTTTCTTAAGGAAAGGGCAATCCTATTTATGCCAAAGGAGTGTAGTTCTCTCATTTTCCATGACTTTCCATGACTAACCAGGCTTGGTAAATGTATTAGAAATCAAGTGCGACCCACAACTAGCTTGCTAATCATGTAGTGAACGTAAGAGAATCCCATAGAACCATCTCTTGGGTTCCTAGCCTATAGGAAGTGAAAAGGAGGTCCAAGGTCAGAGTACCTATAGATAAATTATGTCATAACTTAACCAATCTTGTGGGTAACTAAGGAGCGATGACGTGTAATGAATCATAGAGGGTTGTAGAAGCTTCTAGAGCTATCGTTCATGTTCCTAGGCCTCTAGTTGGTAGATATATGCCATGTGGTAGTATTGGCCCACCCCCTTAAGGAGGAGATTTTCTTAATAACTTGTTCAATGAGTGTTCAAATGATATGCCGTGATGTATGTAGCATAAACAGATGTAGTAGAAGAGTTTGCAGCAATCGTTGAGTAGTATTGCTTCTGTTGTTGGTGTGATAAGCCAAGATATGTATGGTGACTTGTAGGTTTGAGGAGGAGATTTCTAAGTTTGCTCTTGAGTTTGATAGCAAACTGAGTGCAACAAATGTCAGTATGACACCCAGTAACTAAGGAGCGATGATGTGTAATGAATCATAGATGGTTGTAGCAATCGTTGAGTAGTATTGCTCTTGTTGTTGGTGTGATAAGCCAAAATATGTATAGTGACTTGTAGGTTTGAGGAGGAGATTTCTAAGTTTGCTCTTGAGTTTGATAGTAAACTGAGTGCAATGAATGTCAGTATGACACGTACTGGTCCGTTTTTGAAGCAATAAGTTGGCCATATCTCGAATTGAAGCCATACGAACTGGTAACCCTCGCTCATCCATAGATAAGATCCTATTAACAAGTGTTAATTCCTCTGTATCTGTAAGTTTAAGGTTTGCGGACCGTATTTCTCGTTGCGGAACGCGTCCTTGGAGACGCGCCCGTAAAGTTGTATGAGAGACCTCGTACGTGTCCGCTGCGCCCCCTATACTAGTAAAATAGCCTGATTTGTATGATTTGACCGCAAGGGCCATTCGCCCTTCTTTAGATAGTGATTGGATATCAATTGGTTGAGACATGACTAGTAAAGTGGTCTGTAAAGTGGTGGTTTTGGTGGGGTGTGGACCGCCTACTTGTATGGACCGCTTACTTATCAAGTACGTTAACTTAATCTACCTAAGTTTAACTTGCAAGTTAGAGTAAACAACCCCTCTACGAAAATCAAATTTAATTTAATTATATTTCACCCCATCCAGCCAATCACAGCCCTGTATTTTCACTCTTCGCTGCTGAAAAAGTAAATAATAAAGTAGAACCAGAGCAACCGCCTTTTCACTTTTTTGCGGCCCGTTGTACCCTGGTCCCCCTTTAACAGATTGCCCCATCTCTCGCTACTCAACCTCACTTCTTCTTCCTTCTCTGTTTCCTCTCCTTCTCTTTTTATCTCCATACATAAACGCCACAATCCCGCAGCTTCATTCTCTCACGCCGAGTCTGGAGAGGAGAGATTGACCATAACCCTCGATATGGCGACCATCCAGGACCTCAACAACGCGACTGCATTCGCCTCCCCCGTCGCCGACGCCAACTTCGCCTCGTTCGTCGAGAACCCCTTCGTCGACAACATCATCCAGACCCTCGGCAGCTTGTCAGGATGGCACATGGCCTTGACCATCTTCCTGGGCCTCGTCGTCTATGATCAGGGTACGCTTCTACCACCCGCGAAGCAAGGGAGAACCTAATGGCTAACGATATAACAGTCAGCTACATTTCCAAGAAGGGATCCATTGTCGGCCCCGCCTTCAAGATCCCATTCATGGGCCCCTTCCTCCAGTCCGTGAACCCCAAGTTTGAGGAGTACGCGGCCAAGTGGGCAAGCGGCGAGCTCAGCTGCGTCTCCGTCTTCCACAAGTAAGTCACAAGCAGCACTCTACAGCATCAATTGGCACACGATCTAACAGCAAGCCCCCAGGTTCGTCGTCATCGCCTCCACCCGCGACATGTCCCGCAAGATCTTCAACTCCCCCCAGTACGCGAAGCCCTGCGTCGTTGACGCCGCTCATAAGCTCCTCGGCCACGACAACTGGGTCTTCCTCGACGGCAAAGCGCACGTCGACTTCCGCAAGGGTCTCAACGGCCTCTTCACCCGCTCCGCGCTCGACATCTACCTCCCCGGCCAAGAAGACGTCTACAACGAGTACTTCAAGAAGATGGTCCAAGTGACCGCCGACGCCGGCGGCAAGCCCGTCCCCTTCATGGCCAACTTCCGCGAGGTCACCTGCGCCGTCGCCCTCCGCACCTTCTGCGGAACCTACATCACCGACGAGGGCGTCAAGAAGATCGCCGACGACTACTTCCACATCACCGAAGCCCTCGAGCTCGTCAACTTCCCCATCATCATCCCCTTCACCCGCACCTGGTACGGTAAGCGCGCCGCTGACCTCGTCCTCGCCGAATTCTCCCGCTGCGCCGCCAAGTCCAAAGCCCGCATGGCCGCCGGCGCTCCCGCAAACTGCATCATGGACCAGTGGGTGAAGACCATCCTTGATTCCGCAGCCTACACCGACCGTCTCAACTCCGGCGCCTCCATGGAGGGAATCACCAAGCCCGCTCCCCTCCTGCGCATGTTCTCCGACTACGAAATCGCACAAACGGTCTTCACCTTCCTCTTCGCATCCCAGGACGCTACCTCCAGCGCCGTCACCTACCTCTTCCAAACCATGGCCCAGCGCCCCGATGTCCTCGACCGTGTTCGCGCTGAGAACCTCCAGGTCCGCGGCGGCGACCGCGACAAGCGCGTCACAATGGACGATCTCGATGAAATGACCTATACCCGCGCCGTAGTCCGCGAACTCCTCCGCTACCGCCCCCCAGTGATCATGGTCCCCTACCTCGTCAAGAAAGCCTTCCCCATCACCCCCGAGTACACGGTCCCCAAGGGCGCAATGGTAATCCCGACCACCTACCCCTCTCTGCGCGACCCTGAAGTCTACCCGAACCCCGACACCTTCGAGCCGGAGCGCTGGATCTCGGGCGATGCGGAGACGAAGGGGGCGAAGAACTTCTTGGTCTTTGGGACGGGGGCGCATTATTGTCTGGGACAGGTTTATGTGCAGAGGAATTTGGCGCTGTTGGTGGGGAAGGCGAGTATGAGTTTGGATTGGGTGCATCATGCTACGCCATTGTCGGAGGAGATTAAGGTTTTTGCTACGATATTCCCGAAGGTGAGTCGCTGTCCCCCCCGCAAAGTTTTGGATGTGTATACTGACTACGAACAGGATGATTGCCCATTGACATTCACCGATCGCCCAGAGTCAGCGAATGGGTTGTAAACAAAAACTAGTCCTCATTGTGACGATTGTACCTACCACCATATCTTGTTCGGACCCGATCCGATAGTGTGTCTGCACACTTTTAATGCCCCCGCTCTGCTTCACGCCGACGGGGGATGGATGGATGGAAGGACGGCGTTCTTCATTTTTCTTTATTAATGGGATTTTGCTACGGAAAACTTCGTTTTAATTTTATGCTTAATAATGGACGGGAGTGGGCAGAAAGATGGTGTATTTTCTGCTGTTTTTGATGCGGTTGGCATAGGGAGGGATGGGATAGAACATGAAAGGGGGGGAGGAGGTAGTACATAGTGTGTGTATCCGTGGTAGAGGGGGAGGAAAGAATTGATTGAGCTTACGCTTATGTTTACTATCTCCATATATGTGTTTTGCATGTGTTTCGTATGTGTTTAGATGTGTGTTTGAATGTGAGTTGTGGTTTACAGAAACACAACAGCAGATATAAGCCCATGTCGTGGTCTTATGGGAAAGATGAATAGCACAGCCAGCTTCATATAATGGATTGTATCCAATCCATGCCTACTACATTAGAGCTGGGGAGACTGTATCTTAAAGCCACAAATCACTTCATCTCACATCACAAACCAGGCATCACATAACACATCACATCAAGCCCACACAAAAGTCATCGAAATCGAAGTGGCTCATTCCCACTCCCCCAATCCTATCCTATCCTATCCTATCCTATCCTATCTCACCCCCCTCTCTGCCACATCTACGGCGGCCCTCCTCAACCCCCATTTACCATCCATCCACGCTGTCCAACCCCACCAAGAGGGCCAGATCATCTATCTATCCATCTCATCTCCACACCACCGCGCTGCCTCTCAGGTGGCCCATAAATTACACCACGCCATTACAGCCCTCCTCAACATCTTCCATGCACGCAAAACCCTCCCCCAAAACAAAATCTAAACTCCAAACCCCCCGCTTACCCAGAAAAACAGCGCGTAAACAACCCCTCATTTCCCCAGCAATCTAACAGCAACAGAAAAACAGGGGAATGCAAAAACAAAAAATTATAATGTACACAAAAACGTAGTACACCTTCTTCCTCTCTTCTCTCGTCCGCTGCAAGATGATGAACTGAACTGGAGTGAAGTGAATAAAAACGATGCGCAGCAAAGATTCTAGAGAACGCCGGTATGCGATGGGAACATTAAATTGGGTGTTGGTGTTGGTGAGGGAGATTGGTGTGAGGTGGGTGATGTGTGGTGTGCGCTGTGGGCCGCTGAGGGGCGCTGATGAGGGTTTCGATGAGTTGTTCAGAATGTATAGTCGGTGACTGATGGCGGCTGATGCGTGGACCTAGCTGAGCAAGGGAGCATTCACCTTATCAACTCGCCCAAAAAAAAATCGCAAATGCAGCGCTAAAACGACCCCCGCTCGCATCCGGGTATCCAAGGCCGGCATTATCATAAACAGTCGTCTCTCAAAGACAAGAAAAGAAGCCGCCGATCCTCCATCCCATCCACCCACACTCAAGGCGTCTTCCCCCTCTTCCGCCTCTCCATACTACTCTCGCTATCAAAAATATCGCTCACCGCGGCCACCGACCACGTCCCGCACGAGGAGTGTATGACGAACAAGCCAAAGGTAGCGATATTAACGAGGTGGTGCAGCATATACACATACGTCACGCCATACACGGCGGCGTACATGGCGATGAAGAAGAAGAAGGAGGGCATGGCGTAGCGGAGGCGGTTGGAGACGCGGGGGATCATCTTGCCGCTGGTGAGGGTCTCGACGAGGAGGATGAACGGCATGATGGACAGGACGTTGTGGTGGGAGGAGAAGGGCGTGAGCCATTGCACGACGATGTTGTTGGCCCATACGACTAGGATGGGAAGGTTGATGGCGGGGATAGTCCAGAGCATGAGGGTGAAGACTGAGTGGGCGTAGTTGTAGAAGTGGTGGTTCGCTGCTGATCGGGTGTCGCTCGCCAGACGCCACGCGCGGGTGCAGGTTGTGATCTGAACGAGGCAGGCAACTAGGTAGGCAAATTGGTAGGGGATGAATGTCGCGACCAGTAGTAGTAGGATGCCAGTTATAATTAGGCGTCTTCGAGTGGACGAAGGATAAAATGCAGCTGAACTGGACAGCCTCTTATCATTCTTCCCAAGCCAAGCTGGGCTTGTATGCACCAACCCATACACTATTGAGCAAATCTGGATCAGGAGCAAGAAGCCGTAGTTGATTATGATGCAGATCCCGACAGAAATAACGCCAGTGAGCGGAACCAGGAACCAGAAAAATGGATCCCGAGACCCCAAAAGGAGCTCGTTCTGCTTGAAATCCACAAGCGGCGATGTTACATTCCCATTCCAACTCCATGGACTCGAGTTCGCTGAGACTGGGGAGGCCGAGCTCGATGAGAGAACCCACGATACAATCGTGAGGCACAGCATAACCAGCGGTATGGTTCGACGGAGGCAAGCGTCCATACCCTCAGTGAATGAGACGAAAATGCCGGTGTCGTTATATATCGACAGCTGCTTCCCAATAACCAGAGCAACGATAAGCAGGGGAAACGCAGCAATGATGGTCCTGTAGCGCATGTATAGCTTCCCGAAACTCCCAAAAACGTCCACGGTGAGAGATACGTCAACTGATGACCCACAGGTAGGGTCTGTCCATATCTGTAGGCTAATACCCTCATGGCCTTGGCGCGGCTCAAGTGGAGGAGGCATGAATGGCGCAACACCGTGCAGGTTGATACGCGCCTGCTTGACGTTGACGAAGTATTTCGATTCGTATGGCTTGGACAGGTACTGGCGTACTAACGGCGTGAACAGCTGGCCTTCATCTCCACAAGCTTGATTGCCCACGTTCAAATTGTATGAAAGGAGACTCGAGTGTAAAGCAGGGATATTTACTTCCATGACCATAGGACGTGTATCCGGTAGCTTGGTCTTCATTCCGAAAGCCAGGAGTTTTTTGAGACTTAGAGACCCCACTCGTTTTGATACCACTTTGTCGCTAAACTCGGCAACAACCCAGCCCGGGGCTGGTTCTGTTGCCTTGTCGACAATCGCAACGAATTGATGATCTGCAATATCAGCCAGCTCATATTGTAGATACGAAAACGGGGTAATCGGTTCGTCGTCCTGGCCAATGAATGGGTGCTTCGACTCCCGTGTAGAAGCAGGAAGCTGGATAACATCGGCAGCAGCATTCTTGCACGCGAGTCTAGCCGACCCCGGCTTATCACCAGAGAGGTCGATGTTCATAGACAGTAGAGTAGCCGACTGTCCAGCCTTCAGGGGGAATACACTGCAAAACAGCACCTCCAGCTTCCCATTTCCTCCATCCTCATCAGGCTTCTGGTCAGAGAGCAGAGTGAATCGCGTCCCGGCTAGGTTGGTCGGTATTGGCAGCAGATAGGCCTGTGGTTTGCGCGACCGCCCGAACTTCCTTAGCGTCAAACTCTTCCCCTGTTGCAGTATTGAGTTCGAGCCGTCCTCGAGCGTCAGCAGAGTGCTCGGTTCCTTCCGTGGCAGCGTCCTCTCAGCAAATGCCTCCATTCCTGTCAGAAGACGTTTCTTGAACATACGCATCCTCTCCGCTCTGGGCTTCGTCTGAGCTGCCCGGTTGACGTCCACCACATCGTATAGCGATTTTATCACCACCTTTCGGAATTGGTCGCACCATAGGATGGCCTGGTGGTCCATGCCCGTCCAGACTGTCGGCACGGTGGTGGTGAAGACTGTAAACCCATGAGTCTCCGGGACAAGCGACTCCAGACTTGCGTAATCCGAGGGTACCATGGTATCTAGTCCTCCACCGGCGATAGAAATTAATGTAACATGCCACAGAGGGTTGTTGTTTGCCCACTGCTGGGAGTATGCCTCGCGCCAATAGCGATTGACATTTTCGTATATCTCCACAATCTGCGAATCAAACGATACAGGCGGGCGCGCATGGGGTGCCGACATTGTTATTATAGTATTAATGGAATTTGATTGGTAGTTTGGCATTACCAGCATCGTCCGCGCGACAATCCCGCCCATAGAGTGTCCCAGTATTATGACTGACGTCGGGTCTGGGAGGTCAGGGTCTCGTTGGGATTGTCGCGGATCGTGGTATAGGGAAAGTATATATGCCACAGCTTCGTTCAAGTATTCGGCTTGGTCGAGGATGGCCTGGCCGTGAAACGCCGTGAACTCTTCGTTGAAGTCGACTGTGAAGAAGTCGAGGTTCCTCGTTCCAGTCTTGAGGACGGTCTCGTCGTGTCGAAGGACATCGTGGAAATAGTTCGCAGCTTCTGCAGCAATTGGTCGGACCTGCTTATAGCTTCCTGCGTTTCCTGGTATGAAAAGGATTGGAACTCCCTTGACCTGTTAGGCGTTAGTATGGCCTCGTAAGGAGCAACGATCGCACTACCTTTGTGTCCTCGTCCACCGTCGCTTCACGGTATAGATATACAGAATATTTGCTGGCAAAGCGCGTGTGCTCTGTGTCAAAGTCTTTGAGTTTGGCAAACGCAGGCCTCATATAGGACATTCGGCATCCCTTGCTGTCCATTTGTCGCGTTGTGAAGGAGTAGAATATCATGCCCATCGACAGGATCGCAAGCAGCGTTACAGCGAAGGTAGTCGGCGAATTCGACCAGGGACTCCGAAACTTTGTCCGTCTTGCTACGAAATGGGGTGGCATCTTGCCGTCGTTGATTATCTCGCTGGGAGGCACAGCGACGAGGCCTGATTTCGCAGACCCATTCTTGGTCACAGATCCATTCCGTATCTCGCCAGGCTTCCAGATCGTATTGCTCGGCCTTCGACTCCTCGCGGTATCAGGGACATCTATACTGTTCCGCGACTCAAACGATCTCCGTATGTGCTGATTGACGCCGAGCCGTGAGGGCGCATCCAGAGATTCGCCATTGTCCCGTCGCGAAGGGGGGCGAAAGCCATTGCCACTACCGTTCACCTCCGTACCTTCCCAAGCCGAAGTTATAATATTGTCAGGAGCGACGAGGGCCGCTAGGGTCGAAGGATCCGAGTCGTCATCGCCGTCGTCCTCTGCGGCCGATGCAGGAGATCGTGGCCGCATCTATAATAAAATGAAGAGAGCCAGTGTTGCAGAATTGCTCCCCTTTCCCAACGCCTCCTTGGCCTACGACACGACGTCTTTTCTAAAAAGAGGTAATCGTGTAAGGACTGAGTGTACACTCGAGTACAAGAGGATGGGGAAATTGGCGGGGGATGGGGGTATAGAGTAGGAGGAGGCGGGGAGGGAAGGTTCGGTGGGTGAGGAAAGAGATACGCAGGGAGATTTAACGGGGGAGCTTTACGGAGTAGATTTGGAGCCCCGACGACTTCACCGCCTTTGGTATTTTAGAAGCACACAGTCACTAGTAAAGTACTCTAACATTAATCCCAAAATCGCATAACTAACTTATGTCACTTTCTTTTCATCTATTTGTGCTCTACACTCGAGTAGAGATGATATCCCTTACTTTGCAAGCTTCAAAATGCGCATGTAAGGGAACTTGCCTATCACATAGGTGGCAAGGCAAGGTAGAAGTGCTGACTGCGGTATTGTTATGCTCCATCCCGTCTGTTTGTTGTCTTTGTTGTCTTATTTATTGACATCTCCACTCCCACTGACAGCCTCGCCCAGGATTCAAATCGTCGCTGGCTGCAAGTAATTCTAGGGCTTGGGTCGCGCCGTTGCTAGACCGACCCAGTCACTAAGACCTGCGCTTGGCGTCGCCCAATACGTCAAAGAAGACCCTTCTTTTTATACCTTGATTGCAGCCTGGGCAGGTGCTGAAGGGACAACAGATGAACAGCAAAAGATGTCTCTATTCGCATGCTGCCGAAACGAAGGGACAGAGAGCATCCATCTGTCGTCGTCCCGGAGATTTCAGCATTCATTGCAGAATCTCCCTGCAGCGACGAAAACGGACGAGATGACATGGGCTTTCGGGAGTTAATCGGGACCAGCATTTGATGTGATTCGACAGTGATAAAGCACACTGACGGAGCACTTCACTAAGCTCCCATAGATGTCAACATCGCGCCACCGGCGGCAGAATGACTGCTGTTGACAGACCCCCAAACCATGGAAATTAGCTCCCGCCGTGAACTCGACACCGAATAGGGTCAATCTAAAGTGTGCCCTTGGGGTTTTTGGTGTGAGAAGCTTAACCCCCACATCAAACTATCGAGCCCTATTCACACGGAGAACTCTATTGATCCGTCCTGTCGTTGAGAAAATGGATGGGTACTTCCACAGACAGGAGGTCGTTGTATCAACGGAGGATTCGTGATATGGAATCCCACTTCCAATCGCCAGGATCACGATAGGAATGGGCACAGTTTCAAAGCACCATAAGCGTGCCAAGTCATAGGCACTTTGTTCGCTTGAAACATACACCACGGCAGCTGAAAAGAAGCACCAGCGAGTGTCTCGGCGTGGCATATAAATCCACTGCCATACGTCAACACAGGCCCATTAGGTGACACACTCGGAACAGCTTTTCTGCCATCCTGACCCTGCCACGGCGCTAAAGCACGCAGGACCGCAAAGTACCACTCTCCGGCTAATCCGACGGCGTCGACCTGTGAGCTCATCGACAATTCCCCAAGATGGTTCATGTTGCACACAATTTGGAGATGACAATTGGAGAACCCCTACGTAGTATAGTAGCGCATCTATTTTATTGGGCCCCTATCGTCGCAACCTTGCTGACTTGTTGGTTTAGGCCAAGGCGGAAGTGCCTCCGTGCCAACGTTGAACGTCGCCATGAACACTATTGCTATCAATCTTCAGGATATCAACGGCGACTGCTCATTGCCATGCACTCGATCCCCGTCGCGTCCCCAAAGCAAAACACCAAACACGTTATTTCTTAGGTGTGAAAAACAGTACGTGGCCCGTGAAACGTATTCCCCATCTCGTACCCCCACCTCCATCCGTAACACAGCCTCCAGCCCCAACACCACGCCCGCAATCAAGCATTATAATACGCGGCTTATATGCACCGTCGAGGTAAACGAATCCTGCCCGTGCGTCATCAAGCAATTTTCCGAAACAACCCCTCACCTACTGCGGACGGCCCCCTTACCTTCCAATTTGAAGCTTTGGCTTTTGTCATACAGAACTCCAGTGTGGTGTCCGTCGCTGGAGTAAGGGGGAAGTCACTTGATGTGAGGGGTAGCACAGGGAGCAAGCATTCGGCGTTCGCGAGACCTTGACCCGAAGTAGCTCCTTGACCTTGATCCGGCGGCAAGGTGATAGCGACGACGCTCCAATCGCACTGGCAAATTCTGCCAGTCTATGGACTGAAGAGCTGTGCCCTGCGACAATGTTAATATAGGGATAACGCTAATGATCATTCTATTGCTGACTGCAGCAGCCTCCTACTACAGGGTGGCACAGGGGCTTCACATACCGTTTGTAACAAGCAATAGAATCCATTGTACTTCAATAGTCGCGCCATGCGCGTGTCCGAATTGTCCCCGCTAGTAGACAAAGCTCCACCTTTGTCTGGTATATACCTCAATATACCAGACCTTCGCCGCGTATTATAGCCCTGTCAGCACTTAATGGTGTATAAGCAATTGTGGCTGTTCTCGACAACGCGAGCTCCACCCATCTGATATACGGGGCCCTGAACCACGAGGCGTAAAGGCGAATAATTGTATGTTATTTATACCACGCTATGCCATACAGAATATATACATTAGATAGCTTGATATTACTCCTTCCATCTTGCAACAAAACGTCTCTCCCTGCTACTTAATGAGCGAGAACACTTTGCTGAGTGCTCCGAACAGCCTCCTGCAACCACGCAGGCCAACCCCGCAGGGCGGCTCCAACCGAATAACGGCCAGGCAAAAATATTTGACCGCTGTTACCGGATAGAATGTGGTTCATAATGGTCTCAACTACTGGCTCTGGCTCCAGGAGGAGCGGCTTGAATTTCCCTTGTCCGTGAACTTTGTCGATCAACGCAGTCCGGATGTAAGTAGGGTGGACGATACTAAGACAGCTGTTAGAGATGGTACTCATTCCCAACCTCTCTCGGAGAATCGTCACGTCAAAAACAACCCCCATATCACTTACCTAGTGCGAACCTTCTTCGCATTATAAGCATGCCTCAGTTCCTGCGCCAACCCCTCATGCAGCGCCAGCGCTCCCGCCTTGGAGCACGAATAATCCACATTCTGCACCCCCGTAATAAAGCTAGCCAAGCTGGCAATAGTCACAATGTGGCCATGATTGCGCTTGATCATCGCGGGCAGGAACTCCTTGATAAGTAGGAAATTCGCAATCACGTTCACGTCGAAGACTTGGCGGATCTCCTCTTCGCTCTCGACAAGCATGGTCTTGATCTTCATCACGCCCGCGTTGTTGACTAACACCGTCGGGTCGCCATGCTTGGAGCGGATTGCCTGGGCTACCTCAGCCAGGTTGGCGGAGGAGGTGATATCAGCCTTGTAGAAGTAGGCGTTTGCAGCTGTTATGCGGTTAGTTACATGAAAAAAATTATGGAAATGGAAGTATAGAGAGATAGAAAGAGTGTTAACTAACGAAGAGGAGTCCTAGGAGGCATAACATCCAAACTGATAACCTTGATACCCTTCGCCGCGAGCTTCCGCACGAGCAAATCCCCAAGACCACCTGATCCCCCCGTCACGAGTACTACCTCTTGACTCCACACATACCGGTCCGAGATGAAGTTATTCAGCACTGCTTGAGAGAGCAGGCCGTTGGCTTTGAGGAGAGAGAGGAGGGCCAGCATTGTGGGGAGCGCGAGCTTGACGCTGTGGGGGGTGTTTATCCATCCCATTACGAGTTTGGTAGCCAGTGGCTGGAGGCTTTCGGGTATCGTGATCGCCATGGTTATCAAGGTTGATACCCTGGCGTGTATATACCTGGATAGTTTACTGGAGGAAGAGTTAAATGCTGGTAGTTAAGATGGGGGTTGTTCCCAAATAGCCTCGGTCCAGAACGTGGTTCTGAGCTTCTTGGCGGGAAGCACATGACAAGTCACGAAACACCCGTGACACTTTCTTCTCACTTAATCTCGAGCTATGCAGTATACTTTCGTTGAAATAGCAATAAATTGGTATTGAATTCTAAATCTTTACCGCCATAGCGAATGAACGCCAGTATCAAATCTAAGTACTGTCTCTCAACCTCCCACGTCAACGTCTCAGGGCCGCACTCCTATATAAACTGGCCCCAGCTTTCAAACAGCCTCCGTAACTACGCCGTGTACCAGCCACAAGCCGCTGCATTTGCTCCATTAAATCTCCCGCCTACGCCACGCGATTCAAATCGTTTGCCTTCGCCGCCGCCCGCTGGCAAGCGTGATCATACTGGATACTCACCAGACTAACCACCAGTGCTGCCAATCCTGAAAACAGCGTAACCACGTAAGCGTTGCGGTAACACTCGAGGCCCAGGTCGCACACACGGTCGCCATCTTTACCGATGACACTATGGGCGTCGAATATGACGCCGTAGAATAGATTGAAGATGTTCCCGGACAGAACGGGTGCGAGGGTCATGAAGCCCCAATTCGTAGATAAGCCGTGGATGCCAAACACCTCCGCGACGATCGAGGGGAAGACGCCGAAGAGGAACCCATACGCCAGACCGCAGAGAGAAGAGACGAGGAATATATAGTGTGGGTCTCTGATGGTTATGGCGAGGAGCTGTGCGATCGTGAAGATGGCTGAGGCTATGGTGAGGCACCACGTGCGGCTTGCCTGAAGGCGTCGGACAAGGACGTCGGACCCAACGCCGCTGAGGAGGCGGCCGAAAAAGCTGCATATGGAGAGGATGGAGACATGCATTGCCCGGCGCTTGGTGATGTAGGTAGGGTCGGTGTCGGGGTCATAGTGGCGCCACAGCGCGGTTGCGTCGTTGCCGATATTGCTACGTCGGATGTTAGGGATGTGTAGTTGCGGATGGAGGTAGGGGGGACTTACTTAATGGTCATCAAGCCGATGCCGGAGAGGAGGCCCATGAGCGCGAAGAGGAACCAGAATTTGGTGTTCATGAATAGGCGTAGGCCACGGATATCTCCTTCTAAGTCGTCACGAATCGAGGCATTCGATGATAGCAACGAGGACGTCTCGCTGATCTTGATCGGGACGGTGACCGGTGCGGCGGCACCGGACTCTGAAGTGGTTTCCAATGAGGATATGTTTGATATAGAAATGAGGCAAAGGGAAATACAACGTACCAGGTTCCATAGACGCACCTCGGTTCGCGTGTTTCGTCTCTTGGGATCGAGTGGGGATCAAGGGATTGGAATCCGTGCTTGAAGGGGTATCGCTCGTGGGAATCGAAGAATATGCCGAATGTGGGTAGATATGCATGAAGAAGAACGAGACAAAGATTATACCTGACGTTCCAGCAGCAAGGAGGAGCAGGAAGTTGCCTGTATTACCTTCGAAGGCAAGCTGGGCAAAGGCAGAGAAGAAGAAGGCGCTGAGGCCGAATGCAGCCAGGGGGAATGCCGTAGCCGTCCCACGGTGGTGAGGCCAGTTGAGCGCGGAGACTTTCACGGCAGCTGCAAATGCACTGCAGCTTCCGAATCCCGTACATACTGCATAGAAACACAGCGCAGCCAGCGACCCCTCCCCGCTCACATATGCTTGTCGAAGAGGGAAGTAGCCCACTCCCAGCAACAGAGCGCCGGCTAGAACAGCAAGTCGAGGTCCCTTATTGTCGACACATATTCCAACTGGTATGCCCATAGCGTACATTCCCATATTGGCGGAAGTGCCCTAGATATTTTAGTTTAGAGTCCATAGATGCGCAGTTCAGAGCCTTACGATCATGTTGCTTTCTGTCGAGGAGAGCTTGAGTTTCTCCGCAAACTGGGGACCCCACGCCGAATAGGCATACTATTTGAGTCAGCTTAAGCAACTAGACAGGTCCGTAGAACCTACGTTTGTCCCGCAAGCAATGGATATGGCTGTAGCAGCGATGCTGGACACAACTCGCGCCCTCGTCAGGGACTTTTCAGAGGCCATTGCGGGCTAATTCGATGCTAATAGTTGCCGGTAAAATTACGAGGCCATGTAGTTGATCAATGCCGTGCTCACAGAGTCGTCGGCAGCTTCTTTTATATCAGCATGCTGAACACTGGATTGGTGGAACGTTGCAGTTGATTGTGATCTGTAACAAATTTGGCCTTATCGTGTATTACGCGATAAGGACATGGTAATCTAGCCCAATACGGCTAGTATATGCGGAGCCGCGATGTCATCGAGCAGGCCGCGTGGACGAGACCCTTCGTCGGCGCTTCCTCAAACCACAACCACGATCGTGCGAGTAAACACAAACTCATAACTGTACTGCTTTCCGCCAGGCTCTATAGCATACTGCGGGAAGATGGGTGCTCTATTATCTATCCCGCTGTTGGCGGTGCCCAGCATCGGCACTGTAAGTCGCAGCCTCCCGTGCGATGCCTCATCCTCTTGCTAACACCAGCACAGGTCCTAGGCTTCGCAGCTTCGTGTTGCGGCGCGGCGACTTGCTCAGCGATATGTAGCATGTGCGGTAAATGTGGCAACAGGTATGTGAATCTGAGATGTGAGGGGCTCTCATTAGGCAACTAACTATTGCTGAGTGTCGCCACACGTATCGCCTATGCTCTGATTCTTATGGTTAACTCGATCTTTGCCTGGATTATGCTCACGCCGTGGGCGATAAACAAACTACAACATTTGACACCCGATTATATGACGATCAGCTGCCCGGAGGGCGCCTGCTATGGATGGGTTGCTGTCCACCGCATCAACTTTGCGCTTGGGATTCTTCACTTGATGCTCGCATTACTCCTCCTTGGTGTCAGGTCTTCGAAGGACCAGCGAGCTGGTATTCAGAATGGATTCTGGGGCCCCAAGATCATTGCATGGCTTGCTCTGATTGTCCTGTCATTCCTCATCCCTGATGGGTTCTTCATGGTCTGGGGAAACTACATTGCATTTGCAGGCGCGATGCTATTCCTCCTACTCGGCCTCATCCTCTTGGTTGACCTGGCGCATACATGGGCAGAATACTGTCTATCTCAAATCGAGGAGCACGATTCGAAGGCATGGAGGGGTATTCTCATCGGATCCACTCTTGGCATGTATGCGATCTCGATCACAATGACCGTTGTGCAATACGTCTTCTTCGCTGGTGGGGGATGCTCTATGAACAAGGCCGCAATCACAATCAACCTGATTCTCCTGTTTGTTGTGTCGGCGATTTCGGTTCACCCTGGCATCCAAGACTACAATCCAAAGGCCGGACTTGCGCAATCAGCCATGGTTGCTATCTATTGCACCTACCTCACCATGTCCGCAGTTTCTATGGAGCCTGACGACAAGCACTGCAACCCCCTTGTCAGAGGGGGACAGGCGACTAGAACTACCACAGTTGTCATTGGTGCTATTGTTACCATGCTTACTGTTGCGTACACAACCACCCGCGCCGCAACTCAAGGCATGGCACTCGGTGGCTCAACCCAAAGCATTAGACTCCCAGATGACGAGCACGGACTTATCACCACGCAACCTGACAGCCGCCGTGAAATGCGCGCTGCTGCTCTCCGCCAAGCTGTGGCTGAAGGCAGTCTCCCCGCCGATGCACTCCTAGACGACGACAGCGACGACGAGAGTGACACTGGGCGCACGGGCAAGGATGATGAGCGCGGCGCGACTCAGTACAACTACTCCCTCTTTCACATCATTTTCTTCCTCGCAACGGCCTGGGTCGCGACGTTGCTTACTATGAATTTTGAGGAGGACTCGTCAGAGGATGGCCTCGACTTCGTGCCGGTGGGGAGGACGTACTGGGCTAGCTGGGTGAAGATTGTGAGTGCGTGGGTGTGCTATGGTATCTACACGTGGACTCTGGTAGCGCCAGTGGTTCTTCCTGATCGTTTTGAATTCTCGTGAGAAGCTGGTGGGTAGGCGTTGGCGTGCTGCGCGCTGTACATAGTAGTTTTTCATACCGCATTGGTTTATGTAGATACAATCGCGAGTGGAGCCTTAATAGCAGTCTTGAGGACTATAATCTGAAAGGAAATCTTTTGCCTAGTAATAAGCAATACCTTCCTCCAATTTCTAGTGCCTTGCAGTGTGTCTATAAACATCGCCTTTTTAATATCGGATGCCCCCTTTAAAAGGGATCAAGTCGGTTGTTGCTATATTCTTGGTGCGCTCTAAGTTCAAGAAGACAACGCTGCCAGCATCTATTCCCACCAGTGTTCGGCGGATCGTATCCGGATCTGATCCTGAGCCCTCACGGGTAATATCATGATCCGTGTGAGGTCTGACAGATAGATACGGGTTATATCCGGATCTTCAGGATAATGAGGCTTAAAATATAAAAATAGAATAGATAAAATAACTTATATAACTACTCTTCCCCCTCGTCATTAGCGTCCGCGGCTTCACTTTCTTCAACCTCTAGTATATGACCCCAATCTTGTAAACAGAGTAAATATTGAAGTGTCTCAGGAGAGAGCCTGTAGCCAAGCTCAGAGACAGGCTGCACTTCAAATCCAAAAGCAGATGATAGAGGATTATGAACATGTCACCCAGCTTTACAATACTATCCTACAGAAGAGTCAAGACAAGAAGGCGACATATGATGGCAATATCAGCCAGCTTCAAGAGATTATCCAAGCTCATGAGAAGACAATGGCAGGACAAGCTGCTGTTGTGAAATACCTCGAAAACGAGAAATCAAAAGGCAGCACCACTTGCAATGGATGTAAGGCTGCCTGTCCCTCAGTGACGGAAAGGATCTGAGTCGGGCAGGTTATGGTCACATGATGGGTCCGACTCGGCTAACCTGCCTTCACTCTCACCATGTGACTGTAACTTGTCCGACTCAGGTACCTTCCGTCACTGAGGGAGAGGGACCCCGTTGGGCCAATCCCCTTAAGTACCCGAAACGGGTCCGACTCGGCTAACCTGCCTTAACTTTCGGGTACTTAAGGAGATTGACCCAACGGGGGTTCCTCTCTTCATCTTTTTTGTATCCTTCGTAGTAGACCTATAGGATAGCATCCGTTTAGCCTCCGATGCGCACTCTCATATGCTATTACTGTGAGCTGGGTGCCCTGTGTCCTTACAATGGAGGATCCTACCAGAAGTCAACTAAGATCCCAGATCCTCCTATCCTTACTCATGAGATTGAACCAGCTTTTGAAGACTGGGTTGTGAAGATCCGACTAAAGCTAGAAGCCAACACTTATCACTTCCCAAATGGCAAGATGCAGATGAGTTACCTACAAAGCAGACTAGGAGGACTCGCAGTTCGCCATGTGAACCCAAGGCTTCGCATTACCTTACCAAACATGCTTCAGTCAGCAGAAGAAATCCTCCAACTCCTCAAGAAAAGTGTTTAGTGACCCTAATGTTACGACGGAACAAGAAGGCTGGCCAACTACAGGACAGGAAGGAGGGAGGTCGCATGAGACCGGCCCTGGTACCTGGAGGGGCAGCGGGGAATAGTAGTTCCGAAAGTATCACGTGATGGACTCGCAGGATGATGAGAAGAGTCCTAAGAGTCCAGGACTCCGAGGACTCGAGTGAGTTCCCAGGAGTCCACTAGGCACGTGATGGACTCGCAGGATGATGAGAAGAGTCCTAAGAGTCCAGGACTCCGAGGACTCGAGTGAGTTCCCAGGAGTCCACTAGGCACGTGATGGACTCGCAGGATGATGAGAAGAGTCCTAAGAGTCCAGGACTCCGAGGACTCGAGTGAGTTCCCAAGAGTCCACTAGGCACGACGCCACTATATAAGTAGATAGTATTTCCTTAGATAGGAGCTTCGTGCTCAACTCAATACAGTATTTGTTATATACTAGTAACGTGTTACTTGAAGCCTTTGTGTCTGATCCCCTGCCTCCTCTGATAAGTAAACCTTTACGCAAGAGAACCTCTGTGTCTTCTATCGTTTAGAAGTCAGCGTTACACCTAATAGAAGACACACCGATTAAACTGAGTACCGCAAGCTATACCAGGGCAAGAATACCTTCGCAACATTCTGGGCTGAATTTCAGAGACTCACAGCAGAGCTGGATTACTCAGAGAAGACCTTGCTCGATGACCTCCAATTCAAGATCAACCAAGGCATGCAGAAAGTCTTAGTTGCCGAAGTAGGAGCTACTACCCTTAGGGCGCCAGTTGGGTATTATGAATTAAACTCAATCTAGAGAAGAAAGGAAAGAGAAGAGGAGCACTCGAGCAGTGGCTCGATCTATATACAGCTATTGTGGAGTGAATTCTCTTTAGCGAGACCAGTTCTGAGAATTCACTCCACAACTGAAAACTTCGCTCCAACCCCGGAAAGCTCCCCACACCCCTGAACCCCCACTCGAGCTGCAAGGCGCACTTGATATCGTAACACCTACATCAGTTTCAAAAGAAATGCATGCTTGTCAATCAGAATCTCCAGAGGATCCTCAAAATGGAGAAGAGGATGAAGCCGCAGACTTTCATTACCCAGAAGCCAAGTGGCCAGAACCCACATATTCCAACCGTTAATGAAGCAATCGTACCACAACAGAAGAAGCTTTACCGCCCCCCTCACCAGATGTAAGGACATAGGGCACCCAGCTCATAGTAATAGCATATGAGAGTGCGAGTCAGAGACTAAACGGATGCTACCCTATAGGTCTACTACGAAGGATACAAAAAAGATGATGAGGAACCCCGTTGGGTCAATCCCCTTAAGTACCCGAAACGGTTCCGACTCAGCTAACCTGCCCTAACTCTCCCCACGTGCCCGTAACCTGCCCGACTTCGATCCTTTCCATCACTGAGGGTGGAGGCATCCTTACACCAGGATCCTGAGAAGGTGTCACTTATGAAGCTAGGCAACTGCTTCCACTGCCATGAAAGTGTAACGCTGACTTTTAAACGATAGAAGACACAGAGGTTTCTTGCGTAAGGTTGACGACAGAGGAGGCAGGGGATTAAACACAAAGGCTTCCAAGTAACACATTACAGTATTGGAAAGAATACTATATTGAGTTGAGCACGAAGCTCCTATCTAAGGAAATACTATCTACTTATATAGTGACATCGTGCCAAAGGGATATCAAGGATATTTTGGATAACAAATATCCATGATATCCTCTGCTATTCATGTGGGGTTGTGGCTGTAAGTGCTAGCCTTGTGACTCATAGGTGTAGGATATCGAGGATATTTTGGATAACAAATATCCATGATATCCTCTGCTATCCATCATGTGGTGTAAGTGCTAGCCTTGTGACTCACAGGTCATGTTACTGGAGCCTAGCCTCGCTAGCCCTGTAACCATGACGTCTTTACCGTAACTGTAACAGAAAGCGGACACCGCACTCGTGACTGTCCTCAGAAGCAAAAGGGCAGACTTGAGATCTCTTTCTCTAAGGAACCCACTCAGTACAATTCAGGAAAAGAATAGCCTCTAGCAAAGACATCGCTAGGCGATCAACAGCAAGAATTGCCTAATCTGCTTTTACATTATCCCATTTTGATTATGACACTCCGTTCTTAGCTACTTGCAGAATAGGAAGAAATCAAATTGTCATGCAAGCCTTAATGGATAGTGGTGCAACAGGTGGAAGCTTTGTGAATGCTGATGACACAAAACGGATCTGCGAGATTGAAAACATCTATCCTATCCAGTTACTGAAACCAAAGAACATTGAAGGATTTAATGGAGCTACTGTCCCTCTGGTTACACATGCTATATACCCTCGACTACAAATTGGAGACCATGTTGAAAGCCTATGCGCTCTATTCATTACCACTCTTGGGAAACATTCTATCATTCTTGGGAAAGCTTGGATGAAGCAAGATGGAGTCACACTTCATATGACCAAGTCATATTTACAGAAGGCCACTGCCAACACCCAATGCTACCAAACGCTTCAAAACAGCAGGAGGCAGCTTTATCTAACACTTGCACTGTTGCGATGATTGGAGCTGCACCATTCAATATGCTAAGTGTCATACTGACATTCGTTGCACTCAGTTTGCTATCAAACTCAAGAGCAAACTTAGAAATCTCCTCCTCAAACCTACAAGTCACTATACATATTTTGGCTTGTCACACCAACAACAAGAGCAATACTACTCAATGATTGCTACAACCCTCTATGATTCATTACACGTCATTGCTCCTTAGTTACTGGGCCGATATGACCACATAGCATATCTCTACAACCCTCTATGATTCATTACATGACATCACTCCTTAGTTACTGAGCTAATACTACACATGACATATCTCTATCAACTAGAGGCCTAGGAACATAAACGATAGCTCCAAAAGCTTCTACGACCATCTATGATTCATTACACGTCATCGCTCCTTAGTTACCCACAAGATTGGTTAAGTTATGACATAATTTGTCTATAGGGGTACTCTGACCTTGGACCTCCTTTCACTTCCTATAGGCTAGGAACCTAGGAGATGGTTCTATGGGATTCTCTTATGTTGACTACAGTTACCAAGCCTGGTTAGTCATGGAAAGTCTTGGAAAATGAGAGAACTACACTCCTTTAGCATAAATAGGATTGCCCTTTCCTTAAGAAAGGGCAAGCAGACAATACAGTAAATCAACTATCACATACTTCTACATCTTTTCCAAGCTTCCAAGCATTGATCTTGTTACTCCTTGTTTCTGAAAAGTCAGTGAGGTGCTAACCTCTGACTTATCCCTGAGTTCTCAGACTAAACATTTGTTACAACTTGTCTAAACCACTCCACTACATCATACACCTGATTGCTGCATTGTGGAATAGTCTAAGCTACAACCCTTTGGCTCTGTTTCCTCAGACAGTGTGTTGTCTTAGTAAAATCACCCCTTCCTTGGGTGGCTAGATTCTCACATCTGGTGCACCCACCATTACACTAAGGAAGCAGCAAGGGGCAGAAGTCTTTGCAGTATCTTTTAAAGACATACTAGAAGAACAAGCAAAAGAGGAGGTAAAGGAGATCGACCCAAAATCAATCCTCCCACTAGAGTTCCACGAATACCTTGACGTATTCTCAAAGCAGGCTGCAGATGAACTCCCACCTCACCGATATGCAGACCACCACATCATCTTAGAACAACATTCGAAATTAGGGCACGCACCTCTCTACAATATGTCAAAAGAGAAGCTTGATCTTGTTAAGAAATATATTGAAGATAACTTATCAAAAGGATTCATTGAAGCTAGCAGGGCTCCCTTTACCTCTCCTGTTCTTTCCGTACGCAAACCAAGATTCTGCGTAGATTACCACAACTTAAATGCCATTACAAGGAAAGACTCATACCCACTCCCTCTTATTGATGAGACACTTGCACAAATCATAGGGGCAAAATATCTTACAAAAATCGACATTCGTCATGCATTTAATCGCATCCGCATGCAAACTGAAGAAGATGAAGATCTTGCTACCTTTAAGACGAGATTTGGATCATACAAGTATAAGGTCCTCCCTTTTGGTCTCACAAATGGCCCTGCAACATTCCAGCGATATATGAACGAAACCCTTATAGAATACATAAACCAATTCGTTACAGCATATATGGATGATCTTCTCTCTATAGTGCAAGCCGCACTGAGCATACTCAGCATGTCCAATTGGTTTTGCAGGACCTCCGAGAAGCTGGGTGTAACACTGACTTCTAAACGATAGAAGACACAGAGGTTTCTTGCTTAAGGTTGACTTGACAGAGGAGGCAGGGGATTAGACACAAAGGCTTTCCAAGTAACATGTTACAGTATTGTAAAGAATACTATATTGAGTTGAGCACGAAGCTCCTATCTAAGGAAATACTATCTACTTATATAGTGGCATCGTGCCAAAGGGATATCCGTGGATAACATGGATAACATAATATCCATGATATCCAATGTTATCCATCACATGACATTCCGTGGATTGCCATGGATAACATGGATAACATAATATCCATGATATCCAATGTTATCCATTTCATGAGGTTGCAGCCGTAAGCGCTAGCCATAGCAGTAGCACTTAGCCGTAACACTGGGCTACAAGCAGAAGCTACAGTGCAGTTACTACTCCGACATGTATGGAAACACCATGGCCTTCCAAATTCGATTATATCAGATAGAGGTCCCCAGTTCATTGCAGCAGTATGGAAAGTGCTATGTACGGTATGGAGAATTACAGCAAAACTATCAACAGCCTGTTTTTGTGGCTTAGTTTGCTTTGTACAACCCCCTACTTTCTCGCAAATCAGCTTTTAATTGTAGGTTGAAGCATGGAGAAATACAGGCCCGCTAGGGAAGCTACATAATATTGTGGTGTATATTCAACGATCTCCTCAACGGCAGGCAACATTTGAGAAGTATAGTGATGGCAAAAGGCTTCCTCGGGATAACAAGACTTGATGGAACTCATGGTACTTGATGCTCCATAATGCTCTTGATGACAATATGAAGAAAGCCATCATTGGATACTGTCATAAAGAGTATTATGACCTATGCCAAGACGAATTAACTCCAAGCGATTGGATAGTACTATCACACATCCACGACTTCCTTCAGTTCTTTTATGAAGCGACGTTAGCTACGGAAGGCCGAGAAGCTACAATAGAACGGGTATTATTATCTATGGAATTCCTTCTTGAGCAATTAGAGAAAGGAAAATGACAATTCCAAGATGATATAATACTTAGCCCATGCTTTAACTCAGCTTGGAAGGTAATAAACAAGTATTATGCTTTAACTGAGCGGTATGTAATAGTATTATCCATAGTACTATCAATAGTACTATAGTACTAACACTTTATAGTTCATCTGCATATATCGCTGCTGGAATACTCATTCCAAGTCAAAAATGGAAGTACTGTGAAGAGAATTGGCCTACTGACTGGATAGCGCCAGCAAAGAATGCTGTTCAATTATTATGGGACAAGCATTACAAGCCAACGATTGAGCCAGTAATTGTACCTGCAATTCAACCTCTGAATAAGAAGAACTCATTTGAAGAGTGGGCTACACAAAAACGCTGTCAACTACCTATTCAAGATGAATATTTGAAGTATTGCCAAGCTCCAATTACCCCTGAATGTGATGCTCGGGGTTGGTGGATGGAAGGGGCTCAGCGGATAACATATCCAAACCTCCAAAAGATGGCTCTTGATATCTTATCAATACCTGCAATGAGTGCTGAGCCTGAATGTTTATTCTCAGGAGCGAAGATTACAATTACAGATTGAAGAAATCGTTTAGGGGTTGACACTATTGAGCATTTAGAATGTTTAAAGTCATGGCTAAATCTTTCAATCCATTCTTGGATTGATGATGATGAGTAGTACTATAAGTAGTACTATTACTATTTCACTTATAAGTTGTAATTGTTACATTGAATAGTACTATAGTACTATAAACTTCTTCTACGTAACAATCTCTAATCCTCTTCTACCTCCTCTACACTCTGACGAGCACGAGGAGCTGACCTTGGAGGAATGATGAACAAATCATCATCCCCATTAGGAAGGATAGGAGCCAAGAGGTCAGGATCCCCAACTCGAGACTCTCTCTCATAACCACGAAGGGCTATGATCTACACGTAATCTATTATTCCTAGTTGCATTTGTAGCAAAATTAAGAGACAGCTAAGCCTTGTCCTTCTTCAACTAGGTCGTAGTTGTGTAGCAAGTCCATAAGAAGGTGTCATCTTCTAATAGAGTGCAGCCTCATCCATATTATATATATTGCGCATGATCCATAAAATCCATGAACAGAGAGATATCCAGGACCAGATAGAAAACCTTGCTTTTGCCTTGGACGCAAAGATGATCTTTGCAAACTTACGGAAGAATATTAGGCATTGATCGGGAGTCCAGTTCTTTCCATATAGTCCCAAATTGTCCCACCACACTGTCCATACTTGACCTGAACCCCCTTAGTATATAGAGGATATACTATACATAAGTAGGTGTTTGAAAACGCGGACATATGGAGGAGAGTTAGCGTTCAGTCTTCGTAATCATAACTGACGGGTCTACTCTCACGAGATACCTAGGCTAAGGGATTCCTCTGACTCACAATTCCCTAATAAGTCTACCAGCTGTATCATTGTTACCTTAATATATATCCTATCAAATTGGGAGTTTTAATTGCGGCACTGTTCACCTTGTACTCAGCGAGTTTGCTTTTGAGAAATGTTTCCAATCGCGGCGCTTACGGACCTATCAGGTGTCCATCAATCCGCGCTTCCTTTTCGTCATAGCCGAAGTTACACAAGAAACGACCAACGATGGCTACATTCGCGTGCGCAACCCCCAGCCCTTCCCCCATCCCAGTCCACAGTATTAACACCCCGCTCCCAGTAAATCCTCCTTCTCGGCCTCCTCCTATGCCTCCTTTCGTCCAACCTACTCCCAGACCTTCTACAACACCCTCCTTCGCTACCACCATGGCCCAACCACCACCCTGCTCGAGCTCGGCACCGGCCACGGCCTGATCGCGCGCCGCCTCTCCCCAACATTCAGGCACATCGTCGCCACCGACCCCTCCCCCTCCATGATCGCGCAGGCACGCTCCTCCATCGTCGACCGCCCCGAGTTCAGCAACATCGATTTCCGCCAGGCGTCGGCCGAGAGCCTCGACGATATACCGAGCGGGAGCGTCGATGCTGTGATCGCGGGGCAGGCGGCGCATTGGTTTAACTTTGCGAAGGTGTGGCTGGAGCTGAGTCGCCTGGTGCGTAAGGAGGGGACGGTGGCGTTCTGGGGGTACAAGGATCATATCTTTGTGGAGCATCCGAGGGCGACGGCGATTCTGGATAAGTACTGTTATGCGATGGAGGAGGGGATGATGGGGCCGTATTGGGAGCAGCCGGGGAGGAATAAGTTGAGGGATTTGTATAGGGAGATTGTGCCGCCGATGGAGGGGTGGGAGGCGGTGGAGAGGAGGGAGTATGAGCCTGCTACTACGGGGAAACAGAAGGGGAAGGGGGAGGTGGTGATGGCCAAGCGGATGACTCTGAGGGAGGTGGAGGGGTATACGAGGACGTTCAGTGCGTTTGTCAATTGGGCGGAGGCGAATCCGGATAGGAAGGCGAGGCAGGATGGGGGGGAGGGAGATGTGGTGGATGACTTGTTTGATGCCATGGTGGCGGCGGAGCCGAAATGGAAAGAGGCCGGCGATAACTGGAGGGATGTCGAGGTTGAGATGGAGTGGGGAAGTATAATGCTGATGGCGAGGAAGAAGTGAGACTGAGGGTGACACGGAGGGGTAGGGCGGGGAGGAAGAGGAGGATGTATAAATGTAGAATCGACAACTCTCCAATCTGACCAGTATATACCAGATATAGAAGAATATAGTCAAGCTCGATAATTGTTACTATAGACAATCAATAAAGAGTGAACTTTTATGCAAGCACTTTGAAGTTGCATATATATCCATCACCCATTCCGCGCACCATCGATCGCTACGTTGCCGTGCCAGCAAGCCTGCCGCCCCCTACCCGTTGAACACAGACGGCATAAACACAACCTCTCACCGCACAAAAGGCACGGACCCGACGATCATAAACCTCGAATCTCCAAAATAACCTCCTGTCTAAAACCATCATCTCTGCAATTCTACGCTCGCGATACCCTCAAATCCCCAAAAGCACACATACAAAACCTCGGGATGGTGAGTCTCCCCGCAACCCGCACACCCTGGTCCCGTTCCCATGCCCGGAAGGAGAACCGCTATTTTGCCTCCCGCAACCAGTACAAACCAGCTGTGGGACGTCAGGTCACCGACCACAACGTCAACAACAACAACGCCTTCCACCACATCATCTCTACCTGTCCGAAAAACTAAATAGACCCCGCACCGACCGAATCACAAAGATACGAGTGTTCAAGATGGCAGCTAACAATTTTTACGACGCCCAGGCCTCAACGAACTACAAGGAGGCATTTGCCCTCTTCGACAAGCGCGGTAACCAGCGCGTACAGCTCGAGTCGCTAGGCGATCTGCTGCGCGCGTGCGGACAGAACCCGACGTTGTCGGAGATCAGGGATTTGGAAAAGAATGTTGGGTCGGATTGTAGGTCTTCCCCGCCATGACCCAATACCTCAGGGGGTGCAGGCAACAGACATCCGGAGAGACAGGCAGAAATGCGTAGATCCGGGAGGTGCGGAGAGACGAAGCTAACGGGGAGCAACTATACAGTCGACTTCGAGACTTTCTCCAAGATCCTCAACCGCCCAGGCGGATTCCGCGACCCTGGCGAGCCGGAGGAGTACTGCCGAGGCTTCCAGGTCTTCGACAAGGACATGACGGGATTTATCGGCGTTGGACAGCTTCGCTACATCCTGACCAACTTGGGGGAGAAGATGAGCGATGAGGAGGTTGATGAGCTGCTCAAGGCTGTGGATACGAACAATGGGGAGGTCAACTACACTGGTATGTTTGACACCACTCATTTGGGAGAGCGGAGGAAGCGGTATGCAAGTGCAAATGCTTACAGTTTTATGCGTAGATCTCGTGAGGACAGTATTGGCGAACTAGATGGGCGTATGATGGGGATCGGGGGAGTTGCATGAGGTTACGGGATGCATGACGATTAGCCGGGCTTTGCGGTCGTTCACTTTGTACAATGGACCGGACGGACGGACGGAGGAGGGAAGGCGTTTCGATAGTTTTTGCCTTCTTGCGGCTCGCATCGTAGAGCAATCGATTGACTAGAACAAATCTGTGCTCCTGTAATCCGCTCGATATGTGAATCCCAAATCCATGGTTTTTAACGCCCGCAATGCTCGTAATACAGTAACACCGACTAATGGAAATCCCAACTGCTTATTCCCACACTGTAACACCTAGCTGTGCACTTTCTAGCACAGCGCCTTGTTCGCTGATTTTCTTCCCAGATGCCATGTGCTCGGTGCTCTGCACCCAGCCTGGGAGTATATACAACACCCTCGGAACCCCCCCGTCCTCCCGGGGCACACTGCTCTCCCCCTGCACCTCTCCACCCCCAGCCGTCGTCGGAGCCTCAAAATGCGACGGGTCGAGCTCATACCCCACCACAACGCGGCAGCGCCCACATCGCCAGAGGATGCGCTTCTCGAAGCCGTCTTCGCGGCGGATAGTCGTGGTGCGGCGGTCGGGCGTCATGGAGAGGAGCGTTGTGTGGGGGGTTAGGGAGGAGGGGGGGTGGGCGTCGGAGTGTAGGGGGAGGATGGTGGAGTGGTCGAGAGAGGTGGCGCGGCGGGGGAGGGAGGGGAGGGGGGTTGTTGTCGCGAGGAGGAGGGAGGTGCAGGCGCAGTGGTAGGTGTGGATTTGAGGGGCAGCCATGGTGGTGATTATGTCTGATGGCGTGAGATTGGTGTGGAGGAGACTGCCGTAAAATGAGGCGGTTGTATGGAAGAGAGGCGGCTGTGAGTTGTACGTGAAGATGAAGTTGGCTACAATATGAACAAAAGGCAAGGCTGAGATGTGTAAGTGCAAGGCTGGAGTCGCAGCCTCGCGTGTCATCAAGGACATCTAGCCGGCTGCATTGGAACTGACGATTTCGTAACCATTCCACAGCATCTCTATCCACCACTGATCCCTAAACCACCTCAGCAGCCTCGTCCCACAACTCGGCTAGCCACATAACAACACACATACATCCCCAATCCTCCAAAGTGGCACCATCATCGCCGTTCCGCCTGTTCGTTCTCGCCCTCGTCATCTTCGCAGGCACACTCTTCATTCTGGCTCCTTCTTTCCGTCTCGGGCCTCGCCTGTCGTCCATATATAGCCACCTCCGACCAGCCGCAACAGCAGCTAATTCGAGGCCTTCTTGGACTGCAACCGCTCCGATAACTACTTCCACCATGGCGCCGGCTCAGTACCGTACGCCGCCACAGGCGCCACCGCTGTTCACAGCCACGACGGTCTCGCTAGTCGCTGATGCGAAGAAGCTATGCGCCAACTCCAAGAGCGTCATGGACAATATCGTCAACTCCGTTAAGCCGGAGGATGCCGCGTTCCAGAGCGTCATTCTGCCCATGGCCGTCGATGAGAACGAGGGCTCCCTCGAGGCCCGCATCGTCGGCTTCTACCAGGCTGTGTCGACCGACAAGGCGCTGCGTGATGCGAGTACCGAGGCTGAGAAGATAATGGATGAGTTTGCGATCGAGGCGAGCATGCGTGAGGACGTGTATAAGCTGGTCGAGGCGGCGTTCCAGAAGGGCGCGAAGCTCGACCCGGAGAGTCAGCGGTTGTTGGAGAAGGAGCGGAAGAGTTATATTCGCAATGGGCTGGGGTTGCCGGCTGGGCCGAAGAGAGATAGGTTCAAGGAGATTAAGTTGAGATTGAGTCAGATCAGCACTGATTTCCAGAAGAACTTGAATGAGGAGGATGGAGGTATTTGGGTTACGAGGGAGGAGATGAAGGGCGTCCCTGAGGATGTGCTGGGTGGGTTGGAGAAGGGGGCCGGGGAAAATGAGGGGAAGTTGAGGCTGACCTTCAAGTACCCTGATCTGTTCCCAACGCTCAAGTTTGCGCTCAGTGCCGAGTTGAGGCAGAAGCTGTTCATTGAGAATGAGAACAAGGTTTGTCTTCTTCCCTGAAAGATTGATTCTGTGCTAATATACGAAAATAGTGCAACGTCAACATCCCGCTCTTTAAGGAGGCCATTGTCCTTCGCGACGAGGCTGCGAGACTTTTGGGTTACGCCGATCACGCTACCTTCAGGATCGAAGACAAGATGGCCAAGACCCCCAAGACTGTCCTCGATTTCCTGGGCGACTTGAGGACTCAACTGGCCCCAGGTGGCATCAAGGAGACAGAGCACCTTAAGGAGTTGAAGGTCGCCGACCTGAAGAGCCGTGGCCTAGAGAACACCTATGACGGGAACTACTACCTCTGGGACCACCGCTTCTACGACCGCCTGATGGTGGAGCAGGAGTACACCATCGACGAGCAGACGATCGCCGAATACTTCCCTCTCGAGTCCACGGTTAACAGCATGCTCAACATCTTCGAGTCCCTCTTCGGTCTCGTCTTCGTCGAGATTGAAGGTGAGGCCCGCGACGCCCTCTCCCCCACCGGCAAGCGCGATGACATCGTTTGGCACGAAGACGTCAAGCTCTTCAGCGTCTGGGATGATGCTGGCGAAGGCGGTGCCTTTTCAGGCTACCTCTACCTGGACCTGCACCCCCGCCCTGGCAAGTACGGCCACGCCGCCAACTTCAACCTCCAGAGCGGTTTCGTGGCCGCAAACGGCACCCGCCGCTACCCCGCCACGGCGCTCGTATGCAACTTCTCCAAGCCGACGGTCGATAAGCCATCGCTCCTCAAGCACGACGAGGTCGTCACGCTCTTCCACGAGCTCGGCCATGGAATCCACGATCTCGTCGGCCGCACGCAGTACTCGCGCTTCCACGGAACTAGCGTGGTGCGCGACTTCGTCGAGGCACCCAGCCAGATGCTGGAGAACTGGTGCTGGGCTCCTGCCCAGCTGAAGGGGCTAAGCAAGCACTACGTCTCCGGGGAGGCGATCCCGGATGATCTCATTGAGAAGCTGATCGGGACCAAGCACGTCAACGATGCTCTGTTCAACCTTCGCCAGCTTCACTTCGGTACCTTCGACATGGCGATCCACACGCCCAAGACTCACGAGGAGGCCATCGGCCTTGAAGTCTCTGAGCTGTACAACACGCTTCGCATGCAGATCTCGGGTATGAAGGGACCAGAGGCGCTAGGCCAGGGTAACGCTTGGGGCAACGGCCCCGCGACGTTCGGACATCTGATCGGTGGATACGATGCCGGATACTACGGGTACCTGTCATCGCAGGTGTACTCGGCGGATATGTTCCACAGCGTGTTCGCGAAGGACCCAATGAGCGCTGTGGAGGGAAGACGGTATAGGCATATGGTGCTTGAGAAAGGTGGTAGCCAGGATGAGATGGTGACTCTGGAGGCGTTTTTGGGACGGAAGCCGAGCACCGAGGCGTTTTACCGCGAGTTGGGGATTGTGGGGAACTGATAGATAGAGATTAGATAGTATTGGAATAGGAATATCTCTAGAGCCTATTGAAAGCAAACCATCTTGCATAAATCATGCTCTTTTTCTCTAGTAAACGGAAGTGATCCTTAAGTGAATACAATCCATCACGTCAGGTGAATCCATATGATAATTTAATAAGTCTGCCAGGTCTATACCCAGCACCCCTTCTCCTGTCCATTTCAACCATGGTATGTATCGTTCGTGAGAATCTGAACGTGTATTGACGCCGTCAGCAAGGTGATATACTGGAACTCGGCATAACAATTATCCGACAGCCGCAATAAGCGGGGTGGCGGCTGTCAGCCTTCCGGAAGGCACTCCACTTCATTCGTTCGCGACTAACGCTTTAAACAGACCTCAAAGGTCCCAACGGCACTTTATTGACCAAACCACCAACATCGCCCTCTCGACCTCCACGATCTCCGATCCATTAATCCTCAACCTACGCATATTAGAACATCCTGCCCGGTTACGCTGCCCCGCCGCCTTGTCACCGGATTTGGCGCATCAAGCGCGTCGACGCATGACCGGAGCCATAAGTCTCGATGGGTGTCATCCGCAAGAAGACTGCCGCGCGTGGGGGTGAGGGAGGCGTGAAATACGTCTGCGACGTCTGTTCGGCGGATATTACATCTACGGTATGTGAAACTTGGCGCTGCGAATGGCCTCTGGGTTTGGTTACTGACAAGCTCTAGGTGCGCATCCGCTGCGCGCACGGCGTTTGCAACGAGTACGATGTTTGTGTGCAATGTTTTTCCAATGGCGAGTCGAACCGCGATCATAATCCGGCCACCCACCCGTACCGCGTTATTGAGCAGAATTCGGTCCCAATTTACGATAGCAGTTGGGGAGCAGATGAGGAGTTGCTGCTCCTTGAAGGCGCGGAGATCTACGGCCTGGGGTCCTGGGCTGATATAGCCGATCACATTGGCGGATATCGAGATAAAGATGAGGTGCGAGATCATTACGTAAAGACGTATATCGAGAGCCCTTCGTTTCCCTTGCCGAAACGACAAGCACCGGAGGAAATCGATTTATCAGACGAAGGAACACGGGCACGGTTCCAGCAGCAGAAGAAACAGCGAATTGAGAAGCGGAAGGAAGATGCGAAGAATGCTGTGCCTGCTCTGCCAAAGAAAAAGCCTACGGCTAGTGTTCCGTCATGTCACGAAATCCAAGGCTACATGCCTGGTCGGTTGGAGTTCGAGACGGAGTGGGCGAACGAAGCGGAAGAGGCAGTACAACACATGCAATTCGAACCAGGCGATGGAATCAACCCCCGCACTGGCGAGATGGAGCCCGAAATGGAGCTCAAGATGACAGTGATGGACATCTACAACAACCGACTCACGGCGCGTGCGGACCGAAAGAAGGTAATCTTCGAACACAACATATTGGAATACCGCAAGAACGCAGCCGCAGACAAGAAGCGCACCAAGGAGGAGCGTGAACTCCTCAACAAGGCCAAGCCATTCGCGCGCATGATGAACCATGACGACTTCGATGACCTCAACAAGGGCCTTATTGAGGAATTAAACCTGCGCCAGGCAGTGCACCAACTCCAGGACTGGCGACATAATCGTGTTGGCGACTTGCGCAGCGGTGAGAAATACGAGAGCGATAAGACGTTGCGCGCGCAGAAGACACAGCCAATGGGATCTCTGGACCGCGAACGCTTTGCGTCGCAGCGCGCGAAGGCTGCACCAGCTATGGAGGTGCCTTCCGGTGCTGCGGCGTTGGTGGCGCCTGAACTACCTCTGAGGCTTCTCCAGAGTGGTCCCAATGGGGTGGCGAATGGCGTGAGCAGCGCAGTGGATACACCAACCGACTCCCCGCTCCCGAACGGCGTCAATGGCCATACAAATGGCATCTCTACTCCCCTCTCGGCCCGGCAGAAAACAATCATCCAGCCGGTACCTGGGATACAACCACTGAATATCAACCATGAGAACGCGCCAGATATCCACCTCCTGACGAAAGAGGAGATTGAGCTCTGCCGCACGCTACGACTGCAGCCGAAGCCGTATCTTGCTGTCAAGGAGGCGATTCTCAAGGAGGCAGTGAAGACGAATGGACAGATGAAGAAGAAGCAGGCGAGGGAGATTTGTCGACTTGAGAGTCAGCGTGGCGGGAGGATTTTTGAGTTCTTCGTGACGAGTGGGTGGATTGCTAAGGCGTAGATTTTGTGGGTGTGTGGGTGACTGGGGTGTATTGGTTTTTGGCGTTTTTATGGGTCGTGGAGGGGGCCAGGGTGAAAGCGGATTCTTTGGGAATACCAGCTGTGGTGTTTGGCGTGGCGTTTTTAGGGATATGGGAAATGATGTCCGTGGAGGACGGGGTGGCATAGGGTGGTTTTGGGGGGGTTGTATCTCTGTTTGGTAGTGAACTACTCCTAGGATATCAAAGTAGGAATGCAGAGTTGTACTACTTGTGTGGCCTAAAGTATGTGAAAGGGCTGTGAGAATGGATGACGGGAAATGTAGCTATGCATCCCTCTCTTCTATTCTGTTTTAATGAGGTGAGCTCATGCAAGGATTCATTATCTGATAATCGCAGTTTCAGTGAACAATAGTTCTCATTTATAAGCACAGTTGCTATGGACGATCACAACTCGTGCAAGCCGCATCTCGCGACTACGAGCATTGCCGGCTATTCAAAGTCTCCTCCCAAACCTCCTACCAGAACCATGTCGTCCACCGTCAGGAAGTCTTCCTCGCTGGATATGCTCCGATTCCCCTGTGGTTCATCCGTGGATTTTTCGTTCGATTCGGACTTGTTGCTGTCCTTGAGTTCCTCCATGAGCTCGATCTTGAGTTCAGCTTTGAGTTCCGACTTCAGATCGTCCATGGGCTCGGTTTTCATTTCATTCTTGCTGCTGAGCTGATAAGCGACAGTCATTCTGAACTCATTCTTGATCTCTTCCTTAACGGCCTTCTTGAAGTCTGCCTTGATCTCTGAGATGAGATCGGACACCATCTCAGACTTCAGTTTCTTGAGGTCTCCCCCGAATTCTGCCTTGATGTCATCCTCGAGGTCTCTCTTGAGAACGGGCTTTAGCTCTTTCTTGATTGCTGCTTTGAGTTCTCTGGTGATTTCGAATTCGAGGAGTTCGCTGAGCTTCGCTATCAGTCTGTCGTGGAGACTCTGAGCTTCCTTCACCTTGGCGTTAACACTCTCGAGCTTCTCCGTTGGTGTTTCTTCGATGGTGGTGACAATGGGTGCAGGCTCTTTGCCTTTAGCTTTTGCTGCACAGCAAACCAATGGCGCCGTTGCTGCTTCAACAACTGGTGAGGCGGAGCTGGCCTACAGTATCTTGATCAGCAATAGCTCTAAGGATGCTCAGTGTTGCATGTGTACTTACCACATTGAAGGTCTGCATGTTCTTTACCTGGGCCGAGCTTTCTGGATTTGTTTTCATGGCCACAGGCTTTGCTTTCGAGTCCATGGTCTTCGGCAGTGTGTTGCCTATGATACGCGTGGTATTGTGCTTTGGTGAATCTTGGCGGTGGTGAAGTAGAGCTATGCCAGTCTTCAACTTCTCGCCACAAGAGCAACGTTTAGTGGATTTTGAGGACATTTTGAAGTGGATTAAGTGCTCTTTTCTTCTTGGTTCTGCTGGATTGTTTGTTTGAAAGTTGGGAGGAGAAGATGGGTTTATAGGTGAGACGATGAAGTGAAGTGCGAGTTGGGCTTAGAGGGTGAGTGCATTATGCGCAGCAAGGCTACAGTACAACCAACCAACCAACAAAGAGGGGCCCGTTTTCAGGCCAACCCATAATTAAGAGAATAACAGGAATGGGAATGGAATTACGTAGAGTAACAAAAGAAATTACTTACCGCAGTTCCAAGGCATCACAATGGCCGAACTCTCTAGACTGTTCGTGTTTACCATTACTTTCTCAGCCTCGCCCCTCAGCCTCGTATCCCAGCCTCGCAGGCACCATATTGTGTTTCGTGGCCTCATTCGGCATAGTTCACCGATAAATACTGGGGCAGACCAGAATGCACCTCACGACGCAACAGAGGCTGAGGATCTAGTATCTCGGTGGCAGGAGGCTATAAACCAACTCTCTCTCTCTCCACAATTCTCCTCCCAGGTCGCAGACACCTAACTCACATCATGTTTGCGCAACGGCGATGGCCATGCAGCTCCTTTCTGCTGGCGGTCGTGCTCGCCCTCTCCTCGATTCTTGGCTTCGCCGCTGCTGCGATTGAGGACTCCGACATAAGGCCCCAGTATCACTACGGCGCCAGGATCCCAATTACATGTCTAGATCGCTCAATGTACGTCCCACTCTTCCGTCCCTTGCTGCCTGCGCAATGACATTCACATGTCCCACCACCCCTTCCATCCCGAACCATCACTAACCCCCCCCCCAGCGAGACAGGAGAACACATCCAAGAAGGCGACAAGCTCAAATACGTCCCCTTCGCCACATGCGAAGAGACCGGTCTCCCCCTCGAACTCCAATACGGCGTCGAGGCCGACATAAACTGCACCATCGCCTCCGTCTCCGACCCCCTTTTTCACCTCCTCGAATTCTACATCCACAACGACGCACCCCTCTCGTGCCGTCTCCCCGCCCGCCCCCCCGCGATAGTTTCCATAGCCGGCACACAGCCGCCGGAGCAGGAATACGTGCCCCTCGTGTTCGCGCTGGCGGGGACGCTGCAAAGGTCCCACCTCCACATTAGCACACACCTTAACATCCTCCTCCACTCGGTCCCGAAGCACCACCTCCACAAGCACGATTCGGGGGTCATCGATTCCGGCGCCGCGTACTCGACGAGCCCACTAGCCGCGAGCTCCAAGGACCCACACCTCTCCTTCCCCTACTTCACGAACAGCAACCACAAGCTCATCATCGGGGATCCGCTCCCCCTCAGCTTCTCGGTTCGCTGGTTCCCTACGCCAGCGCTACCGAAGACGAATGGACGATTTGAGTGGAATGGGATGGGGGGACATGTGTATGCGAGCACGGTGTTTTATATCCTCGTTGCCTTTGGTGCCGGGGTGCTGGTGTGCACGGTTTACTTCTGGGGGATTGTGTTGCCGAAGAGGCTTCAGGCGAGGGTGCGGGGGATGGGGGGGGCGACGCCATTGGGGGGGGAGTATGGGATTAATAGTGGGGGGTTGGGGAATGGATGGGGGATGGGGGGAGGGAAGAGGACTGATTGATTAGGTTTTTGAAAGAGGGGAGGAAGGAGGATACGATTTATGATATGATATGTAGTCCTTGGAATGCTGATGCGCGCCCGTTGGCGCCGGGGAGGCCTTTCGGTATTTATCCTATATTAATGCATACCATGAAATGAACTCTGGTGTTGTCTCCTTATATCTCACTCGTGCCACTTTCAAACTACTGATCTTCCAGCAAGCACGGCATCTCCCATCCATCCCCAGTAATCCCAACCCCCTTAGCCACCTCAAAAGCAACCTTTAGTTCCCCTTCTTCCCCGCCCTCAAACCCCTCAACTCTTTCAAATCCCCACTCAACCTCCCCCACATATCCACCGCCATATACGTAGCTACCACCAATTAGCCTCCATCCCACAACCCCTCTTGCAACCGCTGCAAAAGAAAGAAAATAATCAACTCACCAATCAACAAATACGGCCCATACAAACTCGCCAAATGCCACTTCGCCTCCACCGCCACGCCCTCCCACTGGCTAAAATCATACATACACGTCGCCGTCGTGATGACCGTCTGGAGCGCATACGCAAACAGGACGAGAGATAACTTCTCGCTCTCGCCCACGAGGGCGGAGATGGCCCAGAAGGAGACGGGGAGGTGGACGACGGCTTCCATGTAGCGGAAGAACTCAAAAAACGGGATCTCGATGGCGAAAAACCGGTCCTGGTACACTTCCGCCTGGTACGCGAGCAGTTTGGTGCTCAGCGCGGGGCGGAGGGAGGAGGGGTAGAGGGGGGAGAGGTCGACCACTGGGTTTATTAGCTTGTCTGTCGGGGGGGGGGAGGGGTGGGGGGAAGGGGGTATGGGACGGACGGAAAAGGACGACGATGTGGATTAAAAAGTATACAAGATACGCCATGTCGCTCTTTCGTTGGAGGATGGGAGTCGCCATTTTTTGGGAGTTTGACTGGTGTGATATGCCTTGGGTTGGGGGGTGGTTTGTGGTTTGTGGTGGTGGATGCGCTGGCTGAGTGAGGGAGGGTCTCACAGCCTTGGTGGTGTTTATAAATTGTATTGATGGCGCTGGGGAGGCTAAGCCTGTTTTGGACGCAGGGGGGGGAGAGGTTATATGGATTATGGGAGTAGCAAATGTTTGATTTTTGGTATTTGTTGGCAGTGTTGCCCGAGTACTACTCAGAATACTACTCGGAGATCTTCGAGTAGAGTACTATTTTTTGGGCTCGAGTATAAAAATGAAAACATGATTGATAGCTATATAGACTATGGAAATACAGTAACTATGCATCCTCATCTTCCTCTGAATCCTCACCTGCTGATACCACGCCCCAATTCCTCATCTTGGATACTTTCCATAACCTTTGCTGCTTGGATGTCTAATGCCTTGCCTGAATATTTATAATAACAGTCTTGCCATTGTTGTCATACTGACATTCGTTGCACTCAGTTTGCTATCAAACTCAAGAGCAAACTTGGAAATCTCCTCCTCAAACCTACAAGTCACTATACATATTTTGGCTTATCACACCAACAACAAGAGCAATACTACTCAACGATTGCTACAACCATCTATGATTCATTACACGTCATCGCTCCTTAGTTACTGGGCCGATATTACCACATAGCATATCTCTACAACCCTCTATGATTCATTACATGACATCACTCATACTACCACATGACATATCTCTACCAACTAGAGGCCTAGGAGCATGAACGATAGCTCTAAAAGCTCCTACGAACCTCTATGATTCATTACATGTCATCGCTCTTTAGTTACCCACAAGATTGGTTAAGTTATGACATAATTTGTCTATGACATAATTTGTCTATAGGGGTACTCTGACCTTGGACCTCCTTTTACTTCCTATAGGCTACGAACCTAAGAGATGGTTCTATGGGATTCTCTTACGTCGACTACAGTTACCAAGCCTGGTAAGTCATGGAAACTCTTGGAAAATGAGAGAACTACACTCCTTTAGCATAAATAGGATTGCCCTTTCCTTAAGAAAGGGCAAGCAGACAATACAGTAAATCGACTATCACATACTTCCACGTCTTTTCCAAGCTTCCAAGCATTCATCTTGTTACTCCTTGTTTCTGAAAAGTCAGTGAGGTGTTAACCTCTGACTTACCCCTGAGTTCCCAGACTCAACATTTGTTGCAACTTGTCTGAACCACTTCACTACATCACACACCTGATTGCTGCGTTGTGGAATAGTCTAAGCTACGACCCTTTGGCTCTGTTTTCTAAGACAGTGTGTTGTCTTAGTAAATTCATCCCTTCCTTGGGTGGCTAGATTCTCACATCTGGTGCACCCACCATTACAATTGTGCTTTCGCCAGCCTTTTTCACGTTTCTTGAATGCTTTTTGGCCAAATAATATCAAATACGTTAAAGTTATAACGTGGGTCACATATTGTAGCTATAGTTGAATGACTCCGCTGTTGATTTGTTGCAAGTGTATAATACTCATTAAGCTTTTTTAATGCTGCTAAACAAGCGTCGTATATTGTGCTATTCTCTGTATATCCAGCTTTAAAGACTTCAAGCTTTTGCGTCATTCTCATATACTGTATAACAGCATAATTTAAAGTAGGATAAGAAGAGCCTTGTAGCTTCTCTGTTGGGCGTATAAAGATATAGAAAAAATCTAATAACCCCTTCATCGTTTGCCAATCTTTTGCTGTTAAAGCTATATCTTTCATACTTAAATCAAGCTGTTGAGATGCACAGAGAGCTGTTATTGGACCTTGTAATCTTAACGCTAAATGAAGCATATAATATGTTGGGCTCCATCGTACTGGCATATCGAGGCTAAGCTGCTTAAACTCAATATTTGCAGCTTCACATTGCTTTTTTAAGGCATCCTTCCATTGTCGTTGGTTGCAAAACACATATATATGACGCCGAAGTTTGCTAAGAACAGCTACTGACTCATTTTCTGGTAGTGATGGAACTCGGGCAGCTCCATACTCAAGGCAGTATGCGTTTGGCTCATCTGCTGGTACTGCCTTTAACAATGTTAAAGCAGCTTGAACAGCAAGGTTTATAATGTGCCCAATACATCTGACATCGCCTTCTTTTGTTGTATATGCCCATGGTTGCTGTAATGTAGTTTCGTTCTTGCATGCTAAGTTCTCATATTCTGAGAGCATGGTAGTGTTTGCAGAAGCGTTATCACGAGTGATAGTAAAAACTGCAGGAGTAATACCATAGTCGTCTGTAACAGCTATTAACTGCCCTGCAAGATATTCACCAGAATGGATTGGCTCTTGTAGCTCAATAATGTAATGGTGGGTGCACCAGATGTGAGAATCTAGCCACCCAAGGAAGGGATGATTTTACTAAGACAACACACTGTCTTAGGAAAAAGAGCCAAAGGGTTGTAGCTTAGACTATTCCACAACGCAGCAATCAGCTGTATGATATAGTGGAGTGGTTTAGACAAGTTGTAACAAATGTTGAGTCTGAGAACTCAGGGATAAGTCAGAGGTTAGCACCTCACTGACTTTTCAGAAACAAGGAGTAACAATATCAATGCTTGGAAGCTTGGAAAAGACGTGGAAGTATGTGATAGTCGATTTACTGTTTTGTCTGCTTGCCCTTTCTTCAGGAAAGGGCAATCCTATTTATGCTAAAGGAGTGTAGTTCTCTTATTTTCCAAGACTTTCCATGACTAACCAGGCTTGGTAGCTGTAGTCGACGTAAGAGAATCCCATAGAACCATCTCCTAGGTTCCTAGCCTATAGGAAGTGAAAGGAGGTCCAAGGTCAGAGTACCCCTATAGACAAATTATGTCATAACTTAACCAATCTTGTGGGTAACTAAGGAGCGATGACGTGTAATGAATCATAGACAGTTGTAGAAGCTTTTGGAGCTATCGTTCATGTTCCTAGGCAGTTGATAGAGATATGTCATGTGTAGTATTAGCTCAGTAACTAAGGAGTGATGTCATGTAATGAATCATAGAGGGTTGTAGAGATATGCCATGTGGTCATATCGGCCCAGTAACTAAGGAGCAATGACGTGTAATGAATCATAGAAGGTTGTAGCAATCGTTGAGTAGTATTGCTCTTGTTGTTGGTGTGACAAGCCAAAATATGTATAGTGACTTGTAGGTTTGAGGAGGAGATTTCTAAGTTTGCTCTTGAGTTTGATAGCAAACTGAGTGCAACGAATGTAAGTATGACAAATAACATCTAAGACTGTACATCGTAACTGCCACTTATCAGAGATCCAATGTGCTGTTACTGCAGCGTATTCAGAATAGTTGCGTGCAGATCAAGTATCAGTTGTTAAAGATATCCGTCCACCATGTGCAGTATGCTGCTGTAATTCAAGTTGTAACCTTGCTTTATGAATGCAAAATATCCGTTGCAAGTCTCTTGCAATTGTCGTCCGTCCAATTACAAGTGTTGTGGGATTTAAATGGCTAACAAGCTGCCGGAAGGATAGACTCTCAGATGTACGCAATGGTAAGTTATTAGACACAATAAATGAGAGTAGAAGCTCTCTAAATTTTGACGAATTTGGTGCATGGCTAGGTACTTTGCGAGGCTGGAAGAATGTAGCTGTAGTTGAAGAAGAAGGCTGTGTATCTCCGTCTTGATGATGCTTTTTCTTATATTGTGCATGTATTGCTGGATGTTGTGTCTTTAAATGCTTCCAAAGATTTCTCGTTGTCTGCATCTTTGTAGGTTGTGATGGTGTATATGTGCAATGTGGCTGCAAGCACTTAAATGATATTCTTAAAGGCGCATTATCAAGAATAGTACGAGAGTATAGACCCTTTGCAAAGAGGATTGAGTCAGAATCTGGTAACAGTTGGTCTTGAGGCCGTACAGGCATGCGTACAAGTGGTAGGGGCAAGAGTGGATCTTGAGAGGCATTCTCATATTTGCTCGGGTCGTCTAGGGGCGGCGGTGATAGCGAAGACTCGCTCATCTTGACGATGGTAAGTATCACAGTAATAGTCAAGTCATTGAAAGCTTCACTTTGCCTATGCTATAATTCTGTCTACGTCCTTACCCCGATCTCTTGGCTGTCTTGGCAACTACTCGAGTAGTACTCGAGTAGTTCAGATTTCTTTGAGTCGAGTACTACTCGCAACGAGTAGTACTCGGGCAACACTGTTTGTTGGTAATGGTGGGTAATTGTAATATATATCGATGGTCCACTGCGGGACGGGGATTTTCTGAGACCCAACGACCAGTGGATACCACCCATCTCCAAAGATAAATACAAGCTCTACTTTTCATTGATGTCCTAAAGCCACGCAAGACAATCTAGCCTAATAGCAACAAAAAACATAGCTCACAAAACCAGTTGAGTAACATTTCATTGAAATCCACCCTCCCATAAATCTTTACTCAGCAATCCAGAGCCAGTCAATATTCAATCTCCCCCCCCCCCCCCGACTTAGATCTTCGACCCCTTCGCCGCCTTCGCCTTAAACGCAGCAATTAACCCCGCAGTAGAACTATCATGCTTCCCCTCCTTATCCTCCTCCAACTCACTCAGGATCGTCTTCGCCAGTGACTTCCCCAGCTCAACACCCCACTGATCAAACGAGTTGATGTTCCACACCGCGCCCTCCGTGAACGTGACATGCTCGTAGTAAACAATCAGCGCACCGAGCGTCGCAGGGGTGATCTTCTGTGCCATAATCGACGTCGTAGGTCTGTTCCCCAGGAACGTCTTGTGCGGGATCAACCCATCATCCGTGCCCTCGGCCTTGAGCTGCTCGGCGGTCTTGCCGACCATGAGCGCCTCAGCCTGGGCGAAGAAGTTGGAGGCAAGCATGAGCTGGTGCTTGTTGTTCTCGACTGGGTTGTGGGACTCAGCAGCGATGATGAAGTCGGTTGGGATGAGCTTTGTGCCCTGGTGGAGGAGCTGGTAGAAGGAGTGCTGTGCGTTAGTGGCGGGTTCGCCGAAGAGGACGGGGCCGGTGGTGTAGGACACCATTTTGCCGTCGCGGTCGACGGATTTGCCGTTGGATTCCATGGACAGCTGTTGCAGGTAGGCGGGGAAGCGGTGCAGGTACTGGTCGAAGGGGGAGACGAGGTGGGTTTGCGCGCCGTAGAAGTCGCTGTAATAGACGCTGAGGAGACCGCCGAGCATGGGGATGTTCTTCTCGATGGGGGCTTCGCGGAAGTGCTTGTCCATGGCCTGGGCGCCGGCGAGGAAGGCGTGGAAGTTGTCGAAGCCGATGTAGAGGGCGACGCTGAGGCCGATAGCGCTCCAGACGCTGTAGCGGCCGCCGACCCAGCTCTCGAAGCCGAACATGTTCTTGGCGTCGATGCCAAACTTGGTGACCTCCTCCTCATTGGTGGAGAGAGCGACGAAGTGCTTTGCGATGGCGTCTTGGTTTCCGCCCTTGGCCAGGAACCAGTTCTTCGCGGTGTTGGCGTTTGTGGTAGTCTCAGCAGTGGTGAAGGTCTTGGAGGCGACGAGGAAAAGGGTCGTCTCTGGGTCCGAATCCCTCAGAGCCTCGGCGATGTGGGTTCCATCAATGTTGGAAACAAAGTGGAGCTTCATGTCGCGATCACCATAGAACTTCAGCGCCTCAGTAACCATGACAGGGCCACTACACCGAGTCAGCATCCAGTGACCAATCCACGCACGGAGATGACTTACAGATCAGAACCGCCAATGCCGATGTTAACAATGGTGGTCAGCTTCTTGCCAGTAAAACCCTTCCACTCGCCGCTGCGAACCTGCTCGCTGAACTCCTTCATGTGGTCCAAGACCTTGCTCACCTCAGGCGCTACATTCACGCCATCGACCTCCATGACATCATTAGCGACATTGCGGAGCGCAGCGTGGTACACCGCACGACCCTCAGTGAAGTTGATCTTCTCGCCGTTGAACATCTCATCACGGAGCTTCTCGACGCCGGCAGCCTTGGCGACCTCGACGAGCAGCTTGAGGGTCTCGTCGGTGAGGAAGTTCTTGGAGAAGTCGAAGAGGATCTGCGACTTGTCTGCGGCGTTGTCGAAGGCGAAGGAGAACTTGTCGAAGCGCTTGGGGTCGCTCTCGAACTCCTTCTTCAGGACGAAGGACTTTCCGACGCTGGAGTGGTGCTCCTCGAGCGCCTTCCAGGCGGGGGAGTCGGCTGCTTTGACCATTTTGGCGGTGGTGGGTGTGGATTGGGTTGGCGGGAAAATTCGTGGGGATAGGTTAGAGGGTGATGAACACACGGGAGATTGTGTATATGTGTGTAATTGAGGTGTGTATATGTGTAATTGAGGTGTGTTGATGGTGATTTCTCTGATGAGGATGGCAGGTATCTGAGGACGCAACCAACGGTTAGAAGCCCCACAAAGCCCAACGGATACAGACTCAACTCACCAAGATTGTCCAATTCACACTCAGCTTACTCGATGGTGTATATATCTCTGATCGTCTCACAGTTACAATATCAAATCGTGATCTGAAGAAGTTTTTGCACGGGGAGTATCTGGATTAAAAAGATTCAAGGGAGGAGGGCGAGGTTCGGAGAAGCTATGGACGAGAGTACCCGCTCACCTAACATGACGTTGGGACCGTCTCACCCCCACCATTAGCGCCGTTTTACGGAAATGGCGCAAGTTAGTAAGACTAACTTGATAAATTAATAAATTAATAAATTAGGAGATAGATATGGCAATCAACAGTCCGTAACGTAAGTTACGTTACGGACTGCTGATTTGCATATATTCCACATATATTCCACATATATTCCACCATAGAGCGAGTATAATTCAGTTATCACTGCACAAAATCCCATCTCTATTCATGTATGTGTGCTAGAGTAACCTCCCCCCACCACCTGTCTCCTCTCTTCCGCCGACCACATCATCAAAGATTCAAAACAAAGCACGCACGCAGGCAAGCAAAGTATTCTCCAGCAGATGCCATAAAAACGCCTCATAATAAATCAATGCCCTCTCTCCATCAGCAATCAATATGCCTGATGTCTCATAACAAGAGCTCGGGTCAGACCAGACCTCGCTCTCAGACAGATAAAGACCTCCCCCAATAATGTAATCATCAGTCTCGTTCATATGTGCATCCAAGACTGTGCACATGTGTGCCGTCTAGGCATGCAAGAGACACTGCTGGCGCAAGGAAATTCGTTTTCCCCATGCTACCTGTTGTCCTGCACGCTTCCCACAAATGATGGGTCCCTCAGACTGCCTCCAGCATCGCCAAGACCGGCCACGGGACGGTTGTAGGACCATCCGTGGAAGAGATCTTGTGTGGTGGATGACAGGAGAGGGCCTTCAACAAATGAATCCGCCGGTGCCTCGCGCGTGAACTCCTTGTCGAAATTCTCCGTATCGAGGGCGTCGACCTGTTGAAGTGTTAGAGTAGATATAAATAAAAGAAAAAATAATTACTTACCACATTGGGCTTGAAGGTCGGCTCGTACTTCCTCTGGAGAAGCTTGCGCCAGTCGATGCTGTGGAAGAAAACGTGCGCCTTGATCTCGGACGCGCCGTTCGCTCCCAGACGCTCTTCTGGCTTACGGTTGAGCAGCTTCGTGAGGAGATCCTTCGCCGCTGGAGGTACGATGTCCGATCCTGGGAAGTGGAGGGGCTCGGACAGAATCTTGCGGTACATCTCGTTTGTGTTCTCATCGTAGAAGGGGGGCAGACCAGTCAACATCTCGTAGAGGAGAACACCCAGAGTCCACCAATCGACACTCTTGGTGTAGCCCTGACCCAACAGAAGTTCGGGCGCCAGGTACTCTGGAGTGCCGCAGAATGTGTTGGTCCTGTCCTCATCCTTCATATCGAGCTTACACAGACCGAAATCGCAAAGGGCGATGTGTCCGGAATAATCGAGGAGAATGTTCTCGGGCTTCAAATCACGGTAAATGACGTTGAAGCCATGGAGACACTCTAACGCACACAGAAGTTCCGCCGTGTAGAATCTGGAACGGTTGATATCGAAACGTTGCTCCTTCTGGAGATGGTGGAAGAGCTCTCCACCGTTGACAAAGGCCAGAACAAGGTATAACTTCTCTGGCGACTGGAATGAAAACTTTAACGGCACAATGAAGGGGTTGTTGATTTGCGACAAAACAGAACGCTCGGCCAGGGTATGAGCAACTTCAGAACGCGAGATGATGTGAGCTTTGCGGATCGTCTTGAGGGCGTAAATGCGATGGGTGTCCTTCTTCTTAACCATCATGACCTTGCCGAAACTTCCCTTGCCCACCACCTTGAGGAGATCGAAATCATCAATCTTCAGCGCCCTCTGTCTGTTCTCAACGTACTCAACCCCAAGCTTAATCCTTCCCGTACCGTATTGAACCTCAAGCCACTCAGTTCCACTCTGTCCCATCGACTTCTCCCGGGTCGCAAACTCCGCAGCCGCCTTCTCGCGGTCCTTCTTGCTGGCCTTCGGGTCCTGCACGAACTTCTGCTTCTCCTCGAATCTCGGGTTGATGCGCGTGACACCAAGGAAAATATCCTGGCTTCGTCCAGATCCAGGGGTCGCATTTGGATTCCGCAAGTAGAGGTGCACGGCCAGCTCGGTCACACGGGAAACATCAAACTTGTACTGGGTATTGTCACCAGCCCATAAGGGGTTCTCTGGCGATCCAGACACGGAGTTGACAAAGACCTGTACTTTGTCGAAATCGAAAAGGGCGTAGGGGAGGTATTTAGAGGAGTATCGACCGTGGTTCGTCGGGACTGAGGAGAAGCCTCCACCGCCGGAGGTTGAGGGGCGTACGCTGCCGCTGGCGAACGAGCCGGCAACATTTTGTTGTGAAGAGGTTGGGCGCATGGAGCCGGCAATGCCGAAACCATTGCCAGCTGACATGGAATTTTGAGAGTGTTGACTTTGGAAAATATGCCTGTATTGCTCCGGTAAGGAGAACCCAGTTCCTTCGTGGAGGGTCACGATAAGGAGTCCCGGTCGCGGCTCAGTTGGGGGCTGCTGAACCATGGCTTCGGAGACAGCTATGTCAAAGTCAGTAAGAGCATTCCATTGGTGTGTCGTATTGGAGACCAACCGATGCCATTATCGGCGGAAAAACTCGTCGAGGGTGAGATCGGTACCCCCGGCTTCTCCTCCTTGGAGACATCGGTGCCAATTGAGGGGGTAGAGGGTGTGCGGGAGAAGGTATTTGCGAGGGGCCCCAAATGGGTCTCTTTCAGTTCTATGAACCCAAGATATTAGCACAGTATAAACAGATCGCCACTCAACGACAAACCACTCCCCAGCGCCGTCGATGCATCACCGTTCTCTTGTGGCTTTTAGTCCCGCACACAAGCAGATGCCAGCAGATCGGCAAACGGATGGGAGGCGACGAAAGAGAGGGAGATTCGGGATGGACACGCACTCTTTGTGATTTTCCACGACATTGTGTCGGAGGAGGAGGAGGAGGAGGAGGAGGAGGATTTGTGCGGGAAGATCAAGGAGGGGTGAGGGGGCTGTCCTGTCGCCGTTCTGGGCACGCGTTGATGTCGTAGGTTGTGCTGGAACGGTGAGATAGCAGCCCGTCGTCACTAGTGAGGGAGTTGGTGGGTTGGTTGGTACTTGACTGTGCCCCGCCAAGGTATTCGGCAACTGCGGCGCAGATGTGCGATGGACAGAGCGCAGCAGAGGGAGGAATATATATCTTGAGCCTCAAATTAAATCACGACTCGAAGATTGGTTTGGATATAGGTTTTGGAGGTTGAAGAAGAATGAATCTAGGTTGGAAAGTACGAAGTGAGCCACAAGTACGAGGCCCTTCGTGGCTTAGACGTCCACACACAGCTTATGTAATGCACTGATCTTTACGTATGAATTTAAGTGAATTCAAGTGAATTCAAGTAATATACACATCCTAATCTCCTTATTGAAATTCTTGCAACTATGTGCTGAGATTATATGCTCGCCCAGTAATGCGCTCCCCGGGGTGGTTGCTCAATTCATCATCCGTCTGTCTCCCTCCAAACAAAAACGCCCATAAAACACCCAAACACGGTGCCATAGTACCATATTCTCCGTTCCCAAAGATCCAAATACAAATCACGCAACGTCTACCTCCGCAGCGCCCGCTCGATCTTCACCCGCAGCTCCTGCGCCTCGTAGACCTTCTCACCCTCGAGCCCATTCTGCGTCAGCATGTTGAGGAAGGTGCTGATCCCCGCAGCGTAGTCGACGCTGCCAAACACCTCCCGGTTGTGGCGGATGCAGTCCTGGTACCACTTCTCGATGACGTACAGCGCGTCGTTGGCGATGAAGCGTCTGTTGCGGCCGTGGAAGGGTGCTTCGTCGTTGTGGATCATGCCCTCGAGGATCGGGATGATGCGCTCGAAAGCGGTGCCGATCTCGATGAAGAGGTCCATCACCCAGGTTGGTGGCCCGACGCCGCGCTGCTGCTCGTAGGCGTAGCGTTCTAGCTTGGGGATTAGTAGTTCGGGAGGGAATGTCGATTCGCTGCGGTTCAGGCGGTAGGCTAGGTCGCGCACGGCGTTGATGATTGCTTCATAGGGCTTTGCTGGTAGGGGCTCGTTCGGGCCGGCGGCTGCTGCCTTCTCAAGGATCTGGCCGTGGGTGGAGTCCAGGAAGTTGGTCCAGGTCACGTCGACATCCGATGGGTTGGTGTGGCCAGCAGCCTGGAAAATCTCGAGGCAGATGTCATAGAAGTTGGCCTTGTCGGCATATTCGTTGAACAGCTATAGATATTTAGTAAAACTGCTTTCATCAGGATTCTTACTTGACATACCTCTGAAAGTGAACGAACTGGGCCATCAAGCTCCCGGACGATCTCTTCACGTCTCGATTGGTCCAATCTGGGGTGATTCCTCAAGCGCTGGAGGATCTCATCCTGGATATTCGCAATCTCCAAGAGCTCCGTAACCTCGCGCAGAAGCACCTGCTGCGCCGACCGAGCAATACCAATACTCGTGGTGGAGCCGTTTGCCTTGGCACGGCTGAGATACTCGATCCGCGTCTTGAGGTCCAGCGGGAACTCGCTCTTGGAAAGGCCCACTTGCACACTTGCCGCGTCGTGGTATCGCTTCCCGCTGGCGTAGAAGCGCCACAGGAGGTCCGCCCGGTCAATGCTGGTAAGGGATTGCTTTTGCAGGTACGATATGACGAATGGCGAATCGATCGCGAGTAGGCGGTCGGTCCAGCCTTGGGTCAGGTACCAGTCGTACAGATCGTAATGGAAAACCTCATCCGTCGACTCGTTGACGATGGCGTATGCCTCCTGTCTCTTCATGGCGACAACTGTGTACATGCCATCTGCATTAAACTCTGGCTGTTGCCCAGAGACCCTGTCCAAGTCCTCTAGAACAAGATGGATGAGATCGTAAGAGCGCTTCCGGCTTTCGAGAAACTTCTCGCGGCTATCACCAGCCGGCCTGTTGTCGTTGACCCAGGACAACGCCATGTTCCCTCTATCTCCTTGATACGCAACCGTGAGACACAGCTGAACTGCTCCAGCGTAGAACTGTAGATTCACGTATTGCTCAACAATTGACTGGAGGTTTTCGAATGTTAGGCTTTCAGCCACTCTCTCGAACAGTCGTAAACTTCCATTGAGCATGCTTCGCCCAACCTCGGTACCACTGCCCAGCTCCGACGCCTTCTTGAGTTGCTCTTGAGCCTTGAAGATGAGAACATCATCCGCGCTACAGAAGCTCTTGCACTTCCTCCTCAAAGCGTCGGCAACACTCTCCACATTCGAGCCATTCGCAATGCTTCTGTTCACAATCGCTTTAACGAGCACCTTGCCTAGATTCTTCCCGTCATCAGAGGTGAACAGCGACTCGTATGTGAGATCGCGCAGTTGCTGGCGAGTGGTGTCATCCAACGACGCCCAGAGCTCATCCATGCGCTCTTCAAACAACACCATCACAAACGAGATGCCTTCGATTATATTGCTCGCAAGCGCCCAGAGCGAACGAAGAGCTTGGTGCTCCCCTTGAAGGGTGATCTCCTCCATCTGTGTAGCAGCTCGCTGCGGGCCTTCGGGGCCAGCCAACCCCTGGATGAAGGTGCTGTTCTTCTCAAGGAAGGCGTTTAGGCGCGTCATATCGTCTTGGATGCTCGTCAACTTGGCGCCAGAGACGGTTGATTGCAGCGACATGGTTCCATTGGCACCAGCGCCAGCGTTGACGGTCGCTTCCCTTACGACGGGAACCCTCCATATTGATCTCACCAGACGAGAAATATACATCGCCAGGCCATCATGGCGTGCCGAGGGGCGCACGAAGTTGATAGCCGGCTCGTTGGCATCGGAAACAGCGTCCGCATTCAAGGATGCAGAGCCACCATAATCGATGAAGGCCTTGCGAGCCGCTTCAAGCGTCGACGGGTCCGATACCTTCGCCGTTCTTTCTCCCGAGGATCCCTCGGAGCCTTGACCGCAAGCAACAGCCAGTGCCGCGGCTGTGACTTCGCTTCTCCCGTAATGCCTAATGAACTGCGCCATCTGCTTTTCCAGGCCCTGCTCGGCATCGCCCTGCCTGATTGCGGCAGCGAAAACGTCCACAAGCCGCCTTCGCCTGATGATGTAAATACCGGTGTTGGTAAGGACGGCCATCTCTGTCGAGGGCTCATCAAACTGAACAGCAAGTTCGTTCCCGTATCCAATGGGGGTAGACGCAGCTGCGAAGGTGTTGCTAACAAGCCCAATAGCTTCCGCGCGGCTATCGAGCTTCAGCCAGAGGCCTTGCTCGTAGAACTTTGAGCTCTGGCCTGAGATGTCGCGGGACTCGGCGGCAATGCGTCCAGTATCGGGTGCAGAGAGGAAGAGGACGTCTGTGTTGGGGTTGGTATCCTTTGCAACGAAGCACAAGAAAAAGCCTGGTGGGTATCGTAGCCCCCTGCGGGCATACTGAAGAGCGCGTGATTGGGTGTTTATAGGCTGCTCAACAGGTTGGTAGCCAGATGATTGTGCTGGCGATCGTGGCTGGGGATCTTGTTGATCCGGTGGCGGGAATTTGATGTGCTGGACCTGCATGCTCGTAGGTGCCTCAACCTTGCCAGCCAGGTATCCGTATCCTCTGGTAGCAGAGAGGTACAGACGGCAGCCTGTAGAAGTCACCGCCAGAAGATGGAGTTTCGCGGCTTCCGTGGCGGAGATGGGGCTTATTGAGACGATTTTGAGATTGTTGTCCAACAAGGGGGATTGCGAAATCATGTGGCTGATATCGCGGAGACATTCGTGACGCTTCTTCTCGACGACTTGCTTGAGCGAAGCTGGCGTATCCATGTGGAAGATTCGTATCGATGACTCTGACGAGAGCGTATAAAGAAGGTTCCTGCTGTCGTCCACTGTCATGTCCACCACATACTCTTTGGAGCTCGTCCCCCAGATAATCTTTGTCGGGACAAGAGACGTATATCCCGGGCTGGTGTGGTTAACCTTGCCGCATCGGCTCGCGAACCACTTCTCCTCTTGCTGGTATGTGAGCTCGTAAACCTCGTTATCTCCTCCGCCGCTGAAGAATATCCGTCCGCTCGCAGCCGAGCCCTCAATCACCCGGACATCAATGCCCTTGATCGAAAGCGACATGCCAGTATTGAAGAGGGTCACGACTTTCGGGCCAGTCGCCGGATTCGCAGTCGCTCCAACACCCAAAAGTATAATCTCAGACGTCGTAGCCACCAGCAAAAGGTGGGTGATGGTATCAAGGAACACGCCGCGTCGCGGCACCACCAGCTTGACCGCCGTAATGCTATTCGACTGCTCCTCGAAGCCATTGAGCTCGGGGTTCGTCTGTGTGTAGTCCCAAATATACAAAGCGTTGTCAATCGTAATCCACGCGTGGTTCAGCTCCGAAAACAACCCCATCATCGTCGACACCTGCGCATGGTTGTACTGCTCAAAAATGCGATCCGGGATATCGTACATCTTCGTCTTCTGGTAAGGCGCCCACGCCGAGTCGTGCCCTAATACGGACGGAATCTCATAGTCGGACGAGATGCCCTCTGTGTGCCAGATTAGCCTGCCGTCTCCCGTGTTTATTAGCAGAAACAGCCCGCATCACTTACGCTTGACATAGCTATCGAGTTCAGGGAAGTTCGCATCCTTGCGTAACACCTCATTGATCGTCCTCCCCGCGCGCTGCACCGGCTTCAACGCCTGCGACTGGCTTTGAGCCTGCGGGAGCACAGCAACCGTAGACTGCGATCCTTGGGCAGTCGGCGCGCCCACGGCAGCGGGATTGGAGCTCGGGGCTCGGAAGAGCTGTCGAACGGGGTTGGGCCCTGGGTATCGTGAAGCCGCTGGGGTCTGCACGAAGGCGCCAGGAAGGGGGCGCTGAGGCGTCTGGAGGGAGGGAAAAGACATGGTGGGCTCGGTGCCGCCAGCCTCCCGAGAAAGTCGCGGCGCGCTCAGGTGGATGGGCTTAGTGGTTATGGCGATTGCATCGAGGGGGGGGTGAGCTTGTTCTGGGGGGGTTCGGCCCAGTGAGGTTGTGGATTATGTCGTCGATGTCGAGTTGGGTCGAGGTCGCGGCAACATTTATTTCTTTGAGAGCTTGGGGCCCAGTCGCGTAGAAGCTCGTCGTCGTCGTGAGATTGCGCTAGTGCGATTGGATTCTCCATGCTCCGTACGGTAAGCCCGACGACAATCATCGACAATGAACGCGTAAATTCTTTATATTTTATAACAATATACTAATAATATGTTTAATTGTTGTCTATTTATGATGTTTATGTCAGGCAGGACTATGTTTGTGCTATACGCAACTCAATCCGCCATAAACAGTAATTTGCTTGCTGGCAATCCAGCGTCTCTCCTATTCACCAGTCACATGAGCACACAACAACATGAAGATGGGTTTTATAAAACATCGCATGGCTCTCTTATGAATTCAGCCCTATAAGTACAGTGTATTCCTTTTTCTCCAGTTGCCCAGCACCAGGCATTCTCAACCTCTAATCCCACACCATCTTCACGCATTCTCAAATCATCCCAGACAGGCCCCCTCTCCCTCTTCCCCTCCCCCGTCCCCTCTTCCCTTTTCCCTCCCACGGCCTCTCCCCCTTCTCTCCGCCCCCCCTCCCCCTCCCTCTCCCCTTTGGCTTTCCTTCCGGATCCTCAGGACACATCCCCGCAACTCTCATCGCCTCCTCAAACTCATTCAACCTCTTCCCTCTTTTCGGCTTCGGCAGCATCTCCGTATCCAACGCCTCATCCATCATCCTCTCTTCCATCTCCCGCTTTTTCTCCTCCCTCTTCCGCTTCTTCAATTGCTCTTGACTCACCCGGGGAGGGGCCGACGAAAAACCCTGTTTTACGTATAGGCTATCTGGACCGTCGGGTGGGGGGATGGGGAGGTTGGGTGTCCAGCGGACTGGGAGGGTGTCAGTATGGGGTATTGTACTTGGAGCTGCGCAGGTGGGAGAGGTGAACTTACTCTTTGGGGTTGCGGTTTTAGCCGGGGAGATCTTGCTCTGAATTTCTGCATATTGCTTGCGGAATGCGGCGGTGGCTGGGTTCACTTTGGGTTTAGAGTCCATGGAGAGTGTATCTTTCAGTTCTTCCTTCTTTGTATGTGCAGTTCTCAGCCACTCTCCCACGTTCACTCCAGGTTCAGAGGTCATGAAGAGTGTATTTTGCGGTTCTCCTTCCTTTGCCTGTGCAGCTCTCAGCCACTTTCTTGCCTTGAGTATCCAAGGTTCGTCGGCCGCGGAGTTCAGTTGTTCCTCTAGCATATTGATGGCAGCTTTATTCGCCTCTTCTATGTTCTTTTCTCGAAGCTTTGCGTAATATTGATCTCTTTCTTTCTCCGAGGTCGAACGTTTCGGCACGTCTCTCATTGTTGTCCTCTTCGCCCAGCGCTCTGAAGCCTCGTGGGGCATCTGACTTTCCGTCGACGTCTTGGGTAGAAATATCTCTACCTGTTTTGGCATCTTGTCTCTAGTCCCTGAAGCCTTTTGGAGTTGGTTTTGTTTTGCGGTTTGTGCCATATAGCCGCATATAGCGCTGGGATTTTGGGGTGTGAGACTTATATCCCCCCTTTACCGCTTCTCCCTTTCGCCACGGGGAATCCACGGGTCTATGATACGGTTCAGTTCTAACATCACATACTGGTACAATTTTACACATCCCTACATTGATCGCATCGCATCATATTCCGTCTGTGGGATCGCCATCTTGATGGATGATTTAGAAGATATATTATCATACATTAGAAAAAACGCTATCTCATCCTACTTTGCAGACAAAACCGCACCAACAAAAACAAAACAAAAACACCCCCTTCTACTTTTCCTCACCCCCCTTAATCGCACTTTTTCATCCTACACCCCTCCAGCCTCCCTCTGCCTCTTGACAATATAATAAGTAATCAAGCTCTTCGGGTCCCCCCCCACCCCCCCCATCACCTCCCAAAACCTCCCCTCCCCCACCCCCCTATGCAGCGCCACACACAGACCCACCCCATCCATTCTCACCCCGCTATTCCCGCTCTCCAGACACCGTCCCGCCAGTCTCCCCATCTCCGCTGTCATCGCATCGCCAGGCACGTAATTTCCCCCGGGGGACTCCAAGAGGCCAGTTAACATCCGTAATCCCATACTAAGAGTCCGGCACCCTTCAACACCCATATCCTCCCCCTCAAGTCTCCCAACCACAACCCCCGCCACCGCATCCGCATCTCCCAACCCCACCAGCTCCTGCGCCAGCACTTCGAGACCAGCGACGATATGCGCGCGCCCCTCATACCTCGCCCTAGCCGCCAGGAGCGCAGCTATCCCCTCCTCCCCCCTCGCCGCGAAGGCCTCACGGTCCTTCCGCAGCATAGCACGGATGGTGGCTAGGATCTGCGCTTTGACATCTTGGACCTTCTCCAGCGCGAGTGCCGTGGCTGGGCCAGCGAGGTACGCGAATAACCCACTCAGCAGGGCGTCGAACCGACCTTCGCCACCGGTGGTAGCAGGACCCCAGATGTCGCGGCCGGAATCGCGGATGAGGGATTGTAGTTTGCGGAACCCGTGGACGTCGAGGGATTGTGCGCGGACTTTGGAGATACCGCTATCGAGCAGCCGGACGTCCTTTTTCGCGCGGTCGGGGGAGGAGAGGAGGAGGGTGTTTGTGGTTGATGCTTTGGGTGGGGAGGGGGGAGGTGGGAGCGAGAAGGTCTCTTCGTTGACGGAGACTTCTTCGAGGACTGTGGCCGGGGGGGGGGGCGGGGGGTTGTCTCGTCGTCGCCGGCGGAGAAGGGATCTTCGTAGACTTTGACTGCTTTGGCGGGCGTGACGAGGCGGGGAGTTTCTTTTCGCTGAATTGGCGCTGGCGGGCTGGCCGGGGGCGGCGCGGAGGAGGGCAGGGAAGTGAGGGTCGGGATTACCATTGTGAAATCCTCGTATGCTTTTGATGGGCTGGATGCGATGTAATTGTGCGTCTGCTGCTGTTGTGGCTTCGGACGGGGACTCTCACGCGCTGCTACCGTTTCCTCCCTAGCAATGCTGGCTTCGCGGGCTACACTCGCTTTCTCACGTATTGGACTCGTGTTGGACGACTGGCTCGCGTGGCTGGAGTGACCCGTATTCGGTCTCGGCACCGCACCACGCTTCGGGGATAGCGTCGCGGCGCTCGGTGTGCGCGCAGCCGGTCTCGTCGTCGATGGAGTAGCGGTAGCAGGAGCTTGTCTCACCGAGTACGGCCCGGCAGTAGCAGGCCGCGGCGGCTCCTTGGGTCGGAACTTAGTCGGTCGCATTGGAGCAACAGATAGCCCGCCATGGCTCGTCGTGGTGCTCTCCAGTCGCGACCTACCCGGCGGTGCAGTGGCAGTTGATAAATTCGACGATGCGCTCGCAGTGCGCATTGGGGAGAAGGAGGACATAGCCGAGCCCGGGCGAGCTGGGAGGGTCTTCGCTGCCATAGCCGCCTTCTTCTGCGCGAGCAGAGCCTCTCTCAGCGAAGGCTTCGGCGGGCCGGTGCTCTTCGACAGAGCCAGGCCGGGGCGGGCGACGGGGTTGGTTTTCTTGGGCGAGTTGGGGTTACCCGGGTCGTTCTGGAGGAGCTTAAGCTGTGCGGGCTCGAGGGCCGACATTACTGCCTCTGCCTTGGCGGGCCACATCTGCGCAAATGGCCAGAAGGTTCCGCGCATCTTCTCCCGGACGCCGGGGTTCGGGTCCGCGAGTCCCTTCTTGACGCACTTCTCGACGATGTCGAGGCCTCCGGCGTGCTCGATTTGGCTCTTGTGGTTTGCGAGTTTCTTGAGCAGGGTCTTCAGCCAGCCGGCTGCGTAGGTGCGGGGCTGCACGTTCTTGTCCTGGCAGGCGAGCCAGACGTGTTGCAGGATGCGCTGGTTGTATGATACATGGAGGAGGATGATATCGACCGTCGCATCACCAGCCTGCGACGCGATCTTCTTCGTCCCTCCACACAGTTTAATCAGATTCTGCAGCAGAATCTCCACCATCGGATCCAGCCCCGGCCCCGCCGTTCTCGCAATCTCCTGCACAACCGCACACCCCTCCTTCGACAAGCTCGTGCGCAGCGAATTCACCGATTTCAAAATCCCATCCAGCAGCGCCTTAACGCCCACCAGCCACGCGTCGTGGAAATCGGCGGGTGCGTTCCCGGCATTCAGCTTCCGCAGCTTCGAGCAGCTCTGCTCGCGCTTCAGCCAGTTGTGCTCAGACTCCTTGCCATCGAAGAAGGGGTGCATGTCGCGCAGGGTGTCCTCGAGCTCGCGCGTTGTGTTGACGTAGGCGGGTTCGACGTGTTCGAGCACGCGCTGCTCGATGACGGGGGTCACGGGGCGGGCGGTGGTGGAGGAGGCGGAAGTGGTGCTCTCGGAGTGGTGGGAGCGGAGGTTGGGACTCGCGGTGTGTTGGTCGATTGGGTCGAGGTCGGCGCCGGTGGGGCTGAGTTGGCTGGTGATGGCGGAGACGATTGTGGTGCGGACGTTGAATGCTTTGAGTTGTTTCTTGAGGTCGGATTTTGCTGCGTTGGGTGCATTTCTGTGGTTGTTAGTGGGTTGGAAAGGGGTGACTCGGGGGAGGTAATACGTACTGGAACAGCTCAATGACTGTGTTCCTGGCACAATCTCTAACCATGCCATCGGCATCTTCGAGCAGCTCCATGAGACTGGGCACAAACGATCTGAACTGTAGACCATACTCCTCGTGCATCTGTATGTGTCAGCTGTGTCTCCAAAATCCGCGTTGTAACCCATCCACCAAACACGAAATCCTCTGACCCCCCCCCCCCAAAATAAAAGACAACCCTCCGCAAAATCACAAAATTTCGGGGAAAAAAGAACAAAAATACAAAAACAAAGACCCACCTGCACAATCCACCCCATCCCCCCCTCCTTCGCCCTCCCACTCCTCCCCCCAACACCCCCTCCCTAACCCCCTCTCCACCTCCGGCCCCGCCACCCTCCAAAACGCCGTCAAACACAACGCCGCCAACCCCCTATACTTCTCCCTCGCATCTCCCACCCTCTCCAGCACCAGCGGCAGCGTCGCTTTGGTCTCCCTCACAATCGCTCTCGGTTCCTGGCGCGTCATGCGCGTGAGCAGGTGGTTGAGGGTTGTGAAGCCTGCGTTGACGAGGGCGGTGTGTTGGGAGACCATGGCGAGACGCGCGGACTCAAAGAGGGGGGGGACGCAGGCGTCGGGGAGGTTGTGTTGTTTGATGGATGATTTTGCGGTGGTGAGGGAGGCGACTTTGCTATCTACTGAGCTGTCGCTGCGCAGAAGCGTGAGTAGGGCCTGCGCCGCTACATCGGTGAGTTTTTCGCCCATGGTTGTGGTGCTGGTCGTGTGCTGCTGCTGATGGTGTGGTGGTGTGGCAGCTGAGTGTGGGTGGGTGGGTGATAGGGGCCGTAGCCGCGTAGCCGCGTAGCCGCGTAGCCGCGTAGCCGCGTAGCCGCGTAGGTGTTATTGCGTGTGCTGTGTCCAAGGGCATATGTGCCTGTTCCTTGGTAGTACTGTGTATCAGCGCTATCACCTTGTCCTTGCTGTATTGTCGTCGTCGTCGTTGTCGATTGTTTTGTTTTGTTTGATGTTTTGCCGTGGATGTGTCGTTGTCGTTGTCGTTGTCGTTGTTTACACTTGACACGCAGAGGTTGGGACGCGTGGTGGTCTGTGCGCTAGTGGTGGGTGGTCCCGCGATAAGGAACTGGCACAAGATAAGGTCAAGGCTGCGATCTGACGGTGGCTGGGTTGTTCCTGTTGGCTGTCAGCCTCGTCTGATGGGGGGTGTCATTTTTGGGGGGGTGTCATTTTTTTAAGAGGGGGTTATTCAAGGGACGGTGTGTATATCGAGGTTAGATTGGACGTATATAAAGCTGTTATCCTACTATCAACCATCAACCATCAACCATCAACCATCAACCATCAACCATCAACCATCAACCATCAACCATCAACCATCACCATCACCATCACCACCTCACCTCCCCTCCCACGACCACGACCTGACGACGACCACGACGACAACCACCAGCGCCCCAAAATGACCCGTCCCCCAAGCCCCCACCAACCCAACAAAAACCCCCCTCCCCATCATCGCCATCGCCAAACCCGCCCCCCCTTCCACCGCCGACACCACCCCTCCCACCACCACCGCCCCCTCCGGCCTCATTAGGGGATAGCCGATTGGATGCGTCTCAAGGCCAACCTGGCGCCACCGCATTGGAAGAGATCTACCGAAGATATGAGAAGACGGGGTTTTTTTTTTGAAGTGGCTGGACCAGAACAAGGGGGATGGGAAGGGGGGAGGAAGGGGGGGTGGTGAGGGGGATGAATGAGTGGTTGAGGGGGAATAGGTATGAGGGGGGGAGGTGGGGGGGAGGTGGGAGGAGTATGGGAGGTTTGTTGCGGTGGGGAAGGGGGGAGTAGAGGGGTAGTGAGAGGGAGGGGAAGATGGTGGGATGTGGGATGTAGGGGAAGATGGTGGGATGTGGGATGTAGGACGGGAGGGGGTTGAATATCTCCCATCTCCCATCTCCCATCTCCCACCCCCAGTTCAATCCCACCTACCACCCTTACCCTACCATCCCCCATCTCCATCACCAGTGTGGTAAGTGAGCTGCCATGATGGATCCCCCCAACCCTGTCGTCGTACACTCACTCGTACAGCACCTGAAACGGAAACGGAAACGGAGTACACAGCTGAGCAGACAGACCATCAGGGGTTACCTCAAAACGCTCCATTTTTATGACTAAACCTTGCACGTTGGTCAGCTAAGCTCGCGTAGCATCACATGATATGGTCAGGTAGGGCTAAAAACGGTATAGAATAGGGCCCTAAATATATTTAATGCATTATTCACGATTGATGAGATAATTTCACTACCTCAACAAGACCTATGGTCTAATACTATTGCTATTGATAGTAGTCTTCAATTTGAGGATGAAAGATAGAAGAAGAGGAGGAGGTAAAGCCGCCTAGTATATACTTAAGCTAATGCATTACTAATGCATTAAGATCGAAACAACCACAGTTATTCAAGCGATGTTAGCGACAACAGATTTATATATCATCAATAGTTGATGCTATGTAAAAAAAAGGCGACATAGTCTTGGAAGATGTATTTGTGGGCGGGTCAGTCGAGGGTTTGCCGGAAATGGAGTGGGTCACCTGAGGTTGGGGATGGGGATGGGTCGGGTCTACGTTCAGCCTGAAACGCCCTCTCTCTTTCTCGGCGTTGCTGGCTGCATGTGTGTCTAGATCTAGATCCTCCCATTAGTACCGACTAGACTACGGACTGGCTGGCCTAACACGCACTGACAAGAGGGCTACATTGGTTGGGGGTCGCGACTCTAGCATCTTGGGTGTAATGGTAGGTAGAAGATGTTAGACGAGATACCGCTGTCGTGTGTACCTCCCTGCGCTACTAGAAGAGGCAGTAACATCTGCACGACCGAGGATAAGTTACAGGTCAGGGGGAACGCTAGGATAAAACACGACCCCCCCCCCCCCCATGCTAGCTGGCGCCACCTTGCTGGTTCCAAACCCAAAAGCATATGCAAGTATGTCTATACACTTTATATACTAACTTATTTCACAGGCAAGCTAGTCACACCTAAGCAAGCTGAATAACTTAACAAACAGCTTGATAATACACATTAAAATACTTTTCTAGCCTTTCCTACTTGGTTAAATCCTTATCTAGTTGTTAAGTTATTAAGTAACTAGCTCGCCTATGAAATACGTTAACTATAACCATAAATAATAGCAAGACTAAGCTGTTGCCTACCTACTAAGTCTCTCTCAACTCATCTTAATACTAAGACAAGGATTTTAGTGCTACATCTCTGTATTAGAGATGTAGTAGTTTGGCCCTAGATCTCCTAGAAGGTGTTCTAGAAGAGGAGGAGGCAGGCTAGGACCACACTAGTCTAGCCTATCTTGTTACTAATCTCATTAAGAGACAGAAAGAGGAGCTAGTAGCAGTATAGAGTAGGGAGGAGGAGAGTTCCCTAGAGTATAACATTGTTATTAACGACTAGATTAAAGTGATAATGCTAGGATATACCTAGGGTTTTGGATTAGGAGGCATCACGAGGCAGGAAGGTATCATATTCTGCAAGCACAATAGGTCTATGTAAATATAGCGACTATTAACTAGAGTCCTTCTTCTAAGGCCTCTAGCCCCCTTTTATCTAGGCGCCCTATGCCCTAGTTTACCAAGCCCTATAGGCCCTGCTAAAAGAGGTCTTACGTAAGGGCATGTAACAGCCTTCCTTACAATTACCTCCCCCTTTAGGAGAATTGCCCCTAATTCTAAGCAGAGAGGCTGATTGCTAGATCGTAGGCTTTGCGTGATTGTTGAGGCTGTTTGCTTAGTGTAGGTGGAGGGATATCTAGGCGCGTGCCAAGCTAGGTAGTCCTATGACCCCCCTATTCCTACCTCCAGTTTACCTTCTTCTGCCCTATAACCTTCCTACTTCACCCTTAGCTCTACCACTTCACTCCACCACCTCATTCTACCATTTCACTACACCTTAACCTTTAAGGCTATCAAACTCAAGAGCAAACTTGGAAATCTCCTCCTCAAACCTACAAGTCACTATACATATTTTGGCTTATCACACCAACAACAAGAGCAATACTACTCAACGATTGCTACAACCATCTATGATTCATTACACGTCATCGCTCCTTAGTTACTGGGCCGATATTACCACATAGCATATCTCTACAACCAACTATGATTCATTACATGACATCACTCATACTACCACATGACATATCTCTACCAACTAGAGGCCTAGGAGCATGAACGATAGCTCTAAAAGCTCCTACGAACCTCTATGATTCATTACATGTCATCGCTCTTTAGTTACCCACAAGATTGGTTAAGTTATGACATAATTTGTCTATGACATAATTTGTCTATGACATAATTTGTCTATTGGGGTACTCTGACCTTGGACCTCCTTTTACTTCCTATAGGCTACGAACCTAAGAGATGGTTCTATGGGATTCTCTTACGTCAACTACAGTTACCAAGCCTGGTAAGTCATGGAAAGTCTTGGAAAATGAGAGAACTACATTCCTTTAGCATAAATAGGATTGCCCTTTCCTTAAGAAAAGGCAAGCAGACAATACAGTAAATCGACTATCACATACTTCCACGTCTTTTCCAAGCTTCCAAGCATTCATCTTGTTACTCCTTGTTTCTGAAAAGTCAGTGAGGTGTTAACCTCTGACTTACCCCTGAGTTCCCAGACTCAACATTTGTTGCAACTTGTCTGAACCACTTCACTACATCACACACCTGATTGCTGCGTTGTGGAATAGTCTAAGCTACGACCCTTTGGCTCTGTTTTCTAAGACAGTGTGTTGTCTTAGTAAATTCATCCCTTCCTTGGGTGGCTAGATTCTCACATCTGGTGCACCCACCATTACAATCCAATCTCTAAGGTACTTGTTCCCTTCCTTCTGGCTTACCGAGGCTTATTAACAGTAATAAATCTTCCTGTTCCAGCCCTACTATAGTGCCTTGCAAGAAGGTCCTTACAGCTCCCGTTCCTACAGCCACCCCTCACAAGAGAATGGCAGCCTAGATGTTAGGCTCCCCTAGGTCCGAGGCACTAGTTACACCTACTCCTTCTAGGTCAGTGGCATCCTAACGCCTACGTGCCGTTCAACCCTACTGTTCGCCTACTGTTAAGGATGGGCTAGAGGAACTAGACAACCCTAGATCTTCCACTAACGTTCCTAAGGAGATGCGCACCGTGCTTAGGTGGAAGGTTACTGCTTGTTACGTAGTTCCTAAGTCTACAGGGCGCCTTTACACTAGCCCTTGCCCTTGCTACATGAAGTGCACCCACACCTATTTCAACTTCCCTAGACAAATGTGTTAGATCCTAGCAGATATAGGGAAGTGTGGCGATTGCCTTTAGGGCAACTACTAATGCGTCCTAGTAAGGCGCCTTTTTTTTCCCTCCTCACCTAGTTGTACTAACAGTTAGGTAGGCTAATACTTAATTTAGCGTTGAACTAAAGGCCCTCTAGCTTGCTGCTAACACTTTCTTAGATAGCCAGGCTGATGATGATGATGCTAGGCTTGAGACTGACTCTAGCACCACCATCTAGGCCCTTTCTGCCCTTCATGAGGCCTAGCGCATATACTCTAACACCTTCTAAGCCTAGGAGGCCCCTACCCCTAAGGGCAAGGGTGCTCCCTAACCAGTGAAGGGTAAGGGAGCCAGCATGCCAGGACCATCTGTGGTTGTTGTGCACAATGTAGACAACCCCTAGCAGGCCCTTCTCTACTAAGCTGAGACTCTTGTCAAGCTAGGCAAGGTGAAGACCAAGGGCCTTAAGGCTGCTACATAGGTGTTCTACACCTCCGTTAATGCGGTCCTCAATGCCTACTAGTCTAGGCTCAAGGCCTACGCCAACTCTATGAAGTTCCTTGTAGGTCTAAGGCTTCCCTTCTTCTTAGGTGTTTGCTAAACCTATAGGCAGCTAGAGCCTAACGCAGAGTGAGCCCCTGTCCTGTGACTCCTCGTCTTGTGACTCCTAGTCTTTACTTCACCCCTAAGAACCTAGAGCTCGCCCTCTTTAAGTGACTCCTTGTTAAGCCTTCTAAGTAGCAGTACAACGCTTGCCCCCTATGCGTAAGCTGTCACCTAAGGTCGAGGATTCTTGTAATGATGTACAGTTATGCTTACTTAGCTTCAGGGCTTAGAAAACAGGTTAGCTAAGGTCCTCTAACTGTTAAGGGGGGAGGAGAGAAGAACAAGAGAGGGAGGAACTAGATTAGAGGTAGTAGAACGAAGAAGGAGAAGAGGGAGAGGCTTACCTATGGATATATAGTTTAATTTAAATCCTCCTCTACTGTTAGTAGAGGAGATCTAATCTTGTATAATATAACCTGTTATAACCCCTTCTCTTTGTTTAATTATAGTAGATTAGCTAACTTGAGTCTAGTATTAGTCCTAGAACCATGTCATGTAAGCTTTCTACAAAGGTTTTGTCGAATGGCTAATTTAGGTATCTTTACAGATAAATTACTATGGCAGGGTACATACAACCTACCACAAATTGCGAAACCCGCGCATCTCGCTTCTATAAAATTCTCGATCGGGCATCTCGCTTCCTCCAAACCTTGAGCGAAGCGAGAAGTTGACGACGGCGACGATTAGTAACAGGTGGATCGCGTACCACAGTTCAAAGCAGCAAGGGACAAATAATATCATCGGCGAGGACAACAGCCACCACTCACCACCCAACACCCAACACCCAACACCCAACACCCAAAACCTCACTTTCTGAAACCCGCGCCCGCAACAAAACCAACCTCTGCTGCTGCTGCTCCTAGCATTGCAAACTCTCGGTCTGGCTGCTGCAACTGGCATTCACTTCACAAGAGACTGTGAATCGCGTACCATACGTCTCCACCGGTGCCACGCTCCAGAGGACGATCTCCAGATCCGATCTGCTCACCTCACCTCACCTCACAACCTCACCTACATACCACCTCGCACCTCCACAACAAACCTCACATAACCTCGCACCTCACACCAACCTACGCGCCAATCCCCCAGCGCACTACAGCTCCTGCACTCCACGCGACATCCCCACGCATGCCCCGACACCACCATACCCATACCCATACCGCACCACCGGATCTGAGCTGGAGATAAGAGGCAGCTTGCGCCATGGAGGCGCCTGAAGCTGCTGTTGCGGCGGGAGACTACCCAGAGTCTGCCGGGGAGGAGGAGGCGTATCCGTGTAAGGGATGTGGAGAGGTGAGTTATTGATTGCTTCCTGCGGGTTGAAGGGGCATTGGGATAGCATGTGCTAACCTGAATGGTAGATTCTGGAAGAGGGCAAGGCTTTTGAACTTGGTGAGTTGTTTGTCCATTGACCTCTCCAGACTGTGAGGGCGAGCTGCTTCTGCTGAATGCCATTGCGCCACTGCTCTCCCTCATAGCCCACCAACCATCCCATTGAGCCCACAGCTAACCTCCCACCCCCCACAGCAAACAACAGATGGCATCTCGACTGCTTCCGCTGCAACCAATGCCACACCCTCCTCGACTCGGACGCCAACCTGCTCCTCCTCGGCGACGGCTCCCTGATCTGCAACAACTGCACCTACAGCTGCAGCGCCTGCGGCAACAAGATCGAGGACCTGGCCATCCTGACCGGCGACCAGGCCTTCTGCGCCACCTGCTTCCGCTGCCGCAACTGCAAGCGCAAGATCGAGAACCTGCGCTATGCCCGCACTTCACAGGGCATCTTCTGCATGAGCTGCCACGAGTCGCTGATGGCGCGTCGTCGTAAAAAGAGTAAACTCGCCGCCGCCCAGGCGAAAGCTAAAGAAAAAGATAGCATGCTCGTCGATAAATCCCTTCCGGCCCTGCCACCCCTGCCACCGAGCGAGAAGGCCGCCACAGAGGCCGCCCAGTCGAGAGAGCCGGCCATGAATCCGCACACCGAGCTCTCGCCGAGACCGCGCCCACAGTACCCTGACGAAGTATCGAGAAGCAGCTTGCGTCGCGCCGAATCACCCAGCGATATGGGACATAGAGACGGCCTGACCCTCCCAACCACCACATACCGCAACAACCGCCACTCCCACGCCTCCGACATGACCGCCGACGGCGACGGCTTCTTCATCCCGCTCGCCTTCGACTCGAGTCCCGCCCCCACGCCGCGCCTAGCGCAGAATACCAAGACCGAGAGAAGCATGAAGGAGAACGCCGCGGCGAAGGATATGCTCAGCCCGTCGGCGAGGAGCGCGAGGGGACAGGTGCCAATGAGCCAGTCTACCCCGCACATCGCGTTCCAGGAGAAGGGCCGCACGACATCGACCGAGTACTCCGAGTCCAGCAAGGACGGGGGAGCCACCACGAGGAGGCCACCACCGCGTCCGTCGGCGGGGAGCCGCAGCACGTCTGCCACTGCGTCGCCGGCGCTTGGGGGCGAGGAGCCGAAGAGACAACACTTCGCTAACTCGATGAGCAATGGGAATGCGAATGAGAAGGCGCAGTCGCCGCAGGATAAGTTTAAGCTGCAGGATGTGCCGAAGCGTAGGCGCTCGCATGAGTCGAGGAATAGTGCTAAGACGGAGGCGGTGGAGAATCCGCAGGCTAGACCGCTGGTGAAGAGAGAGAACTTGTCGAGGACTGAGAGCGCTGAGTCGACGAGAGTGTCTCAGGAGAGACCGAGGGGAGGCGTAAACCAGTATCCTGCTGCGGAGCCGGAGTCGAGACCTTCGGCCGATTGGGCCATGTCCCCTCCTCCTGCGCGCGAGACGAGGGCTGAACTGCCAACTGCTTCGAAGCCCATGCCTCGGAAGGAGGTTGGAGGCGGAAAATTAGCCAAGACCCAGCCGCAATCATACGCCGCCTCCGACACAATGTCCTCATCCGTTTCCTCCACCGACAGCACCGCCCTACCCACCCCAACCGTAAACGGAAAGCCCATCTCCAGCCCCGTCATCAAGCCCTCCGAGGAGTCCGCACCACGCCTCCCCATCCGCTCTGCCCCGCCACACCAGAAGCCGAGCGACACCTACATGGCCCCCCGCGCCCCTCCCATCCCCCCACCACCCTTCCAGCACAAATCCAGTAAACAAGCCATTAACCCCCTAACCGGCGAGCCTATCTCCCCCAAGCTCCCGAGATGGAGCGCCGGCGGCGATTTCACCATGGACGAGGACATGGCTCGGATCCTCGGCACAGACGAGCGCGCAGAGTCCCTCCTCAGACGCGTATCCAACGCCGTCCGCCACGGCCGCAGCATCAGCGAGACGACCAGCCGCACCGTGACGTCGGGGCACTGGCCTAAAACCCCCATTGCCGAAGACGGCGTCGCGAGCCCGCAGTCCATCTCCATGGGCTCCCCTCGCACCGAAGACTCCGCCGTCCTCCGTCGCCAGCTGCGCAACTCGGAGCAGCGCGTTGCGGAGCTCGAGCGTGTCTTCGTGGCGAGCGGTGAGCTGAAATCGGTTACCAAGCAGCTGGTTGAGAAGCGCAAGACTGTGCATGAGCTTGGGTCGCAGGCGGAGATTATGATTCGTCAGATCGAAGTCCTGGCTGGGTATGTAGAGCGCGCTAAGCGTGCGGAGGGTAAGCAGGAGTTGAATATGGAGGAGATGGAGGAGAGCGCCATCAAGGATTTCGTCCTCCGCATCGAGAGACTCAAACAATCCATGTCCCGCCAAGTCGAAACCCTCTTCGAAGAGCGCGAGACCCTTCTCGATGAGAAAGCCGCTGCTATCAAGTCGCGCGACCGCGCCCTAGCGGAATTCGAACAGCTGTCCTTGAAGAACGCGCAGTTGGCGGATCTGAATAACGATCTTACCACGCAGATCCAGGAGCGTTTCCGTGCTCAGAGCGGGCCGGCTGCTAGTGTAGAATCCCCGAAACCCCCGATGTCGTCCGGAGGTGCCTCAACGAATGGACTGGGGATTTATGTACATAGTAAGGATAAACTGTCCCTCGCTACCCTCGATGACGCACCATCCACCACCGCGGCAGCTACAGCCTACGCCCCCTCCCTCGCAACCGCGCATTCCTTCCCCCACGTCCTCGACGCGGACGCTGCTCTCGAACCAGCGACGGTCTTGTCCGCCCCGCACGTGGTCAATATCCGTAAAGCCCAAGCCAAGAAGTTTAACTGGAAGAAGGGCGGTGCGACCGTCGCTAAGGGTGTTAGCAAGGGTTTCAAAGGCGCGTTTGGGAGTGAGCGCGAGCGTAACGCTGCTGCTGCTGGGGGAGGGGGGGAGATCGGGATGCCGTATAACACCACTGTGACGCCTGTTGATTCTCCAAGCCTGATGGCGCTGCCGCAGAACTCGCAACTTGGTGGGGGTGGGGGGTCGTTGCCGAAATCCCAGTCGAGTGATCCGAGAGGCTTTGGGCTGTTCAAGAAGAGTCATGCGAATTCCAAGTCTGCCGGTGGTGCGTCGGCGCTCAACCCCGCTGCTGAGAGTCCAGCGACATTATTCGGCTCCGACCTCGTCGAGCGCGCGGCCTTTGAGCGCCGCCACATCCCCTCAGTCGTGATCCGCTGTATCGAGGAAGTCGAGCTGCGCGGCATGGATGTAGAGGGCATTTACCGCAAGACGGGGGGCAGTGGATTGGTGCGCATGATTCAGGAGGGGTTTGAGAAGGAGACGCCGGGGATGGAGATTGATATCAGTGATCCGGATGTAGATATCACGGCGGTGACGAGCGTGTTGAAGCAGTATTTTAGGAAGTTGCCGGTGCCGCTGCTGACGTTTGATGTTTATGAGAGGGTGTTGGAGGCGCTGAGTGAGTTATCCTTTTCCTTTCCTTTTGCTTCTCTTGCTTTCGCCGGGGTTGGGCTTCTTTGTTGTGGCCGTACGTCCTCGACTTTCCGGAGTTGGCGATCTTCGATCTTCGATCTCGACCCAAAGACCCTCTCTTTGTCCCCCAAGTCGAGTTTGCCGTAATCGTCTGCTTGTTCATTTGGGACCCCCCACTAACATCCTCACCAGCAATCCCCGACTCCGACCCCACCTCCCGGTGCGCCCACCTCCGCCACACCTTCTCCCTCCTCCCCCCCATCCACCGCGACGTCTTGGAATTCCTGATCTTCCACCTGGCCCGCGTCGTCTCCAAAGCTTCCGTCAACCTGATGACACCCAAGAACGTGGCTGTCGTTTTTGCGCCGACGATTATGAGGGATCGCAGTGTGGAGAGGGAGATGAGCGATGTGGCGAGGCGGAATGAGGTTGTGCAGTTTGTGGTGGAGAATAGTGAGGAGATTTTTGGGGGGGAGTAAGGTGGATGTGGCTCTTGCCCCAAGTTGTTGCGAGTTTTGTGGGTGTGGAGGAGGATGCGTGGGTTTTGTGGATGGATTCGTGTATATTAGTTGTGGGAGTCGATAAAATGGTTCTTCATGCGTCTTTGTTTGTTTGTTTGGCACTTCTTTATCCTGGATGCCTCTTTTGCGTTTTGCTTCATTGTTGGTTGTTCGAGCATTTTTCTTACGCTGGCTCTTTTTTCTAATATTTGTTTCTGGAGGACGAGATCTTGTGTTTGTTTTTCTTTTTTGATATCCCCGGATTAGTTGTGGTTTTCTTCTTCCATCATTTTGCTGTTCTTGTTTTTATGGATGGTGGTTTGTTGATCATGGATCGTTGTTGTTGATGAAAAGCTTTCAGAACCTCCCCCCCGCTTACCGTGGACCCCCGTACGTACGTACGTACCTGACGTGTGTTGCCGCGACGATGAGCTAGGCGGCGTTTACGTTTACGTTGTCGTTGTCGTTGGCTTGTACGTAGGGTTACCGCGCCGATGAGGTTTTGGGGGGGGGGTAAACGTTTGCACCTACGTCGTTACCGCGGCGATATCTCCATCTCCGTCTCCCGTACGTACATGCGTGCGGAACCGCAGCATATGGCGTTGATGTCCTCACCACCCGAGCATGACAGGATGAGTTTACTGTGTTGGAATTCTGTTTGTGCCTACAGGTCAGGGAAGGATAGGGGTGGGGAAGAGCTGAATAGGAGTTGGGGACCTGGAGGGGGGTGGTGTATGGATGTTATGTTGCCCTGGCCATTATGTGGGGGGTGTAGATACAGAGGGGATGAATAAAGGGGGGTATATCAGGAAAGAGTTTTATGTGCTTGGTGACTGTGATTATGACTGTGACGGGGTGTAGGGTGTGTGGAGTGATGGGTAATGGTGAGAGTGTTGATATCATCTATCCGTCAAGAGATTTCAAGAATTTCTTTCTTATCTTTCTTTCAAACCTTTTTATTCTTCCCCCCCCCATGGCGAGGGGGTAGTTCTCTGTTTATATATCAAACTAAGAAAATGGTATCTAATCTCGCAACAAATCCCCCCATCATTCAATCCACTCCAAACCCCAAAAACCCCAAAAACCCCTCCCCCCAACCTACCTTGAACCAGCGCCAACCAGTCCATCATCATCATCTCCCCTCACCCCCTCCCCCTTCTCCCCTCCCAACACCCAACCCTCTCAACTTCAACGCCAACAACCCCTCCGCGACCTGTCGTCCCTGCAGCAGCGGTGTGGCGAATGCATTTCCGCCGTAGCCGATGTCGCCTTTATGGAGTTTATCATACATCTCCATACCGCTCGTATCCCACTCACTCGACCCTATCCCATCCTGCGCGGGCGGCCTCGACGGAATGCCGGATCGGCTAGTTCCCGTATCAGACGACGCGGCGTCGCGCTTATACAGCGAGAACGGAATCGGTTCTACCGGCGTCGTACTCCTCCCCTCCAACGCATACCCCTCACCCGCCCTCACAACCCCATCCAGCTCCATCTCCTCCCCCCTCCCTCCTCCCGTAAGACGAAACCATGCGCTCCTCCTATACGCCTTCTCACTCGCCGGGCTAAGCGCGCTGTTGGGGACACTGTCGCGGATGGGTTTATAGCTCGTAAACCGCGGTTCAGGGAACTGCAACTCATTCCTCAACTTCTCCTTCCCGTCCGGGACGCGGTTGGCGAAGACGATGCGGATGGATTTATACAGGTAGAATCGTCCGCACGCGGGACTGCAGATGTGGAGGTGTATCAAGTACCGCAGCGTCGCGCGTTCATTCTGCTCAGGCTGGCTGGTCGACGACGAGGTGGGGGGGATATCCATAATCGGTCCCGCGGAGTAACTTCTCTGCCGAATAAACGTCTTCGTACCAGCCTCCATCCCCTCAAGGTCGTAGGGGACGAGAAACAGCTTCACGGCTGTCTTGTTGGGGTTCTTGATGATGATCTGGAGTTGTCCCTTTTCGGGGATGCGGTAGCAACCCCCTGGTGGGGCGCGGGGGGAGGTAGAGCGGCGCTTTTGCTTCTGGAGACGTCGCTGGGAGAGCTCTGAGGCTTGGTCCTGGGGTTCGGGGGGCTCGGGGCCGTCGGGAACTCGGGATCGGAGCTTGGAGTGGCGGGTTCGCTTGGTGCTGTGGCTTTCTGAGGGTGGGACGGCTGGGAGACCGTTTTCTAGGTCGATTTGGCCTACGTACGGACTTGGTCCGTCTTCAGATGCCGTATGCCTGATGTGGGCTGTGGTGGCGTAGCTATAAAACACTGCCGGGAATGGGAGGGCCACATGGGGCGGGCATTTTAAACTCGGCTTGCACTTGCCTAATCCCAGTACCCCGATTTGTGCTACGAAATCCAGGGGTTTGGAGGGGGTGGTGGACATTCTGCCTCTGAGAATACTCTCCTCGTATGATCCAACCATCGATGCGTGGTGTAGCGGGGAATCTGACGCGAGCGATGGTCGTCTTGAGTGGCGGAATGCTGGCGTCTGAGGGGAAGACGTCGGTTGCGACAAGGCGGTGTTCAAGGCTAGTGACCTCCTCGGCTGGTGGGCTTGGTAGGCGTAGCTCGCATCTCTGCGTTGGAAGGGTAGTTGGTAATCGGAGACCGCGCTGGACGGTGTTACTGGCGTGGAGGAATAGGGTTGGAAAGTATGGCGCCAGCGATTTCTTATAAAATCCGCTTCGATATCCATGGATTCCCCCAGAGGGGAGAATTCCACGTCGTCGTTGGTCTGGGACTGTACTAGAGGGCTCGTTGGGGGTATGTATGCAAAACTCGAGGAGTAAGATGACGATAGCGAGACGGCCCTTGACCTGGATACGAAGTCGACGTCGGGGCGAGAGGAAGAGTGGAACCGGTCATGCAGAGATGGTATAAAGTCTCTTGGTGGCGAAGTGCAGAGCCACGGCCGGGGGGGACTTGCAGCACGAATACGACCAACGTCCGGCTCCGAATTCAAGTCCCGTTTGGGCTCTGATCTCTCTTCCCTAAAGTTCCCCGAGTGTAGTGCAGACAACCCGGCATGCAGGTTCTCGGTCTCGTCTAGTCTAGGTGAGATTGGCGACGACTTGATCTCCGCCGGCGGCAGGAGCGGAGTCGTACGTCTCGCACCGGGCGTTTCCAGCTTCTTCGGGGACCAGATAGGACTCTCGCCCCTCTTCAACCTCTCCATCAGCTCCTGCCTGTCCGAGACACAGCTCGAGGCATCGTGAGAGCTCGTCCCTGCCTCATCTTCCGCTGTTGGAGCAGCATCATCTGGGGAATCCGGTACCGGGCCCTCGCAGAGGTCTGTCCGGATGCTCTCCTCCGAGGGCTCCCTCCTCAATCCTCGGTATCTGGGTCCGGGAAAGGTAAATGTCGGTCGGTTGGGCGGTGAGGACGCAGCGTGGCCGTCCGGGTCCTGGAAGTAGGGCATGCTGTGAGCATCGGTACTCTGGCGGTACTTCTTTGCTCGAGTTCGATGGGGGGTTATAGTATACTACTTATCATGGCGTTGAGAGGGAGTTTGGCAGTGGAAGTTGTACTTTCCCAGCTTTGCCGGTGGGAATGGCGGGGTCTTCTGGAGGTCGGGGCTGGACGGGGAGGGGAGTAGGGTCGTGGCGAGTGCTTTTCTCGGAGTTTGTTGCAGTTCTTGTAGTTAAGAGGTACTGGGACAGCTCGAGGAGGTATTCGTGAGGGGCGGAAATGGAAGCAAATAAAAGCAAATATATATATGATACAGTCGATTTCTGGGTGAATCTCTTCTGTGAATATTGTAATTTTTTGGCATGACCTACGTCTCTCTCCCAAGTACCTGCAGCAACACATAAGTACTTGCATCAAGTCACATTCCTCACCGCATCTCAAGTACCCACTATGCAGTAACAAGTACTCTGACCGCCATTCTCTACCACGATTACCACCAAGTTAACAAAAGTGATGTTTGCTCTGTTTGCTCTGTTTGCTCTGTTTGCTCTGTTTGCTCTGTTTGCTCTGTTTGCTCTGTTTGCCCTCTTTGCCCTCTTTGCCCTCTTTGCCCTCTTTGCTCTCTTTGCTCCACATACAATGACGAGGAAATATTTCCATCCTCAGCATTTCCACCACCGATCTGATAGACTCAGCACAACTATACTACCACGGATTACTCGACACCCTCATACACCATGGCACCCAAACGAGACAGAGAAGATGACCCCCAAGTCCCACACGTCAAAAAGACCCGTGCCGGCTTCAAAGTCGGCCCTGACAACCTCCCCGACGGCACATGGCGGCGTAAAGGTAACCAACCACCCACCATTACCTCCTCTCCCTCCATTCTCCCCGTCTTGCCTCTCTACCATTGTAGAAACACACAAGCTAACACCCCCCCCCCCAACCAAAAGTCATCAAAATAAAAAAAGACCTCATCCACAACGCCAAAGTCAAAAAATCCTACGCAAAAATCAAGGCCCGCACCTCCCCGCCACCCACCCCCGCAGCCCCAGACGCATCTACAATCGTCATCCAAGCCCCCTCTGAACCCGTCGCCCCTACCCCCGTGGAACCAAAGCAAGAGCGCGAAGGCGAAGGCGACCGCGAACTCCACCCCTCCCGGCAAGCCATGCTCGACGCCCCCGACGCCCCCCCCGCGGCCTCCGTACCGCGGTTCTCGGGTCCGAAAACCGCGCGCGCGAAGAAGCCGGGGTATTTTGATAAGGCGAAGGCGGAGGCGGATGTTAAGAGGAAGGAGGCGGAGGAGCGGAGGGCGGAGTTTGAGAGGAGGGATAAAGAGAGGAAAGGTAAGGTGGAGGAGAGGGAGAGGCATAGGAGGGCGATGGCGAAGGCGAGGACGGGGGGGAGGAACGGGCAGAGGAAGTTGGGGAGGGAGAGTGTGGTGCTTTTGGATAAGGTTCGGAGGATGGTTGGGTGAGTGGGGGAGGGGGGTGAGGGGGGTTGTGAGTGGGGAAGTGGTGGGGAGGGGGGGTTATGATATCCATGAGAGCATGTTATGGCTTGGCTGTGCTTTCGTCATGATGGTGTTTGACATGAGAAATTGTGTTATCTGTGCTTTGATTTGGCTGGGTTGGTGATATGCTTAAACAAGTCTGGGCCTGAAACAACATCGACTGGTTCAGTGATTTTGGACGCCGATGGCTTTGACCACAGCTAGGTGCACTCTCATTCTTTTACACACTTTGAAGCATCATAGCTTAGGATGGCAAACCAGGAATCCATACCGACCAGTTCAGTGACTTTGGAAGCCGATCACTTCGACTACAGGTAGGTGCGCTCTCATTATATTTACACTATTGAACTTTCATGTTTTATTCTTCACTCAGGGGCGAGAAGCACAGATGGGAGTTATATACCCCTTTCTTTTCATAAAACTATATACCAACAAATCAACCACCTCATCTGCATTTGCCCCCCGCTCAAACAACCTTCCACACCCCTCCTCCCCTTCCCCCTTGCCCCTTCCCCCTACACATCCGCCGTCGCCTCACCATAAAAATGAATCTACACCAACACATTAGCCTCATCCCCCTATCCCCTCCCCCCTCTCCACCCCTCCCATCCCCCTGGATCCCCAAAACTCACCGTCTGATCCACACACCCCTCCACCATCTCCTCCCCAACCGCCCCCAAATTCGCAAACACCTCCCCCCCCTTTTGCCCACTGGATGGTATCACCCCGTACGCATTCCGTCCCGCCTCGAAGGTGACTGCCAGTCTTCCCGCACCGGGGCCGATGACTGAGGGGTTGACGATGTCGGGGTTGGCCCGGGAAACGAGGAGGGGAGGCACTGGTAGAACCCTTTTCTCTTGTGTCAGATGGCGCGTGCATGCCGGGTGGGGGAGAAGAGGGAGGGGTGGTACATTCGCTATGTGTTGGGTCAGTCAGCTTGACGATTCTCTGTAGGAGGAGGGGGAGGAGGGGGGCTTACTTCAAATTCACACATTTCAACCCGCTAACACAGCTTGTAGGACCAGTCCAGGCTGTTCCGCCACCTTGTGTTGTTCAGGCTGGTCTGTGGTCTGTGGCGACGGGAGGGGGGGCCGGATCGACGACCACCCTGGCACTGCGAGTGGGTGCCGAGGAGTAAGACCGGGGAAGCTGGGGTCGGGGGGGTATGTGGTGAGGATGATGGAGTAGTAGATCGTGGGTAGTATGGGAGGGGGATTAGGTTATACGTGTGGTATAGCGATTCAGGGTGGGTTTTATCATAATAGTAGGGTTGCATGTGGACTACGCACGGCATGGGTGTCACGACTGCATGTGCCGTATGGAACGTCCTCCAGTAATGGGTGTATTCATATCTATCTAAGCGCTTTGAGGTTCGGGATTGGTGGGTATATTTGGTCCTGGATGGCGGGGTGCTTGCGCGGGAAGAGCTGGTGTCTAGTGTTGGCTCGTGGATCGGTTATTGGAGGCGCCTGAGAAGGTGGCGCTGATGGCTGGTGGCGGGTAGTATTTTCCGCAGGAGGGGAGTATTGAGGTGGTCGAGGGTGTGGGGGGTGTGGGGGGTGTCGTTAAGGACAAACGCATGGTGGCGGGATAATGTATGGTTCTTGATTTGGATTTTGGCGCCTTCGTGGGGCAAGTTTGCCTCAGCTACTTGTCAGCTGGAATGACGCGTAGTTTTTCCCGAGAGCTGTTCGTATTCTGACCGTTCTGCCTGCTAAGTTCCATCTCAACTGGCATAACCGGACATCGCCCCTTGGATGTGGAGCTGCAGTGGCCCCTCCCCAACGCACAATATCAACCCCTCAAAAGCTATCATCCAACAAATTATGGCTCGGCTTCACCATACTCGGACTATCCTCCTCATACCCCCCCGCCCCCGCCGTCATCAGCAAATCCTCCACAATCCGCTTACTCGCCTCCCTCGCCGGCGTCTGCAACACCCGATTCGGCGGAATCGCAAACTGTATCGTCTTCGGCGGACTCATCCCAAGCGTCTTATACACATCCTCCGCATCCTCACTATCGCTATCCCACGTAATCTCATCCGTGATCCCGATATCCCTCGTACTCTTCCCCCGCGCAGGAGTCTGCACACTCACCCCCGGCGTGCGCGGCGCGGCGTTAGGTCGGATCTGCGGCTGGCGGATGGGCGAGCTGAAGATCTCATGGTGGAGTTGCGGGGCCTGGATCGGGGAGGAGGAAGACGGGGACGCGAGGTCGCGCCAGGAGGGTTTGGATGCGGCGGCGGCTTTGGCTTGTTTCTGCGCCGTGTGTGGGGTGGCTTGGAGGCGGTAGTTTTTGTCCATTACGCGGTGGAGGAGCGGGTCCTGGGCGCGTTTGGTGGAAGCGAGGTGGGAGGTTGGTTCGAAGGGGGAGGAGAGGGGGGTCATCGACATGCGGGGGAGGCGTTGTTCGGTGCCGGGGGTTGTGGGAGGGAGGGGGGTGTCGTCGTCGTCGAGTTCTTCTTCTTTGGCCTTGCCGCCGCCCTTCATTTCTCGCTTTAGTGCTTCGTAGGGGGAGCCGTAGTCGGCGAATTTTCCGCTAGTGGCGGTTCGTGATGGGGGGGCGCGGGGGGTGCTGCCGCTGATGTCGCCGTTGTCGAGGAGGGACTCGTCGTCGTGGCAGTAGGCGTGGTGGTGGGTTGTGTCTGCTGGCAGGGAATCGTCGTCCTGCAGCGAGGCGCCGTAGGTGCTGTTGCCATGTGAATGAGAGATTGCTGTGTCCTCTTCCTCGTCTTGTTGTAGTTCTTCGTATCCAGACAGAGAGACATTGGCGCTCGCCTCGAAAAACTGTTTCCAGAACTGTGAAAAGTCAGTAGGTACTCAAGATACCCGTCCTTCCTCGTGGGGATGGGGGGCTCAGACCTTTGAGCCATCCCATACAGCCTCGGAGTGCTTGCCGTATTGCTCGACGATGGGGAGGATGCTCGTCGTCACAATTCGGTGTGCGCGGCTGAAATTGTGGTCGATTTCTGTGTAGATATAAGCTTTGCGCCGCGGGTCAATTCAGGGTCGCGGGAGCTGACCTTGGAGGGTTAGTGTTATTGTTTGCTCCAGCTTCTCGAGCTCCTCGGTGAGCGTCAGGTTCCTCTGCTGGGAGGTGGATGCGCGAGACATTATGAGGGATATATACGGGAGCAAGGCGCTATTATAGAGCTTGTATATCGGTCGTTACAGTGGTTGTCGCAATAGGCCGAATTGAGACGCCTATTCTACCAAAGCACAATACAGCCGCAAGTGGCGGTTGTGGCGGTTGTGGCGGTCGCGACGCGATTCTTACCTAAGCCAAATATAAAATGAGGCCGAACGTAGTATAAGTTACTTCAGTGTGCTATACCATAATGCCATATCTGGATAATAACGTCCTGGCATCTTACTCCATGGCATATAATATGCAATATTCACTATATCTACCTCTATCTCCATCTATCCATACTATACTGTATTGTACTGTATTGTGCAATACTATGCCACAGCCTTCTGTCGACATACCCAGTCTTCTCACACTATCACCCCCTTCCTTTGTCCCTTTCTTAAACCATCTTCATCTCTTGGCGTATTCTACGTCTCTATTTCTCAAATACGCCTCATTTTCCCAAAAATCCCGTTGACACCTCTCATCCGCCCTGATGACACCTTCATTGAGAATGTTTGGGAGATTCACCGTCGTTTTATACGTCTTCATTCCCCTGGCTGCCATCACTACTCTACATTGTCTTTTTCCGGCTCGACCGCCCCCCACGCTCCCATAATCTAGCCTTATCTCCTCCCCTGAGCAGCTCTGATTCTCTCTCTGCCTCTTCATTCCCATCTCTCCGCCATCTGTGCGACGAAACAGACTGGACGGAGGGTCTCTGGCTCCAATGCCACAACAATGTCGGGCCATCCAAGACCGCGATGAGGGGCGGCCCCAGCAATCTACGGAACAGGATGCAGACGTGCGTAGGCCTTGCAACCTCCGCTGGCGCCGGTGTCTCCCCGCCTCTCATATACTCCACGGTCGCGGGCGGCGTTTCGCGCAGTATTATTGATACATTCTAGATGCCCACGTTTGCCACTCGCAACGGTACTGACCTAATGAAATACCGCACAGAGGAATGCCCTGAGGGTCTATTTGACACTCTACCAGCAGGCTCTATCCGCGGCCTGTCCGCAGCTGAATATCCGCGCCTGCAATGACACCAATGTGGTGCTTCTGCGACAGCACCGCGCGCATACGAGAAGGTGGTGAACAGTATACCCCCGTGTGAGGATTGGGGAGCATAGAACCCAACCCGGCTTTTAATAAGCTCAGTCGTCCTTCTTCGACTCCGCTTATCCCTCTAGGACGGTCTACCAAGTCCGGTTGCGGCAGGCACGCCATCTAGCACATCGTTCACAGGTCATCTGTCATGCTGGCCTTTCCGCCATGGTTCAGGGGCTGGAGGTGAGGTCGTTCATGCGGCCATCCCAGAGGATGGTGCCTGCCAAATCAGACCCGACTGAGGCGAGGAGCGAAAGAGCCTTGAGCATCCTGACGAATAGCAGAGAGCAACAGCAAAGGATGAGAAGACGCGATCTAGCGTAACTGAATCAGATGATGGTGATCTGTTTCGCTGGCGGCAATTTGAGCCGGCCGTCTCATATATAAACATGGTGCCTGAACGGCCGCCCTTGAAGATCTGGGGGGTCCCTCATGATCTGGAGTACTAATCGTTTTGTTTAGTATAGGGGCAGTGGATAGATATATGAGTGGAAGTTGTTGGCAACGACTGCATGTTAGGAGCGGAGAAAGTTGTTCCGGGAAGTTGAGGCGATGGTAAGCGAGAAGGTGGAGGTTCTTGGTTCTTCCCGCGGGCCGGCACTTGGGTTTTTAGCCGCCTGGTAACGCCTGGTAACGCGTGGGAAAGCCCCGATGTTCCTGCCGTCCTCAAGGTCATGTCACTCAATCACTCTGCGGTACAACGAAACGGGGACAACATAACTGGGCAGGATTATATATGAAATATATGACTTCTCGACTATTTCGACGCGTCATGTCCTCCGGTAATGGCAAGCCCATATCCTTCGGCCCATTCGAGGTCACAGACCAGGTATATACCTCAACTTTATCCTCTCCTGTCACGTGATATATATATACCACCCCCCACCTTGCTTGTCCAGCTCCTATGCCACAAATAGGGGTAGAATATGCTCAAAAACAAGAGTCTACAGCTAACACCCCCCTAGGTCTTCTACACAACCCCCCTCTCCTTCGCCCTCGTGAACATCAAGCCCCTCCTCCCCGGCCACGTCCTCGTCTCCCCCCACCGCTCCGTCCCGCGGCTCCCCGACCTCACCCCCCCCGAAGTAAGCGACCTCTTCCTCACTGTGCAGCGAGTCCAACGCATGATCGCATTGACGTACTTCCCCTCCCCCGGCGCACCCACAGAGGGGGGATTCAACATCGCGATCCAGGACGGCGTGGAGGCGGGCCAGAGCGTGCCGCATGTGCATTGCCATGTGATTCCACGGCTGAGGGGGGATGGGAAGGGAGATGGGATTTATGATGAGATGGCGGGGGAGGGGGGGAATGTGGGGGGGCATTTGTGGGATAGGGAGATGGCGGGGAGACCGGTGGCGGGGGGGAGGCTTCCGAGGATTGAGGATGCGACGAGGGAGGCGAGGAGTGGGGAGGAGATGAGGCGGGAGGCGGCGGAGTTTAGGGAGAGGATGAGGGAGTTGGATGAGAGTGAGGCGGAGGTTTGATGGTTGTACGAATTCGGGGAGAAGGGGGGTTGTGACGATCATTGTATAGTATAGTAAGGTTGACGGGTGTGGAATGGGATATGTATAATCATCCTCGAGGGTAATAAATACACAGTCTGTGGGGCTGCTTGGCTCACTACCATATACATCAACCCATCCGTCTCCTCCAGTCCTAGGGCATGATATCTGAAAACATAAAACGCCTTTCCACGAAATGCTAGCCATGATACTCCATCGCCAAAATGACAGTCGCTCCCAGCGATGCAACCTATTCCTCGTCTGCTGCCACTGACTTTCGCTTTTTCTTCTTCTCTTTCGGCTTCTCTGATTCCTCGTCTCCTTCGACATCCTTTGACTTCTTCTTCTTCTTCTTTGGCTTCTCCTCTTCCTCCCCCTCCTCCTCAGCAGCCTTTGCCTTCTTCTTCTTATTCTTCTCCTTCGGCTTCTCCTCGTCTTCCTCTCCCTCAGCCTTCCTCTTCCTCTTCTTCTCCTTCTTCTCACCGTCCTCATCTGGCGCTTTGAATTCCTTCTCCCTCTTCGCCAGCTTCTCAATCTTCTTCTCCTTCTGCCTCTCCAAGCGATCCTCCTGCACTGCCCTCTCCTTGGCCGACTTATTAAGGAAATACTCTCCACTCTCGATCTGCAAATCGACCTTGCTCTTCTCCTGCGGTGGCGGGAACGGCGTCCTAACCTTCTTAGACTTATCCGTAACCTTCAGCGGCACACGTCTCTTGCTCAAGTTGCGCTTCTTGAAATGCGGCAAGAAGCGGTCCCAGCTCTCGCCCGCCAACTCCGGGTCCTTCGCTAACTCGCGCTTGATCATGAGCTCTTTGATGTGGTAGATGGGGTGGATATTCGACATGCAGTCTTCGATGATACGGCGCAGCTCTTTCAGGCCCTTGTATGGGCCCATGGCCGAGACGGTGTTCCCCTGGACAAGGATGTAGCACTCTGTGAGAAGCTCCAGCGCTTTGAGGGTGGAGCCATTGGGGCCGAGGATACGCTGGCGACGCTTCACGAAGCGCTCCTTATTGCGAACTAGGTTGCGGATCTTGATGATGTCGGATGCGACGCCATCTTCGAGGATCTTCACTGCTTGTGGTGCGGGCACCGAGCGGGCTAGGAGCTTGATGAGGTCGCGTGCGTTGAGGATGGAGGCGGGGTCGTAGGTCTTTCGGGTGGTCTTGACGGTCATGGAACCCTCAACGAGGTCGAGGGTGCAGGCGATGCCGAACTTCTCGAGACTCCTTGTGACGAGGGGCCAGGCCTCGCGCAGGTAGACTTCTCTGTATTTTGGGAAGAGAGTGGCGAAGGTCGACTCTTCTGTGAATGTGCCCGCCTTATTGTCTTCTGGTTTGAAAGCGTCAATCTGCGATATGGTTAGCCAAGCACATATTGAGCAGGGTGGTGTATTGCTGTAGGTGGAACAAGGAATTAAATAAAGTGATAGAACTAACCTTCCACTTGTCAATGTCATCCGTGTCCCATGGCTTCTCTTTCTTGTGAGTGGAAGGCATCTTGGGCGATTTTATTGTGGCCTGAACAATGTTGCGCAGACGAGGCTGGCAGAAGTTTGAGTCTGAAGAATTTCTAGATGCACAAATTGCCACAAAATACCACCGTAGTTATCGGAGATCGGAGATCTATAAATTCACGGAACAGCACAGACGCCAAAGACGCAATAAGTAATTATTTGGTAGATTCAGATACGCGGCGCGGTTAAATACATCTTCTATAACATACAGTCAAACCCCTGTTATAACGATGTATTCTGTCTACCATTTCACTATCGTTATAACCAGTATATCGCTGTAACCAAATAGAATATATTATGTAATCCATGTATCTAATGTCCCCTGAACTAATGATGCCTGCTGAATGCCCTCAACTGCTGCTTCCAACCGCTCTATAAAAAGCTTGAAGCCACTCTGTCATAATCATTGTATTCATCCAAGCTTTCTTATTCCACCGCCATTGCCCTCCCATTGTATTAACTGATACAAATCGCAAAGCGCGTGGTGTTTTAGCTTTGCCAATGAACCAGACTAGAAATCGATCTGTGCCAGTTGCATTGACACAAAAGACAAGAGAGATCCGAGACTTGTCTTTCTTTAAACCAGCTTGATGTTGTGATGAGAGGCCTCGAGAGAGCATCATCCTCCAATAAAGGCCACTCTCGTCCATGTTATAGATATCCTCCTCTTGATATTCCCCTGCCACAGTTTGTGCTCTCATTTCCTCTTCTGTAGAAGCTGGGATAGATAAGGCTTCTCCGTGTCGAACTTTTAATGATATCTTAAAGTGCTTCTTAAATCCCTCAAGCCATCCAATGCTGAACTCTGGGACTGGCTTGCCAGAGTGTTGTGGAAACTGGCGCCAGATATCTCTTGCCTTTGTTTGCAGAAGTTCTCCAGTTGTAAATCCCCCTCTTGCTTCAATATGCTGCTGCCATGCAAACAGAACCTTCTCTAAGTCAGGCCAGAAGCCTTCTCAAAGTCGCACGCCTTGTGGTGTATTATTCTCGTCGAGGTGGGAGAAGTGTAGACTTAAGGATTTGGAAACAGTTGACTGGCTAAGTTTGTGATTGTATTCGTGGAGGAACCATTCAATGCATTGCTTCTATGTAGGCTTTGGGTGCTGTCGATGTGCCCAGCGACGAAGGGCGCGCCTTTGTTCTAATGTAATACTGTGCCTCTGGCTCATGATCCTAAGAATATGTCAGCGTCAGTTTGTAGATTAGAGTAAGTTTTGTAAAAATATTATCATTATTATAGAAATAGAGTTATTATATAAGAAGAAACATAAGCATAGCATAGGTATTAAATGAGGGTATAGTAGAGTGTATAGGGGATATTTAAAGGAGAATTGAATAGTGTAGTGCAATATACAAGAGTAATGTATAATATGATAATAGGTAAGTTTATAGGATTTGTTAAGGTAATAAATTAATTTTTGAGGAAAGATGAATAAGTTGAAGATTAAAATAATTTTGAATTAATTGTCAGTGATTATTGTAGTATTGTAAGTTGTGTGGAAATAGAATTGGTTCCAAAAAATATATCGCTATATCAAAAATATCGTTGTATCCAGGATTGTTATAACAGGGGTTTGACTGTACTACAAAATAGCGAACCCCGGCAGATCCATTGGCTATAATATGTCGAAATTCATGATAGGTTGTAGGCCTTTTGTGGACCCACTTATTACGTATGTAGGCTTTAGGTGCAGAGTTTTTGCTATACGATCTACTATGTTACAGAGTGTTCCTACCATCCTTAGCCCCTATCTGCACCTGGAACTATTTAACTATGTAGCTTTACTGTAACACTGACTTCTAAATGATAGAAGACACAGAGGTTCTCTTGCGTAAAGGTTTACTTATCAGAGGAGGCAGGGGATCAGACACAAAGGCTTCAAGTAACATGTTACTAGTATATAACAAATACTGTATTGAGTTGAGCACGAAGCTCCTATCTAAGGAAATACTATCTACTTATATAGTGGCGTCGTGCCTCATGGGTAATCTGGATAGTTGGCGGATAGCTAGATATTCAGGATAGTTCGTGGATAGCTCAACTATCCAATATCCACTAGTTTCTGCAACTATCCATTAGCCCCGTCACATGGCAGCCTACCCCGCTTCCCACTGTGACTCACACGTCACGTTATGTGACTCACACGTCACGTTACTAGGCCCTGGCCCTGTAACCATGACATCATGTTACTATAGCCGTAACATTTACCTCCTAAATCTAGCTTCTACCTATAGAATATAAGTATAGCGATTATGAGTTCATCCCTATACTAGGAGTCGTTGCTCTTTCAGACTAATTGCCTTAGCTAGTACGCAACCTGCAATAGTAGAGCATTACCACCTATAGTACTATTGCCCCTTATACTACATGACTACTGTCTTACTGCCCTTATATAGGTTCTTACAGATGACCCTCTACAACAGCAGCACGGCCGGGGTCACCCTTGCCGTCAGCCTCCTACCTCTATGTCATACTGACATTCGTTGCACTCAGTATGCTATCAAACTCAAGAGCAAACTTAGAAATCTCCTCCTCAAACCTACAAGTCACCATACATATCTTGGCTTATCACACCAACAACAGAAGCAATACTACTCAACGATTGCTGCAAACTCTTCTACTACATCTGTTTATGCTACATACATCACGGCATATCATTTGGACACTCATTGAACAAGTTATTAAGAAAATCTCCTCCTTAAGGGGGTGGGTCAATACTACCACATGGCATATCTCTACCAACTAGAGGCCTAGGAACATGAACGATAGCTCTAGAAGCTTCTACAACCCTCTATGATTCATTACACGTCATCGCTCCTTAGTTACCCACAAGATTGGTTAAGTTATGACATAATTTGTCTATAGGTACTCTGACCTTGGACCTCCTTTTCACTTCCTATAGGCTAGGAACCCAAGAGATGGTTCTATGGGATTCTCTTACGTTCACTACATGATTAGCAAGCTAGTTGTGGGTCGCACTTGATTTCTAATACATTTACCAAGCCTGGTTAGTCATGGAAAGTCATGGAAAATGAGAGAACTACACTCCTTTGGCATAAATAGGATTGCCCTTTCCTTAAGAAAGGGCAAGCAGACAATACAGTAAATCGACTAGCACATACTTCTACGTCTTTTCCAAGCTTCCAAGCATTGATCTTGTTATTCTCTGTTTTTGAAAAGTCAGTGAGGTGCTAACCTCTGACTTACCCCTGAGTTCTCAGACTCAACATTTGTTGCAACTTGTCTAAACCACTTCACCACATCATACACCTGATTGCTGCGTTGTGGAATAGTCTAAGCTACAACCCTTTGGCTCTGTTTCCTAAGACAGTGTGTTGTCTTAGTAAATTCATCCCTTCCTTGGGTGGCTAGATTCTCACATCTGGTGCACCCACCATTACACCTTGCCTGCTTCAAGCTTCAACTATTTCTATAGCAGCACTTCGATACTACAATGGAGGACGA